ATGTAGCTGTTTGGCGGGCAGCATAGGCACTTAATAAATTAGTAGTGTCTAGTGAGTGTTTTTCACTAATATCTAGGATCTTAGGCTCTATGTCCTGGAAGGTAGTGAGCTGGTGGGTAGCCAGGTTATTAATAACGTTATCCATGGTGTTAGGCAACATCGCTAGGAAGAAAGAGCCCTTAATGTTATCGTCATTAAACATGGCCCTTATGGCGATAGCCATAGGCTGTATTAATAACGCTAAATGCTTGGATATCCGCGTCTATCACTAGTGAAACTCGTTAAGGTAGAGGCGTAGGTCGTTACTATTATAATACTATAGGTTGGTAAGGCTATAGAATAATACAATAGATGATTAGCTAGTGTCGCAATTAAAGTGGCTGGTTAGGTAGTCCTAGGTGGTGGGCAATGTCTTATAGTTAGTGACCTACTATATCAGATCGTTGTGAATAGAGGAGAGGATTATAATAAGAGCTTTAGTATTATTAGCGTCCCATACGTTAATTACCTCTAATTAAGTAGCTAGAGTAGCCGCTTCTATATTTACTATAAGGGCAGCGGGTCGCAACTTCTTCTTAGAGATGATTGGCCATAGGCTAGTGTACCAGAAGGTGATGGTCTAGGTGGAGTGGTACTCTAGGAAGTTGTCGCTACGTGCATTAAGCTTCGGCAGCGACGTAGGGTTAAGCTTGAACGAGAATGTTAACATGGTAATGGGGAGCCGTCAACGACGTTGACAAGTGACTCGTTAGTAGGGTAATCGCCAGTGGTGACAGATGCTGTTGAAAGTGCTTTTGAGCGACTGTCACAGCGGCTGAAAGCGGAGATCCCAGAGCCAGTGGTGGATGAGGCAGCTAAGAGCAGCCGTCGACTGTTAACTGCAGCGGTGGTGGCAGCAGGCAGTGACGGGTAGCTAAGGGCAGCGGTGCAGTGGAATCGCCAGTGGCGGTAAGCGTGGCGATGCTTACAGCTGTGGGTGTAGAGCGTAAAGCAACGCTCAGTAGGGCAGGCAGTGGAGCGCCGGGCTCATAACCTAATAAAAGGTATGAAGTTGAGTGTAAGTGTATTGTATTGCTTAGGCGGGAAAACCTGCCTATATAGAGTTAGGCTAGTCGGTTGCACCTGCCAGGTGCCTGCGGAGTCTCCTTCCGTCAACAGGGGTTTGTCGAGACGATAGTATCAGAGGGGATGTAACGAATCAACAATATGGCCTGAGTGTAATCCAAACGATAGATTGATAAACAGGTTGAACACGAGTATGAGAGTTCATACGCGTGTTCCTATATAGAATGTCTGCTCGGTTGCTCAGGGCTCCTGAACAGCTGAGCAGGTCACGTGACTGCTATCTAAGCGGCTTGGCGGCTCTTTGTCTCGTCGCAACCCTGCCACTGCATCCTCGCACCTTCATAAGCGCCCGTTCCACCCGTCTGCCTTCCGGTTCGTAACATTATTTAGATTATACTTAGGCCATATTATTAACTCGTTACACTTCGCAAGATACTATCGTATTAATAAGACCCTTTCCCTTCCCCTTAGTTATCTTGCCCGAGAACCAACCCTAACCCTTTAGGACTAGCTACCCTTCCGGATTTAACAAAAGTGTCGTGTTTCCATTATAGTAGATCTGGATCCTAATACTAAGAACTAACCTTAAGCCTCTATAATTAGCTACTAGATCGGGATTTAATAAACTAATATTATCCATTTAGGACTAGCTACCTAATATGATTTAACAAACTCTAGGTATAGAAATAAAAACTTGGGTATAACCTCCTAAGAAAATATATATTCGTACCAACTCTCATTTTCTTTGCCATACTAGTTGTATCTGTCCAGCTTAACCTTACAATCGACCTCGCATCCTACTCTGTGACTTATTTAAGAGACCGTGTACTGTATCCCAGCCGATCAGCGCAAGCATATAACCAAGAGTCAATAACGAGACACGACAGCGCAACGAGAGAAGACTTAAAATGCATCGTCTTTCACCAGCGTACTCGTATCATTGAATGTTCCGTGTGCTTCAGTGGCAGAAGATTCGTGGACACGCTGCTGGGTGACTGAGCCGTTGTCTTGCGCTTGCGCTTGAGCCTTTGCCGCTTCGTTTGCGGCCGCAATAGCGGCGGAGACGTCGTTGTCGAATTTGGATGGAGTCGGTGCAGCTATCACGTTACCACTGCTACTCGCAGGGCGTGCGTCGGTACCTTCACGCTCGCCGACTGCGGCGGCGGCAAGATGTTGAAGACCAGCAAGATGCTGTGAAGGGCTCGTTTGTTCAGGAGCGCTATGTGAGGGAGTTGGGCCCTTCTTTTGGTGCAAGAGGTCGCGTATTGCGGCATCCCAGCCAAGATTGTCGCTGCTCGCGTTGATGATGTGCTCGTTTGCTAGTCCATCGTCCATCTCCTTCATAGCGGCGTGAGCCTCTATTTGCGTTTCCAGCCGATCCGACAGATCCCCAAGAGAGGTTGCGACCAGACTAGCAAAAATGTGGTGGAGCGGGGTCACTCGCGGATTCCCAAGATTTCGAAGAAGGTCCTTGGTTAGAGAGAGCAGCTCGATAGAAGAACTGTAGTCGGATAGACGTGTGATGAACACCCGAAGATACTGGTAAGCCAAGTACGGTGAAGCATTCTCAGGAAGCGGGCTGATTTCAATCGACTCTCTAAAGCGCGAGAGCTGTCCGTTCATATACCTGGTCGCAGGTGAGGTCACACTCAGCGCTGCGAAAGCAAATGGCGAAGCAGGGTCCAGCTCAGGAACACTGCCAGCTTTCGAGATGGAGGCCACCTGACCGACTATATCTGCAGCACCTGCACGATGGCGTTAGCACAATGCTACTACACGGCGATCCAAAAGCGAAGAGCCGACGTTCTGGAACGAGCACAGAGTATTCAAATCCTGAGGAAAAAGCCGTGGCGCCGCCGTAGATCAGAGTCAGAGAAGTGGACTTACGAACAAGGTGATAAGCCTCGTCCCCCAAAAGCTTATGGTCATCTCTTGATGGGGAGCCTTCATGTATGGGTAGCATCAGGTTCTTAGATCTGCTGGAAGCGTGAAATCTGTCCAGAATGAAAGCCACCCAGAAGGTTTGACGAGCAGCTTGGTATAACTCAATATCTTGTTCGCGGAGTGACGTGAGGGTTTTCGCGTCATCGAGTCCAACTTCAGTAATGACGCCAGCGATCCTACCAAGTAGTTCAGCTGAATTGCCGACTGTGCCTGGTTTGGGACGATCCGAAGCGATGAAAAGTAAGACGAGAGACTGGCAATATACTAGATTGTTGAAGAACTGACGAGCGTGGTCTGGATCGTCAAGAGTATGCTTCGCTGCATCTACAGTATCGAAGCATTGGTGCAACATTTGGTTGATACTGTTTTCAGTAGGCGGCAACGATCTTGGTGCAGACGAGCGGATGCTGCACTCTAACGACAGGAACAGTGCTTCTCTTAACTTGGATGGACATTGGGTAAGACGGTTTAGAGCAGAAGATTCTGAGGAGAGTAGAGGCAATGTCGAATGCATCGTACTATAATATCTGTTCCAGGGTCAGTGATGTTCATGCTACTAAACATGCGAAGAGCGCAACGTGGTTAGATGATGGTAGCAGCCAGACCGAAAATGTTGTACTTACGCTTTGATGATGGCCTCATTGGACCCCGTGATGAGGTTCCCAACTAATGTCCACTCTGTGAAAGATACGCGTCGGTTGTTGTTCATGTCGTTGGCCCCGTTCAAGGATTGTTCTTCACGAGTTAGTGAGATGAGAGCTGGGGGGTCTTCGGTCACATATGTACCACGGTCCTGTGCCGACCAGCTCGGACGGTTATACGGGTCTGCAAAGTTCTCGGACATTGAGTAGGTACGCTTTCTGGAGAACTGCGATGAAGCCTCCAGACTCTGGTCCAGAGCGGCAAAGTCATAATTTGCGGCTTGAGCTTGCGGCTGCTGGATCTGACTTTCAAGCGAGTTCAAGCGATCGGCAAGCTCCTTGATATAGCTTCGTGGCGCGTCAGTTGCGTATACTTCGGTCTTGTCCGCATCTTCGCCCGGAACAACTGAACGGAGCGGAACGGATTAACACTCACCCTTTGCTAGGTCCGCGTTTCATCGGCTGTCTACTAAACTGACATCGCGCGCCGGTGCGCTTACAACTTGAACATGATTCCGGACCATTTTCGCTGGTTGCATCGCATCGAATCTACGCGCGGTTAGATGCGCAAGCGCAAGCGTAGGCGACGCGAACAGCACGCGTACCTTCTTGCGCCGGCACTCGTCGCAGGCGCGCGAGACCTTCGAGCGCTTCCGGGTCGCGCCGTCGTGGTCGGCAAAGGCGTTGTGGTCGTCGATGCCCATGACCGACTGCGCAGACTGCGCCATGTGTTGCGGCGAGTGCACCGGACGCGGCGGCGTCTGGAAGTGGTGGTGCGTCGCGTTCATGGCGCCCATCTGCTGCAGGTGAGGCGCCTGGTGCATCATGTCGCTGCCCTGATGCATCTGCAGCTGCTCGCGCAATTGGAGCTCTGGGTCGGTGGGGATATGCTGTTGTTGTTGTTGTTGCGGTGGCGTTCCTCCGTTTTGGTTCACGAACATGGCGGAACCTCCGCCGGACTTGTCGTCGGCGTCGCCATACGGAGCCGTCGAGGCCATGGTATGATGGGTCGCGCGGTCGGCAGAGGGCGATGCGAAGCTGCGCGGGCTTTGCTGGAGCGGCAGCGGGGGTGCTGGAGACGGCGCGACGCGGTCGGTGTTGCGAACAAGGACGAGTGCAGGCCGAGGGTTTTGACCCGCTTTACGTTGTTCGGCACTAGCGTCGCAGGCACTGGAAGAGCAGCCAGAAGCAGTGGGCAAACGGGCGACAGCATGGCCATGGTTACGAGCCTCGAGGGCTCAAAGCTGCTTCGGTAGGCTGGTTTGCACGCAGATGCAAGCTTTGCGATGTTCAATGTGGTCGCTGTTCGGACAAACCTGAGCTTCCGAGAAGCCCCAATGCGCTACCCTGCGGACGAGAAGATCATCACCCATCAGATGCACCCGCACTGCGATATGGACGCATGCTGTGACCGCATGGTCTTCTGGAAGGGCGGGTACATACGAGGCACCCGCAGGCTCGCTGCTGGTTCACCCGTCGTGCGTCCGGCTGATTTGGTAACTCATGGGCGGTTGAAGTACCAATATTTTCAGCGACTCGGCAGACAACCTTCACACCGTACGACACAATGGTGGGACGCGCTTAGACGTATGTCTGCCGCTGCATTGCTCCCGCCCGTTGATGCTGCATCGCACTACCTAGACGTGTACAATTGGGCTTTTGGTCGTGTATGCTGCGGAGATACCGCTCCGCGAAACCGTGCCACAATGCGATAGCCGACGTTCACTTTGACGCGAGACAGACTGTCGAAAACAGTCGATGCGCGGCGGGACGATGAGGCACTGTGCTGCGTTCAATGATCAGGGAGCTGCGTCACTGTCGCTATCGCTTGTCGGCGGTTGCTCATGCTGGCGTGCTCCTCTCCAGACTGCATACAGATTGCCCCACGGAAACATGCAGCAGATGGTAAAGGCAAAGTGCAGCCGTCGCGCATGCCACAGCAACAGCACGGAGAGGGAGCCTGGGTGCTGTAGCGAGGCCCCGCGGCGTGCTCCGAGCGCGCACGCTGCGGGTGCGAGCGCGGGCGTTTCGAGCTGGAGGCTGGCATGGGCGCTTGCCGATCAGAGGCACGAGAGCAGATGCAGATGCAGATGCAGATGGGCGCCCGGATACAAGGACGCGGCGCGCGGCGATGCAGCGCATTTAAACGTGTCTGGGAGGCGGTCGAGCAGGCCTGACTGCTGCGCGCACAGCAGCCAGCTGGCCATGGTGTACCTGAAAGCGAGGGTCGTGCTCAGGCGGCTCATGTCCGCTGGGCACTATAGCTGCACACAATACACGATCTTCGCTTGGCAACGGGCCAGGGCCGTCGCGGGCAGGCAGATGAGGCGGCCTGACCTCGCACGCACTGCACGCAGCGAGTCGCGGGGGCCTGCGGTGCCTCTGCGAGCTGGATGGCTCACAGTGCGCGGGCCCGGCACGTGCCGCGTCGGCAGCGCTCAGCCAGCGCGCATTGGGGCAGCAGGCAGCGGGCAGCGGCGGTGAGGGTAGCCAGCTCGAGCTCGAGGGGCGAGGGAGCCACGGTGGGAGCCAAGGCAACCCGCAGATGCAGCGCAGGGTTCGCCGCTCATCATCGTAAAGGAAAAGCATCGGCGGCCCGTGCCCGGCACGAGCGAGTCGTCTTGCCCCATGCGGCCTAGCGCCCAGCGCAACGAGCGGGTCTGCGGTCGCGCGTCTCTTTAGGCCCTTCGCTCGCCGCACTCGATCCTGTTCTCCAGACACCTTCCCCAACGTTCCCACACAAATCTGCCGTTTTGGCCTCTCCACGCCCAGCAAGAATTCGCGTTTTACGGCCAGCGCCTCACGGCTCTGTGCTCGGTCTCTTCCTCCTCTAACACCTCGCCCCCCTCCAACCTCCTCTTCGCTCCTCTCCACTCTCCACTCCATCCTCGGCGTCTTTGCGGTGTTCACGGTCTCGTCCAGCCAGCCAGCCTCCGGCCGCTGTTCTACCATTGGGAGATACCCCTTCACAATTTCTGCATTGCTATATACTTTCTGCCTTACTTCCGTTCTTTTCTTTGCCTGGCTCTTCGCAGCTTGCTGCCTCCGTTCTTGTGTGCGGCTCCTCTGCACACCGCTCGGCTGTCCACAGCCTGGTGCGACGACCGCAATCGGCCGTAGGATTCCAAAGGCATGCCGATCGTCGATGGCGAGAAGTATGCTTGCCAGTCCTGCATCAAAGGCCACCGCGTGAGCGGCTGCAACCACACTGGTACGTAGTCCCAACAAGTCTCAATCTCGACCCACGCATGCTGAAGGCCTAGCGCAGACCGCGAGCTACACCACATCAACCCCAAGGGCCGCCCCGTTAAGCAATGCGAGCACTGTCGCGGCGCGCGCAAGTCCAAATCCCACCATGCCAAGTGTGAATGCGGCGACCGCAAGGACAAGCACAAGGACAGTCGCGATGCCAAGGGTGAGCAGCCAGTCGATCTGCGCACCGGCGAGATTTCTAATCGTGCCATAGTCCACGACAATCACTGCGGCTGCCACTCTGGAGCTAAATGCATGTGCGGCGTCAAGAAGGAGCCCGCTGATCTGAGACTCGACACCACCAAGCAGACACTCCACCAAGCGCGAGCGAGGCCCAAAGTCACCGCGACTCACTCCGAAAGCAATCTGACTGTCTTTGCCAACGGCCACCATCGACCCTGCCACCGCAATAACAACACCGCCCACGTTTCAGGAGCGCCTTACAAGATCCCGCGCCCACATACCCTCCATGGCACCGCCTTCGAGCAGTACATGAAGCCGTCCTCGTACAGTCAGCCAGAAGCGCCTGCTCAGCGATCTGTGGATACCTTCTCCCTGTCAAATCGAGACTTCTACACCATGTTGGGCGTCGCCCCGCAAAATGACGCTCTTCCTTTGACGCCCATAAGCGGCAGCCTTGATACCAGCAACTTTCAGGACTCCATTTTCGCCAACCGGAGCGCAGCTTTTTCACAAGAAACTTGTTCTCCGACAGAGACGCACCTGACGGATGCGATGGGAGCACCGCAATGGCCATGGTCGAACTCCCTTGCTTCTGTCGCGCGCAATTTTGGCTACGGAAGCCTCTCGACATCTCCTTCGCAAGATTGTCTTCCCAATCTTGACAACGAGTGGCCCATTCCATCTGCTGGCCTGACCCATCCTACGTGGTCCGCGGGAGACCTGCCTTTGGACACCAGCAACCTGGCCGACTCTGTAGTACAGCCCATCTCTCACAGCGGTGAATCCAAGCACAGCGCGCCTGAGCTTTCAACTTCGTCGTCTCCATCCGAGATCGGAGAGCAGAACTTGTTCTCCGACCTTGCGCCTGCCTCCGCTGTAAGTGAGACGCTGTTCTGGGAAGACAAGATGCCCGTCTATTGCCATGGGCTTTCCAATGAGGTTCGCCCGCCGACATCAGCACCCCACTATCCCGCCTCTGAAGCCCAGGGACTAGAGCTCGATCTGTCGAAAGCTTTGGGCTCTGTAGCACCCATGCCAGCGACTACTGCTGGCGACATGTATGCTGAGACACCAGCCATTGCAATGCCCAACGCCATTGATGAAGCCGCTTGTAATGACCCTTGGGCGTTCGATCAACCCAACATGAGCTTCCCTGGGTTCGATACCTTTGATATACCTTCTACATTTCCAAACTGGATCTAGTCTTCCAAGGCTGGCACTACAAGATGTATTTTCACGACGCCATGACTCATGACGCCTTGAGGCACCTTTTGTTTATTGGAGCCACAATCGTTACTTTAGTTCGACTTGTTTGCCCATGCCAGTGGGCAGCAACCTACCACTTCCGACCGTAAATGTCGCCTGTGTATAGTTCAACCCAGCCTGGACGTGTACCTACCCGCGTTCAAGGCATTTTTTTATATATACTCGCTTGCGTCGGCTATGGGTGGTCTAGCGAGCGAGCGATCCGTACATAAACGTTATTCAAGAATGGGTGGCTGTTTGATTTGCATCGCGGGGTGCTCAAATTTCCTAGACTGAGCATCGGCGTTTGTTCGATTGAATAGACCGTTCGGTTTTCACGATGTCGTACACTATCTTGCTTTGACTTTGCATAGTGGTGATGCTGCTCCAGTGCTTCTCCAGAACATTTGCTGACGCTATTGACGCCGGGCCCCAAGCTGCATGGCTGACGCGAAGCCCACCAGCCGAGCGGTGGTCACCCGCACATGGCCAACGCAAGCGCAGGCAGAGATTTCACGAACCCTGATTGACTGCGACCGGCCAAGGGTCCTTTACCGGCCCTGAACTGCTGCATCATCGTCACCAGACGGCGGAGACTAATTGGAAATCTTTGTGCGTTGCTTTTTATGGCGATGTGCGGCGGCCCACGGCAGATGCGTGGAAGTGTTCACGGAAGACCGTTAATTCCAATCCGTGGGCAACAATCACGAAGTCCTATTGTTCATTTTTGCCATGTGCTCCGAGGCACGCCAATATGGTCGAACGCGCTGTCCAAAAAAGGTTGCTTGGAAGTTGGAAAGCATCAATTGACCCCACATGCAGTCTACAGCTTGACTGTTTGCAAGTTCCCGCTTCCCGCGCCCTCGAACCCCACCACAACTCCTCTGTCGCTTCTGCAGTCTGTAGCGAGGCACAGCCTCCTCCATCGCTGGGCCTGACGCACCACCCAATCAAACGCGTGCTATTTGCCCAGTGGGCCGAGTGGAGATGGTTGGATGCAGTATAGGCGCAGCGAGGCATCTCCCAATGGCGAAAATGTCTCACGCGCATAAAGCTCTGGCGACGGATGCTACGCCCCATGGGAGCGCGGATACGATTATGTATTTCGTCACGCAGGATCGCAGGTATCGCGGCTAGGAATTGGTAGCTTCGCGCGGGAGACGTGGTCGCAGGGTGAGAAACAAGCTGCCGCCGTAGCCTCGCCAGAGGCTTGAAAGGGGTTGGACCAGCCACAGAGCCTATGTCATCGAAGCTCGTATTGGTGGTAATACTGCGATTCCAGACCACAGCACAAATATGACACAGATAGATCTTCCTCCGCGTCGTCTAGACGGCAGCAGGTGGGATCCGTGGGATACTTCGTAATGAAGCCACCCGGTATATCTACCACGCACGGATGCTCTCTGAGCAATGATCCGGGGTTTCCGTCGGAAGATGTGGTGAACGTTTGCATGAGCGCATGTGGGTTTCTTCACGTCGTGCTGTGCATCCCCACATCATCGCCTACCCTCACCCCCACATGGCTAACCCAATAACTACATCAACCCGTGCACGAGCAGCAGGCTTCTCTGGCACAGCGCAGCACTTGGTCATGCCGCCCCGTCTCCGAGGCAGTGAAGGCCGCTAATCGATCCCTATCCTCGGAACGGTTCCTATAATGGCGGGTGATGGTCATGAACGAATGCTGACCGTGAGACTGCGTAGGCCTGGGTAAGGTGGAGTTCTGCCTGCTTGATGTCGCACGAAAATCGTTCAGGCTGCCCATCACCTCGTTCACAAGCTCGTGGTCACCGTTGGTCTTCGCCTTGAATTCTACAACTAGAAGAGCTGGTAGCTCTTGCTACCTTTGGCATGGTTCTATTGTTGCACGTTATGATTTCTGTGACATAGATACAATGAATTCCAATCTCTGTTGGCAGGGTGTCGAGTCTCTGTGTGTTTATCACACAACTAGGTCGAGCGCGCCGGGTGACACTTGTGTTTGCGCATCTCGCAGATCCCGGTGAACAGCGACCACAATCTGTTCCTAACCCCTGCAAACGGCCTTCTAGAAGGCTGCAATGCTTCTGTTGCAGCCTCACTGCAGACTGCAACACATCCATATCTCAGACTGTCTGGGCCCTCGCCACCAACACATGGGAGGCGCCGCATCGTGCAGGCCCATGGACGATCGCGGATCTTGGTCAATTTCGTTGAGAACACACATTGCGCGTGGGCGCAACTCAAATGTTGCCAGCAAGCCTAATCAGTACCTAAGATAGGTACCATAGGACCGCGCCTACACGGGCTAACAGATTGTCCTGTCCGCACATAATGGTGGCGAGATGACGGCCCAGCCTCTCTTTGTTACTACGCCAGCAAGGCTGGTTCTCTCATCCCCCATCCGCTAGGGTCCTCCGCATACACGACCGCCTACCCGCATCCCCGTCAGTGCATAGATCGAGCTCGGGGTAGCGAGTGAGCGTACATTGAATTCCCAACACCGCCAATGCAGCTGCATCCTACCTTTGGGGCGTAAGCCTAAGATCTGTCACCATGAGGAACCACAATCATCCCGTTACAATCCGGGGCTCACGATGATGGTGGTTCTCCATCAACACAGCCTATTCAGCGTTGAGGGGGGATTTGAGTTTGGGTCGATAGGATTACGCCTCGAATATGAATAAGAGACTTGTTTTCTATTTTCTTGCACTCGGAAGTGGTGTGCAGTCAGGTATCCTCATCCTGTTATCTAGTAGAAACGCCAGCCATGCCACCCTTGTAAACATAAGTCATGAACCGCACAAGGTGTGCAGCACAAACGCAAACCAAACGCAAAAAAAGAGACCAGAAACGAGTTGCTCACTGGAGCAAGTGGTCGCGGAAATGCTTCTGGTGGTTGGCACGTTTTTCGTTTCCAGCCAGGTAATTTGTCCTGTGGCGCTGCTCCCGCTTCTGCTCGCGCTTCTCGACAGCGCGGATCTCAGCCTTCTTCGAATCGCTCACGCCGATCATACCAAGGCCACCGTTGGCGCGGGTGGTGAGTTGTTGCCGGCCACGTCCGCCGTCTTCCATGTCCACGTCTCCGTCAGAATCAGATGAGGCTGCACCTGCGATGGCGCGTCGTTGCGCGGCCTCCATGCGCTCAGCGACTCCAGGGTAGTTGCGAAGGTTCTGACGGTAGTACTTGTTGAGTGACCTATGGCCTGCAACGCGACCTGTCGGGAGGTGGAGCTCGTAGTCGTCGTGGTAGACAGCCACTGGTGTGGCGTGGGCGTGCGAGTGGAATCCGTCGGCGCTCTTGTGTGGTCGAGGATCGCCATGGGCGTGGTGTTTTGATTTGTTGAGAAGCTTGTGGCGGTGGGTACGATCAATCGGAATGGCGGTAATCTCGTCGGTGGGCACGCTCGACACAGTGCTGTCTGTCTCCCATCCTTCATCTTCTTCTTCACCCGAGTGGACAGCTTCGTCATCCTCGGTTGTGGTGACCGTCTTCCGTGCTGCGCCCAGCTTCACGCCGCCGCCCGCGGTAGATGTGGAGTCATCCGAATCGATATCTTGCTCCATATCATTGAACCGGTCTGCGTCGGGATATGAGCTCCGGAAATCGTAGAATTCGCCAATCTCGACCAGCTCTTCGTCAGTCTCGAAACCGATCATGCAATGGCCTCGGTCGCGCATGTGGGTCTGGATGCCGTGTGACGAGTGGGCGTGCTTGTGGCACTTGAGACACTCGTGTTGCTCGTAGATTTTGTCGTGCAAGTGCTTGATGAGACTCTCGGGCTCGACGAGGAACTCTTTCTCCGGGATAAACATGCCGTGGTGGCGCCCCATGTGGTGAAGGTTGAGCGAGAAGTTGGGGGAGCGGTAGTTGCAGAACAAGCAGTCCTGGAGAGGGTCTGTTTGTGTCTTGTTGCTGGACGCGACCGAGGACCCATCCTCCTCTCTGGCGCTCTCGTTGGCGGCCGTTGGGGACAGTGGATGCTCGGGCTTTGCGGCGGCTCGCGAAGGGTGGGGTCGTGCAGGGCGGCGCGAGAGGGGCTCGGAAGCATCGCTGCGTGTGTTGTTGATGCCGTCGGCCACGTCAGAAAAGTCCTTCTCGGCCTCGGGGTCCAGCTCGGTCGTCTCGGAGTCTGCGGTTGAGGCCATGGACTCGCCCAGGCTGAAAGCGGAGCTCATGACGGAACCTGTGACGGAGGCGGCATCGTCGAAGCCGGCCTTGGCGACGTTGGCCCTGTGCTTCTGGCTGTTGAGGTGGTTGTTGTAGGCATTCTCGCTGTAGTACGTCTTCTGGCAGGGGCCGCAGGACTTCTCGAACGAGGCTCTGGCGGCGGTGGCGGCGGCCGAGGCCTTGTTGGCGAGGACCTTCTCGGTGAAGACTTCGGAGGAGAGGGGCGGCAGCGAGGCGACGCGGCGCTTGAGGTTGTAGCGGCTGTGGGCCGTGGTCAGTACCTGTGTGCACTTTGTGCGTGTTGGCGGGGCACTCACTGCCAGTCGGTCTGCATGTGGGCGCGCTGCAGGTCGCCGGAGCGGAAGGCGACCTGGCACGTGTTGCAGGTGAAGGGGTGCGTGGACTGCACCGAGGGCGCTGCTTGGGTCGCCATGTTGGCGGGACGTGTGCGTGGTGGGCGGTGGACGGTGAGGGTGGTGGGAGGAGGCGCAGAGCCGCAGTGTGTATTATGCAAATTCCAAGTGGGGTCGGTGGGCAAAAGTCGGGCTGCAGCAGCACGGCGCCGAGATTTTTTCTCCAGAGGCAGCCTGAGCGAGCGCTTAGCAAGCGGCGTCCTGGGGCTGGGGCTGCTGCTGGCGGGAGCATGCGCTCGCACGTTGCCCCGGGCCGCCGCGACTTTGTGGGCTGCGCGCAGGCTGGTGACGTTTTTCGCAGCCACGCCGGGCGGCGAAAGGGCACGCAAGCGACGAGCTAACCGCGGCGTCAGCCCTACGAGCACCGCCGCTCCAAGCGGCCGCAGGGCTGACGGCAACGGCCAGGCACAGGCTCGCTCTCGCAGAACCTGGGCCCACCGCGCCCGCGACTGCACCGCTCCCCGCCGCCGCCGTGCAACCAGCGAGGACGCGCCCGATGCCATGACGGCGCCGCATGTCGGCTCCAGTGCCGTTGCGCGCGACCACGTTGCAGCCGTCGCCGACGCACGCCGCATCCTCGAGTCTTCGCAGGTTGCCCGCCAGCGCGAGTTCCAGCGGCTCCTCCGACGGTGAGCCCGCGCCGATGCCACTGCTCGCCCTACACCTATTGACTGCTGCAGCTACATGTCGCAGATCCTGTACGGCTGCACGAGCACCTGCTGCACCACCCCGACCTGTCTCTCCTGCAACAAGCGCCTCGTGTCGCGGCCCTTTCGACCCCCCACCCAGCTGACCGCCCGCGCCCTGGCCTTCTACCTCGCGAGCCAGCATGACCCGCACCGCCGTCTTTGCCCCCACGCGCTCAACGTCGATCCTGACACGCTCGAGATTGAAGGCGCCCAGGGGGTGTACATCCAGGCCGCAGACGGGACCCATGATGCAACGTGCCATGTCTATCCATCCATACCCACCAACAACACCACCAACAACGGCAGCGCCGCGCGTGGCCAGCTTGGGGATGCTGCACACCTAGTGCCTATAGTAGACGCACTGGAGCATCGTCGTCAGGCGCGGAAAGATCCAAAGTCGCTTGGCCAGAATCTATACGATACCCTCACTATCATATTCGCCTACTCCAAGCACATTCCCAGCCCCTTGTCCATTCTACCGTCACTTGCTTCGCCGTTTGATCGAGAGCCACGCCACGTCGGCGGCTCTCTTCCCCGTGAGGCAATGTCACTGCCCGCCAACAAACGCCAACGTGGTGCAGAGCAGACATCATCCACAGCTTCTACTAGCGCAGATGCCACATTGTCCAACGTGAATGCGAGGCGGATATCTGCAACGCAAGCAGCTCAAGCGCCCAAACACGTGGTTCCGACATCATTCAACCCGGACGCTTTTGAGATCTTGTCGCACACGCCTTCTGACGCTCCTCTTCACGAACCCTTTGGCGGTGCACGCGACGGTGCCGTTGCTGACAAGCGCACAATCGTAGCCAGCCGCCCAATGTCCAGTATGCAGGCAAGGGTGACGACGGGTGCTTCGCATCCCGAGCCATCAATGGACAATGGCCGCAACGTTCCTGCGAGAACTTACGGCGGCGGGCAACCCGCAACTCTGCCCGTCATCTCCCATCTCACCTGCCAAATCATGGACCAACTGAAAGGGAAAGTCCACCATCATCGGAGAGACCAGTCCCAAGCGTCAAATTTCGTCGTCGACTACGATGCCAACAGACGATGTCGACCCGCCAAACCTTTTGTAAACAGGGCTTTGTACTACTCGCTTAGCGACGCAGAAACTCTCTTGAAATCGTTTCGAGATCGTCTTGGCGATGACTTCAGGTATTCTCCGCTCCCTCATCTGGATGCCCATTATTTGTCACACGCTTTTAGAGACTGGAATCAAAGAAATGGTGCCTTGATATTTGACAGCTTGTATGAGGCCCTGGAAGCACTTTTAAGACCACCCCCAGAGCTTGTTACACTAAAAAGCCCGCGTCTGAGAGCTGCAAGGAAACTTACACCCCCACCGCAATCTGCTGCTTGCAACGATGCCTTTGGGAGATATCTATCAACTTTAGAGGCTGCTCATTTGATCATGATTTGTATTCACGCCTTGACATCCTCGATACCCGTCGGCTGGCCACACACGTGGGTCCAGGTGCGCAATCTCAGGGGTTGGGGGGTTGTCATTCCCGGCGCGCCTCTCAAGACAACTCAGAGCGACGACTTCGTGCATCCTTGGCTTGATATTGTCGATCAGCTGGAGTACGAGCCGGCCATACGTTTAGCAACAAGACTGCTGCAAGCTATCGGAACAAGGAGGTGTCATGAGCATATGCTTGCAACGATCGAGGCCCGGGACGAAGGTCAAGCACCGACGGAATCATCCGCCGGCGTGGAACGCTTGCTTCCCGTATTACTGGGACATCTCACCCAAGTTGAGAAAGCTGCGCTGCAGCGGAAGGGAAAGATGGGGTCCGCTCAAATCGTTGACGAGGATCCTGGTTGGACCATCACTGCCACCTTCATGGAGTGGCTCCGCACCGTCATTGTCAAGCAGTGGGATGGCAATGTTGACATCAACAAATGGGGCAGCGTCGGCACTGCAGTTACCATCATGACACATTTCCGTCAGTCGTACCCATGTTCTGCTTCAAAACGCTTGCTAATCATCGCAGACGCTAACATGGAACCTCTGAATCTACGCCCTCATATGTTTCTGATACCTCATTTTCATGAGGAGATTGACTGTATACAGGCACCGCTTGATTTTCTCAAGTACAAGGAGCGACCGAATTCGTTTCATGTCCTACAGCATCCCATGTTCTTCACGCAAGATGCCCTCGTGGGGTACTTTCGTGCTATCAACTTCAATCGAATGTTCAAGCAATTCCAAAAGTCAGCTCGCATTACAAACTTTCAGTCACGGTGGGACCAGATCATCAGCAACCCTCGACATTGGAATGTCGCCATGGATCACCTTGAAGTGTCCTTTACAGAATACCTAGTGCTAGATGTCACTCGACACAATCCACTTGAGGAGACCTTGGACCAGTTGTGGGGACAAGAAAAACGCAAGCTCCTGAAGCCACTCAAAGTCAGGATAGGCATCCTAGAAGGAGAAGTCGGCCTGGACCAGGGCGGTGTTACGTACGAATTTTTCAGGCTGATACTCAATGAAGCTTTCGAGCCTGAGAATGGTAAGCCACCACGCTTTCCCTGGGCATGTGATATCTTTGCTGACTTTATTAGGTATGTTTACCGTCGATGCGGAGAACGGCATGACTTGGTTCCAGCCCGCATCACTCGAGCCACTCTGGAAATTCGAAATGGTTGGCGTCCTACTCTCGCTTGCCATCTACAACGGTATCACCCTTCCTGTGACCTTCCCAGTCGCCTTGTATGACTACGTTCTGTCCGAGGAACACAATAGCGAAGATATGATGGCTGTCGACTTCATTGCCGATGGCTGGCCGACGCTGGCAAAATCATTCCGAGAGTTCCTCGCCTGCCCCGGCGAGGTCGCAGACGTGTTCATGCGCGACTACACATTCAGCTTCTCGGTCTTCGGTCAGAATATTGACGTTGACATGCAAGCGTTCCGCAACCGCACATGGCCAGACTCTACTTGCAGTTTAGAAAGCTCATCGCCCAGCGCTGATATGCCACCCTGTCGAAGCCTGCATGACGCCTCGTGGCGACGGCCGAGGGACGTGCGAACTAACCCGCTGACCGTTACAAACGAGGACAGAGAACAGTACGTTTGTGATTACGTCGAATGGCTTACGTACAGGTCCGTTGAGCGACAGCTCGAAGCCTTTACGCGCGGGTTCCACACTTGTCTCCACCGCACGTCTCTTTCCTTCTTCACGCCCTCTATGTTGCGCTCCCTGGTTGAGGGTTCGCCAACTATATCGATTCCACTCCTCCGCACGCAAGCTGTGCGCTACGAAGCACCGTATCATGCTACGCACCCCACAATCCAGGACTTCTGGGCTGTGGTCGAAGGTTATGACGACGAGGAAAGGAACGCTCTCCTCGAGTTCGTGACGGCCAATGAGAGAATCCCAATTACCGGTTACGACAGCGTGAAGTTTGAGATCAGCAGGAGTGGGGGTGATACGGAGAGTTTGCCAACGAGCAGTACGTGTTTCGGCAAGCTATATCTACCCGAGTACAAGGACAGAGAGAAGTTAGGAAAGAAGCTGGGGATCGCTATACGGAACAGCAAGGGATTTGGAATTGTCTAGCATTCGCATGGGTTTTCAGTCATTGTACGATACTTGGTGGGCACTTTGATTAGGTTTTGGCCCCAATGTGTTGCGTGGCCCAGGACGTTCGGGTGAGGATGTCGATGAATAGGGAAAACCGCATTCGCTGTGTGGAGTACTAGTGCACGACAGTCTTTGATTCTCTGCATAGCACCCTGGCGCGGCGGCTGCTGTCGAATTGCAACATGTAGAGCTTATCAGCATCAGTTTCGTCGTCGTTTGGCTGAGAGATGTTTGCATGGAACGGCCAATGACAACATAACGCTTACAGAAGAAGAAATCAAAGCCGAATGGGTTTACGCAGAACTCAAGCAATTCTCTGTTCCTCTTCGTGAGCCAAAAGCCCTGCGCTTTCCTCGTGCCGATGCCCGACAGACCTCCAGAAGGGTCTACCCTCGCGACGCGCCCGCCATTCCTCTGCCCTTCTGGCAGCTTTAAACCCGAAGTGCCACACCAGTCCGGCAATGAAACCAACAGCATCATTCCGGAACGCCAACAGCGTCGCCACCGTGACCAGCATCACCGTGAATCTTTCTTTCCGCTCAGTCTCGCCAAGCTCTTTCAGCCTCTTTCCGTCCCACGAGTTACTTCTGTCCAGCACCCGCAGATCACGAGCATTCGTGTTGACGCTCTCGCCGACTTTGGCTAGCTCGACTCCAGCCGCAAGAATAAGCACACCAAGAAGAGAGCTGGGTATTCCAGACAGAACACTGACGATGGGCCCAGGTTCAAAGAAGGCGATGATGCCCAGGATGAACTTCAGAGCACCGAGGAAGATGATGCTGGCGCCGCTGCGTGCACCAAAGCGGTACTGCCCCGCTAGACCGCCTGAGCCGTGGCAAGTGGGCATCCCGCCAAACCAGCATGCTACCAAATTGATTGCAGCCACGGAAACACCTAGTTCCGTCACAGATGGAGCTGCGGGATATGGCGGCGAGGGCAATAGATCGGAGGCCAGTGCCGCGGCCGCGATGACAGAGTTCAGCAAGGTAAGGGGAAGTTGACCTAGAGATGCAGTCGTGGTAGCTTTCCAAAAATCCTGGCCGGATGGATGGAGTATCGGGATGTCGATTACCGCTGGTGTTGACGTGCTGCTGGCTGGGGATAAGATGGAGAGGACGATGCCGACCGCGAAGATGATCAAGGTATAAGGCATTTTTGGGTATGCGAATGTAAAAAGCAAAAGAACCACTGCTGCGATAGCCCACAGTAAATTATCGCCCCACCATGGCCCAGTCCAGCTAAGCGGTGCAAGCATCTTCGTACCTGCGCTGAGACATAAAGACAGGCCGGCACCGACCTGGATGCCCTTGATCACAGGGATAGGGGTGAGTCTGTTCGCGTAGTTGATGAGGCCAGTGACGCTCAACATGCCAGCCAACGATGCAACCTGCAAGATAGGCTCAGATTAATTCAGGCACATTACGCGAATGTTTCAGCTTACCACTATACCAGCAGCGGCGGTCTCTTCCAGCGTAAACTTCCTCGCTATGGCTACGGCTGCTATTGCCTTCATGGGTTGCACCGGCAGTGGAGTACCGAATGCGACGCCTGTCAATATATTGGCGGCTCCCGTGAAGAGGAGTGTCGCGGGTAAGGAGATGGACCTAGTAATGACGAGGGCTGTCATGAGTGGCAAGAGTGTGCCCAGGTCGCCCAGCGACCCAGAGAGCTCTGCCAGAGGTGTCGATGTGAAGGTTTCGACATTGTGTCTGTGCACCCTGCGTAGCCGGGGAAGCGGATTTTCGATGGAGACCATGATGAGAATAGGGAGCGAGGCTGAGATGCAGAAGATGTGCAAGTGCCCGAGCGAGAAACGAACGAGCAGACAACGTAGGCGAACAGGGTAAAGTCAAAGGTAGACGAGCATTGTAGTAGTGGTTGCAGGGATATCAAAGGTGGGATGCGGTCGGAGGCCGGCAATGGATGATGGTCAGCACGCTTTCCCGGCCAGCCACGTGCGCGTCACAAGCTAACGCCCACGTGTCCACGCTCGACAAGTAGTACGTAGCTGCGATAGGGATGGCGCGTGTGTAGTGAGCTGACGGGCGTGCAGACGTGAGGGGTGAAGGCTAGTGCCGCGATCGATGGCGTGCGATGTGGCTGCCTGTTAGGGCAAGTTCGTTGCGTAGGGACAGCGCGAGCGTTGCCACAGCCGTGGGCGTTGTTCGATGGGTAGGATACATTGCTGTGTTGGGAAATTTCGCTTAATGTCCGACATGAGCACCCCTCGCCTCCCATCACCATCCAGGAATCCCATCCCTCGCAGATGTTTGCACTCCACCTGATTATTCGCATTCAGAGGGACATGAATCCGACAGGCCACTCATGTACACGATGTACACGAAGGCCAATGGCTTTTGGTAAATTTGAGGTGGAGCTAGAACACGACATGTCTATCAGGGAAACCTGCTCTACCTTTAGATACTCGCGTGAACGTACAACCGACGACTATATGCTACATAGTGAGGTTCATAGCCCTATTTTCCTGCTAATCTAGTGAAGGTCACTACTCGCAGCCCCTATAATGGTCAGACCAAGATCTGAAAGTCAGATGGTTGACCACGGAGACGGGCAACGACAGCTTGATTCACCTCAAACTCGCAGACAATCTCAAGATCCCACACATAGCCAGTGTAGCTTGGTTTGCATTGGACAATCTGCCGCATCGCAAGACACTGTGCCGGACGGGCGATACACATTCATCTCCGGACACCAACGTAAACTTAGAACACGCACGGACAACGATTCGCGAGCCAATACCAGCGAATTACGATACACCGGCCACAGTCCGAGGGTAGCGATCCATGCACCGCGCCATTGTTTCGTCATCGATGCGAATGCGAACGCGAATGCCATCTGCTAGCTCGTATCATATATTGGCGCCTCCCGCTCACAATCTTTACAGTGTATCGGTTGACTTCGCCGATCCTGACCTACCCATAGCCGAATCTCCGCACAAGAATCGTTATGTGCACAGTATCGAGAAATAGTGGGGGCCAATCTAGGCTGCGTCGTAAGCTCTGCGGTCAGTCGGGTTGGCTCTATGTTACTCGATGACTGGCGGATACATGCTGCCGATCGAAACGTTCCACGAACGCTCGACAAATGCACATGCGGTTTGGTGAAGTAATGGGAACACGAATTTTTCGACGTCGGTACTTTCGTCGGTGCATCATATCTCCTCGCACGAAAAATAATTATTCAGTCGAGACTCCCATCGCAAGATGGGCATTGCACTGGTATGTGTGTACGTTCTGGCGCAGCTCGATCTGAGGTTTTCTATAGCACCAGGATGTGTACAGTACCCCGTAATAAGAACCATACTTTGCCAAGCAATCCTCAACGCGAGTGCGGGTTAGGTTGGGGGCCACCTCATAGGCTAATGGCGGGAAGGATGCCGAGCTCAACGGCTGCCACTTAAGTGGTCAATTTTTTGGGTTTCGGAGGGACAATCTGGCCGTGTTATATACACGCGTACTGGACGTCATGTGGATCAAGAGTGGCGCAACATGTACCGATCTGGCCACGTTTAGCTGCTTCCTGCTAACAGGCCTCCGCCGATCCGGGTCTTAGGGTCAAGTGTACGCCATGCATGCTTCCATGCATGCACACGGGAAACGCCCGAGTACGTTGCAGTACAGGGTTCCTGTTCTTTGTCGGTTGTTGAGACACGGCTATCGGTTTGTGCAACATTCTTGCACTTCTGAGCTATGCGGCTTTAGGACATCGTGGCTACGTCGTATGGTTACCGTGGCCCATGTAACTCACACATACTACCGGGTACGAATTCACGTCTAATCCGCAGATGTAAGTCCGGAGAGCACACATTACCACGTCGAGGCTCTTAGTCAGCCGCTGAGACAGCTACGCACACCACAAATGGTATTACACCACAGGCTCCGAGATGTATACCATCACATGTGTCTGATGGCAACAGCCATTCAACTTCAATCGGAGCGGAGATTACAATGCGCCGGAGTAATGGGAAGCGTACCCGAGCAGCCCAAATTGGCAAAAGGCGACTAATTTTTCGCTTAAAGAACAAGGTCAACGAGGAAATGGCCATCATGCATAGAGAAGGGGCCGGGGCCAGGCTCGCGTCCAATCTTGTTGTCACTCGTCAATGTGACCAGTCGCTGTACACTATTCGTTGCGAGAAGAGTTTCTACCAATCACTATCGCGCCTCCCTGAAAATCTACTAGACCTGAGCTATAGATTCGGACAGATTATGAAAACTTGCAGTTTTAGCTAGGTGCATATGTAATTTTCGCTACGGTTATCGGCGAAACCCTTGTATGACTCGGTCTGTACACACTAAGTCATAACGACCCACGTAACGAGATTATGCTGTAGTATCTGTAATGAGTCAGGGACGGCCGCTGTACGCTCTCGAGTAAGGCTGAAGAGTTCTTCGTCCGCTAGGGCACCCTGGTCTTCTGGAACAGTATCAGATGGGTCATGCACAAACGGAAGGGGCCAGAGCAGCGTGGTGTCGTGGATAGGACGGAAGTATGGCTGAACGGAATTGGTCATCCTTCATATCATTGTCCATCTGCTGCGCCCACCGCCGCCGAGGATCTTGCTTGTTCAATCGTATTCCAGTGGCTCAAGCATCGCGACTAGTCCCTGCAACTGGCACACAGCCAGGCAATTCCGTCGCTCCCTCTGTTCGCCGAACGCATCGTCTCGGTCCTTCCAACAGTCACCAGTAGACACCAGCGCCTACATATCTCAAGATTCCCTATAGCATTCGCAACTGAAGACAGTTCTTCGAATTTGCTTCACTGTGGGACTGCAGCCATGAGTCCACGTTCTCAAAGCCCCGCCACAACGCATTACGAGTTCATCGCGCATACAGGCATCGAAGATGCATCAGCGAAGCAGAAACTCAAAACAGTCAGAAGCCATGTGATGAGAAACTACCTTCACCAGCAGCAACGGCAGTCCGGGCAGTCATCCAAATCTATCGTGAGCGAGCGGCGACAAAACAAGCAGCGCGCCCGCTCATCGCGATCTGCTTCCCAAGATGCGGATTCCCCTAAAGCTGCAGGTACTACCAGGAATCCGCAGAATCAGCTCGCTCCTGGCTATATTGGATCTTTTGACGTCGGCTTGAGTGGAGCTCCTCATGGTAAGCCCATCACCACTGTTCCTTCCGATATTGCAAGCTGTTTTTCCTTCGAGCAGACCAGGAAGCAAAAGCAGACGACGCTAACATCTTCTCCAATCGTTATAGGGCCAAAAATGAAACCACTCCTAGGCTATGTCCCACAGCAAGACGTTGTCTCTTGCCTTGCAGAATTGTACTTCACCTGCGTCATAAGAGATAAGAAAGATGGATATCCACAACCGAGTTTCGACACTTTGAATGCCAAAGGAGAGACGATGCGCGTAGTTCAAGAAAACTTGGAGATGTGCGGTAGCGACGTCCCCGATACTGTTTTATTTGCCATAAACATTCTAGCATACGGATGTGTAAGTAGAGAATATATCCAATGTGAATCCAGCTTACCTTTCATAGAGTGCGAATCACGAATGGAATGAGGCTCTGGGGCATGTCGAAGCGTTACAGCGGCTTGTAGAGACACGGAATGGGATGCACAACATGGAGTTCGATCTGCAGAGGATATTGACTTGGTGGGTCCAGCTCAAAAAGAAGCTGTCAAGTCCAGAGCTCACAATTCCTGCAGCTCGTCATTCTTCATTGCGGCTGAACTGTTACTTCCGCCCCAATTCCCGCTTCCGTTATATCCCAGCCCCATCCCATTTAATCTCGCTTTCCAGGATGACGCTCAGATACGTGCGTGGCGCACGGTCAAACGATTCCCGAAGAATAACTCATTTGTATTCGATGTGGTCATGCGAATGCACCAGTTCGGCCTTGCTGTGTCACCAGAGTGGACCGATAAGATAGACAAATGCGCTCTCAGCAACCTTTACTTCGAAGTCATGCACACTGCAGTGGTTGTACAACTAGAAGAGCCATGGCAAGGACAGCTTCAGGGTGGGACGCAAGGACGAGAAGGTAGTATCATGTTCAAGGTATGGGCCGCCGGCCTGCCGATTTATGTGGGTGCTGCGCTTCGCCATCTAAGGCTCCGTCGAGACAGCAACGCGATGCGCTACTACCACGGCCCAATTTTCAGTCGCATTCAGACAATACTCGACGAAAATGGTGGCCATCACGCGTGGCCGCGTGGGAGATCCCTGGAACCCATCCTAGCGACACTTTTCTACGCTCTAGAAGCATGTGCCTGGGACGATCCTTGGCGGACTTGGTGTCTACACACTATGCGCAAAGTTTCGGATCTTTTGAAGCTCAAGAACTCAGAAGAGTTCAAGAAGGTTCTAGATTTCTTCCCGACCACCGAAAGGTATCAAAGTCTGACGGACGACATTTGGGCAGAAATTACACATTTGAGCGTACCAAGTACGCTTTCATGCGTTTTGCATGTTTTTGGCCAGCATTAATGACCTATCAAACAGCCAATTATTTGCTCCTGCATATGGCGGATGCATCGATATACAACGCTGCAGGGAGCTTAGCCATCCCAACTGCTAGTCCCGTCTCATCAAACCCAGGATTGCCCTATATATGAGACTTTGCGTAAGAAGTGTATGCAGAGGTGTGGTTGGGAGTTTAGGCTCCCGCTCTGCAGTCACAGCAGTGCGTTTCTTGTGGGGAATCGCCGACGACCGTTCATACGAAATCTCAAACTCCTCCGTCTACAACAACCTCGGGATAAGCCTCGCTTGGCCCATTGAGTAGCTCACTATCCTTTTTCTCAAAAACATAACCAAGAAACGCTCTAACGTACGTCAACACAACTTCGAAGCTCCTCTGCCCATCACTCGTCCCGATAAGTTGTTGAAGCTTCCCCGTCGCTGGCCACCCACCTAGCTTCGCAAGTAAGGACATATCACCAAATCCAGTATGCTCGGCACCTCTCAACCCGAATTCTCGCCGCCAGCCCTTAAGATGATCCCAAGTTTCCTGCCACGTAGCATCGTCATTCCTGCTGTGGGGCGACGGGTCCCCACGACCAAAAAGCAGTACAGCCGCATAGCTGTCGGTTATGTTTCCAAATTGGGCGCCATCAAGGTTGAATGATCCCGCAACCCGTACATCTTCCATGCTGGCGCGGATCGCCGTTGCGCCTCCAAACGAGTGGCCCCCATATGCTACCCGCTCGACGTTGAAACCGCGAGCGGCACCAGCTATTGGGAACTTCCCGGGTGTGTATTTCCCGAGGGTCTCCAGCACGAACTGTGCATCCTTCACATTCGTTTCCAAGAGTGATGGTACATTTGCGCTTGGTTTGCAAAATCCAGGAGGATCCTCGATGCACCAAAACGATATATTCAGCCCGTTGACATATGTGCCGTCCGGGTACTCTACGACGACGGAATCGTATGTCGAGTCTAGGGTTACGACTGCGTATCCTGTGCTTGCAAGATCTTGCGCCATAGCGTTGTAGATGAGCCGTGAACCGCCGAGACCGGCAGAGAACAGTACCAAGGGAAAATCCGTAGCATGATAGGCAGCTTTCGGAGAAGGTATGCAGCAGACTTGCATTCGGAATGATTCGAATATTTTGTCTCCGGTAACTCCAAAGCTTGCGACAAGGGAGTCGTAGTACGCTGAAGTGACGGGAGGCATATAGGGAACGGTACATGTCTGTTCGCACTCATTCCGATCGATGGGATAGAAAAGCGATATGGTTATGTTTCGCTCGCGATGTTCTGGGTCGTAAGGGTCAGTCCGCCCGCTGTCGACCAATGTACTGGTGAGCAAAGCAACCGTGTATGTGCCGTTGGGCTGTGGAATGATAAGCGCCTCACATGGCCATAACACGCCCAGCGCTAGTATCGCATAAGTTAACAAGTGTTTTAGCATATGCATGTTGAGTTTGGAGGAGATTTTGAGGTGCAGGTTCGACTAGAGCAACCAAAGTGCGCGCGCGAATATGATCAATCTACGAATTCGGGCCCGAGTAGATTTAGATTAATTGGATCCATGTTGATAGCGAATTTACGAGTGTGTCAAGCTAACACCGGAATGGGCGTCGTGTATGTGGTCTACACGTTTCTCCGCATGGGATTGCATCTGAGAATTCGGATTTAACCTGATCGCCGAGTGAGGCTAATTACTCTAACTACATACCATTTGTAGACCAGATGAGCAGTGCAATATTCATAACAACCGACCAATATCGCCGCAACTATTGCACCTGCACATTTAAGTTGTAATCAGTCTTCGGGATCGGATAGGAATACGGGCTACTCTCCATCCAGTATTTCGCAGCCGCACGTTACGGAAGAGATGATCGATAGGTACCCTTGACAAAAATCTCCACGAGCCAAAGCCCCAGTGCATGGGTGTCAAAGGTCCATGAACTATGTACAGTGGGAAAGATATCTTGCCCAGGTATACAGCAAGTGGCGTCTGGAACGGGTGGCGCAGAAAGGCGGAGCCAGACAGTGCGAAGACGAATACGGCCACACCCATCCGTTGCCAGAAACAGTCCTGTATATCGGTAAATCGAGGTATCATCCTGGCCAGTGTCCTGTAACCCCGTGTGCGGTCGGCGTTCCATACTGGCCAGGAGAGGAGGTGCAGGCCGAAAAGCCCGGTAGCGCACCAGGACGCACATTGTACGTCGGCCCGCTTTCTTCATGACTGGGCCGATGCATCTGCCAAATGCGATTGCTTTGACGACTCTTCTTGAATGACCATGAATTCTGCGATGACCATGCTAGCCATGAACAGCGCCGTCTCGCTCTCGATGACCCTATGACACATGCAGTATACCCATAGTACCACACCGAGGCTTATGCGGATCCTGGGTTTGAGTTTTGGAAAATCCAACTAGTGTAGCAAACAAGATGACAGAGTTACGGAACTCGATTGAAATGGTCCACGTGTGAACATCGTACATGAATTTTGGTTGATATGGGATGAACGGGTCCGCGAAGTGCCACATAGCTCGTAGCCAATCCTCTATTTGTGCCCAGTTTAATCAAAGACCGTTTGCATGAACTCGTTGGTTCCACCATACAGCCAGCCTTGTGATAGCGCATAGCCATGGTTGTATAGGCCCAAGAGAGTCGCAAAGAGCACGCCGATCTGGACCGCGAAGACCGGGAGGTATACCCGTAGCGCCCGTCTGAATACTGACGAGAACATAGTGTCGAAGAGTTTGTCGAAGTCGTGACTGCGGGCGAGCCTGAGCCGCTTCAAGGATAGCGAGACACCCGATAAGACGTAGAACGTGGCGACTTGGACCTGGCCGTTAACGATGAGGCGGATGATTGGGAGTTGGATCAGCCAGTGGTCGTCATCTCCATCGTTGCTGCCGTAGCCAAGGTTGAACTACTGGTGGAACATGTGCTGAAATTGATATATGTAGACGAGGAAAGCAGCGACGCCTCGAAGACCATCAAGCCATGCAGTGGGATGAGGCCGTTGTGCATTATCCGAGCTTGCATTTTCGTGTAGAAAGGGTGGTTTCGGTATCGAACACCTACCCCAGAAGAACCTTCACTCCAGTTGTTTCTCGTTCATGTAAAGATCCGTCCCATGGTCTGTTTCGAGCTGTTCCAGAAGAGGGGCGCCGTCGATGCTTGTCCGATCAAGGGTATACATGATGGCGGATCGATCTGGGGATTAGACACGAGGAAACCAAGCGAGCGCAGACACGCAAGCTCATATGAAGAGTGGGACGGGCTATCGAAGCATTCCGACATGTGTTTAAAATGCTTCCTGTTAGGCACTTTGATGATGATGTAAGGATGCTTGCCCTTACTGCTCCCAGGAACCGATTGTGCATGGTCGTTTCTCGAGCCAACTTTAACTGATATAGCCATATAACGAAAGCTGGCCTCGGGCGACGATGAGGCCAGTTATAATATGCTGGAGTTTTTCGGGTTGGGTAACACCAGCTGTGCAGGTCGCCCTGTGTTGATGGAATTCGGTGGTTGCGCGCCGTACTGCGGCAAATCCATCGGAATTATGGTAAGAGCCATTCATTCTTACCTGCACAACATTGTTCCCCAGGCGTGCAGCCATATATTTCGACTTGTACATGGCGTTGAATAAATCGTCGTGATCCGCGCTCGGCCGTGTAGCTCCCCTGCAACCTCGGCTGATGTCACCCGAGCCGACCTCTCCCGATCGATGCGCACCAGCTTAACCCCCGCCGTGATACCGTCATGGTGAAGTAGCAGCTATAACAAGGCATGGATCGCTCTCTTGATGGTTTGGTCCCCACTGTCGCAAGTGTGCCTAGCCGCCAAAGTTCGCCGAGATAGAAAACCCACCGAAGATTACAAACCATTGGTCCCGCCAACATAGATACAGAGAGCCGTCGCCGCCACTATGCCTACCCCTCCATTCTCACAGGACCGCAGAGATTGGCTTGAGGAAGTGCTTGGATTTATTGTGCGGAAACGAAAGGACTCGACTGTCGCATTTGCGGTTCCCGTACCCAACATTTACATCAACGATGGCGCCTCCGCAAAGGATAAAGCAGTGGTTAACAGGCCAGGACGGTCTAGATAAGCTGAGACTAGACGAGACTGACTGTCCCGCACCGGGGCAGGATGAGGTGCTCGTCGAGGTTCATGCGGTTAGTCTGAATTATAGAGACACAGAGGGTATGTCAAGCAACCGACAATGAGTGCTCCGGCTTAGCTGAACAAGCCTTTCAATCGCGATAGAGGAGCGATAGCTGACTGGCGTGAAGTTACCATGGGCCTCTACAATCACCACAAATCTGTTGAGCACCCACCAGCGCTTGTTCCTTGCAGCGATATGTGCGGTGTGGTCGTCGCGGTCGGCCCGTGCTCTAAGAAGACATCAGACCCATTGAAGAACCCAGCATTCCAGCTCAAGGAAGGAGATCGTGTAATCAGCACCTTTGCTGCCACCCACTTGACGGGTCAGGTGCAGGCCTCGGATGTCGCAAATGGCCTCGGAGGCCCTGCCCCGGGTGTTTTGACGCAGTATCGAGTCTTTCCCACGTACAACGTCGTCAAGATCCCGGATTATCTAACCGCCGAAGAAGCAAGCTGCTTGCCAATCGCCGCAATGACTGCCTGGATGAGCCTGAACTGCATGCGTCCACAGGGCGAGATCATCGGTGCGAATGAGACAGTGGTCTGTCAAGGGACTGGGGGCGTCAGCATCGCCGCTCTGCAAATTGCTGCCGCTGCAGGCGCTTCTGTCATCGTCACCAGCTCTTCCGACTCGAAGCTGCAGCGGGCACAGAAGCTCGGCGCGCAGACGCTTGTCAATTATAATTCGATGCCGGACTGGGAGGCGTCGGTGCTCAAGGCGACTGGCGATGCAGGGGCCGATGTGATTCTTGAGGTTGGAGGGGCGAAGACGTTACGCAAATCTTTTGACTGCGTCAAGTTCGGTGGCCTGATCGCGTGTATAGGATACCTAAGCGGAAAGGTTGACGACGACACGGACCGAACCAACACGAATCTGTTGTGCCTGAGAAGGAATGTAACGCTCAAGGGCATACTGAACGGACCCCGAGACAGGCTGGAAGAGATGCTGCGGTTTTACAGTGACAAGGAAATCAGGCCAGTGGTGGATCGGGTGTTCAAGTTTGAGGAGGGTGTCGAAGCGCTGAAATACCTGTACAGTGGCGGCCATTTCGGCAAGGTCGTGATTCAGGTCAAAGAGTAGACGGATAGGGCGAATTCAAGAATATCATTGTTGACGCGACACGCTCCCGTGTGGTGACTGCCCCTAGTGCAGGTACACTGAACAGGCGCACTGCGAAGACGGCCTCGATGTGGGCTTAGCGTAGCTCGACAGACAGCCAGGTTCATTGGGCCCCAGACGACCAAGACAGGTAGAGACGGCTGCACACATGGGGACCTCTCGGATCGCGGGAGGGGGCAAGATGATGAAAGCTGCGGGAATTGGGGCTGGGATCAGCAGTGCTAGCTCGCCGTGGACACATCTTCTGTTCGCTCAACGCTATCGCCAGTGTTGTCGGTGCGCCCTCGCTCGCTCGGCTCCCATTTGCGAAGATGCTTGCAGGTGCGCGGGCCAAGGAGGAACTCTTTGGCGCTGTCGAGGCGGAGGAGCCGAAGCGTCGCGTGCTCCACGCTCACCGGCCAGGCGTCTCCCCACAGATTCGTTTATGCCTTCAACGCGGCCGAGGCGGATGCTCAGGCCGCGCCGCCGACCGTGGGCAGCAAGCGGCCTCTTGCCTGGGCGATCCCCCGAGCGACGAAGAAGGCCACGTGACGCCTCCCGCGCGCGATGGGATGGTGACGGCAGCAGGGCGCCGCGGCCTGCTTCGGCCAATGACGCAGCTGACGCAGCTCGGATGCTGCCGCGCAGGCAGGTTAAGGCGGCGCCAATGCCGCCACCCGCCCGGCTTGGTCGGCTGCGAGAGCTTAATGCTCAACACCATGTGCTGCGTCACTGTTCGATGCCGCGCTGACCGGCCTGCTCGTCGCGCTGCCCGCTGCAGACGCGCAGAGGACGATGCCCCAGGGCCGCCTGCATCCACCGCGGCCCTTCTTCCCCGCATTGACTCGACCCAGGACAATGCGCACCTGCGTCTCTTAAGTAAAATTTTCGTCGAGCTCAAAATGTTACCTAAAAATCCTGTGCCATGTGGATACCTTCCCCAGCACCTGACGACTGTGCTCGCCCCGATAGATGATCCGTTCAATTTCCGAACGATACTGCCCGCCTTCAATGACGGCGCCGCGTTTGTAATGCACCGCTCCAAGATAAGCTGCAGCAATAAAACCGCCGCACCCGCCGGGCCCAGCAATGGCCTTCATCCTCTCTCCTACTCTGGGACGTCCTGCTGCCCCGCGGCTCCCTGCCCTGCTCTGTCCCAGATAATCCCACTGGTCCCCTCGCCGCACAGAGCCACCTGAAAACCCCACGCCTGCCCTGCACTTTCCTGTCGGTGCCGCAACCATGTCCCAGCCACATGATTTTGGCAACGTGCTTGCTCCTCCCATGTACGAGAAGGATGACACGAGCTCCGCTGGGAAGAAGAGCGACCCGGAGCTCAGCCCACTCGACCAGACACCCACCATCCACGAAGGCCAGGAAAAGTTCAACAGGTTGGGATGGAAGCGCCTGACCATCTGTCTCATCGTTGAGGCCATTGCTTTGGGATCTTTGAGCGTGCCCAGCGCCTTTGCCACGGTTGGCATGGTCGCTGGTGTCATCCTCACCGTTGGGTTGGGGTTGGTTGCCATCTACACCAGCTACGTCGTCGGCCAAGTCAAGTTGCGACATCCAGAGGTCCAGCATTACTCGGATGCCGTAGGCTTGATCTGGGGGCGGTTCGGTTACGAGCTCACCGGAGCCATGTTCGCAATCTTCCTGGTCCTCTTGGTTGGCTCCCACGCTCTCACGGGTACCATTGCCTTCATCAACATCGTTGACAAGGAGAACATGTGTGCCCTCGTCTGGGGAATTGTGTCGGCCATCATTCTGCTTCTTCTCGCGTTGCCGCCGACCTTTGCCGAGTTCGCCATTCTTGGATACATCGACTTTGTCAGCATCATCGTCGCCATCATGGTCACCATCATCTCTACCGGAGTCCAAGCGCATAATGCTCCGGGCGGCCTCGCGGCTGTCAACTGGTCGGTATGGCCACCACCAGAGACGACTTTTTACCAGGCATTCCTCTCAACCACCAACATAATCTTTGCCTACTCATTCGCCATCTGCCAGTTCAGTTTCATGTCTGAGATGCACACTCCCAAAGACTATGTCAAGTCAATCTGGGCATTGGGATTGATCGAAATCTTCATCTATACCGTGACCGGAGCTCTCATCTATGCCTTTGTCGGAAACGACGTGAAGAGTCCCGCGCTTTTGTCCGCCGGAACTACCGTCTCGCGCATCGCCTTTGGCATCGCTCTGCCCGTCATCTTTATATCTGGCAGCATCAACGGCACCGTAGTCGGCCGCTACATTTTGGACCGAGCATTTCCGAGATCGCCAATCCGATACATCAGCGGCGTCCGCGGCTGGGTTGTGTGGGTCTCTCTGCTAACTTGCCTTACGCTTATTGCGTGGGTAATTGCAGAGGCTGTCCCCTTCTTCAACGCGCTGCTCGGAATCATGTCTGCGCTGTTCATTTCCGGCTTCACCTTCTATTTCCCTGCGCTCTTCTGGTTTAAGCTTATCAAGAGGGGCAAGTGGAACGAGGGCATGCACAACATCTCTCTGTCAATCCTGAATGCGTGCGTCTTCATCATTGGTATCATCATCCTCGGGTGTGGTACGTACGCTAGTGTACAGGACATCATAAACCAGTACAACGGCAACAGCGTGAGAAGTCCATTCACCTGCGACTCGCACTCGTATACGTAAACGTAGCTGTGAGCAGCACGCGATCGTCCTTGTCTCTAGAATCAATCAATATGAGTTGTCAACCCAGGCTTCCTACTTACACCTCGAGTGATGCTCCATGCAACGTACCTGGGAGAAGAATGGCCGTGGGACTATTGAAGAAACACATTTCCAGCCTTGCTTGTTTGATGGCGATGAGAAGAGTACGGTATCTCGAGTCGTGTGGACGTGGTCGAGGCTTCAGTGCCACCTGAGACGAGGACTTCTGACACTTAGCAATGTCGCCAAAGGAGACTAACACCTCCCTATTACGGCGAACGGCCGGGAATCGCGACAGAGAGCCAGTGTATTGCTCATGGTGAGCCTGCGAGGTGTTGCTTTCGAGCTTCTCGAGCGGCAATCCGCCGGACCCAAAGGAAGATCTGCCTATCAAGTGCTTATGCACTGTCCCGTGCTCTGTTCGTAGAGCCCATTGAAACGAGGAAACTGCTCCAACTGCCCGGGACAGGCATTTTGGTATCAGGTCTGCATGCAAGTTCGATAAATTTAGAGACCTGGATACGTACCGCGATACAATTGGGAATTTCCGCCCTTGGGACGTAGTGGAGGGCACTATGTGACCTTGAGATTTGGACACACCGCGAATGCGGCATGGAAAACATGATTGGCACTTGGTCCCGAATGCATCAATGGAATGGGCGGATGAAATGCTCGACGAAAGAGTTTTGAATAAACGAATCTGAATGATCACGCTTACACCTGATTGTACGTGCACAGTAATCCCTCTAATTCTCAATGTGTGATCAGAGTGACATGTGGTACAAGCATGCTCAGAAGATTGCAAGCCAGTGCTGACGAGTTCAACTACCTGCTACTTGCCTATCTAGCCCTGGACAAATACTCTGAGGGGATATAGCGAAATCAATCGTGCTGGCCAATTTGCACTCGTGTTCCGGACTTAACTGTCCATTATAGCTCTGTGCGTGTTAGCGGATAACATGAAGAAAGGAGATGTCGGCATGCATGTGCTATGGGAAGCAAAGCAAAGTCCATCAAATTGAGAGCTGTGCGTCGAACCCCTACGATTTTGAAGCGTCAGACTGGATGTGAAGGTATGAACTTTCAAAAACCAAAGGATGTGTGACGAGTGTACGATCCCGTGTCATCTTTTAACACTGGTTGATTTAGAACAAGCTGGTGGCAGGGCAATGGGATCAAGCGCATGTCCAGCATTCCTGCTGCCGTCCTCGAGCGCCTTTCAATGTATATGTCGCATGGGGGGCGTCGCAGATGCCGATGACGACCCGCTATTACGGATCGCGACTCGTGGAGCGAGAAGCGCGAGCACTACTTCGTGCATGAGGGCTCGCCTCGCACTTCGCACCCAAGGGAGCATATGAGCCGCGCGCAATTCGTAGGCCCCCACATACATCCGCACCTGATCCACCACTTTTATCTGACAGTACAGACCCTCTGGAGGGCGCGAGAGGTGTTGTTCTCCGATCGGCATCGCCAATCACGACGGTTGATGAAGGACTTGGCCGGCAGCCTTACGATGTTGTGCTTACCTCAGACCATAGCTGAAGACAGGTTTGAACCCTGCTTCAGGCCCCAGGCCGAATCATGCGTGTGTTTTTACGAGGTGAGCATACATCTCGAAAGGGTCAAATTGCCCCGAATTAGGACAAATTCGAACAAAATGACCAAGACCGCCCACCTCGGTCATTTCATAGCTTTGACACGCGAAATGCCACTTCCGGTTACACAAACGTGATTGCCCCCAGGAAAGGATCAGATTGCTTCTCATTTTCTGCTTTGACCTTTCAGTGGCACCGCCAACGTACCCGCTTCTGCCTCGCCTAGGAACAAACTGTCCTAGGTATGGGCGAGCTTGCTGCATTTCATACAGCCATCAGCCTCATGACGCTAACGTGCGGGACTAGCATTGCTTTGAAAAGAGCTGAGTGCTCGCTGGCAGAGGCTGTGCCGATGAAAAGATCTACCGTGCCTGTGTCAAGGATTCTCCTTCGCTGGCCTTTTATATATGCATTCGCAACACCCCGCCAGGCTGTCTTCCTATAATTGTTTCCTCCTTGAGAGTGCTTGCACAATAAGATGTTGCCTGTAGTCTCGTGGCTGTTTCTCGCCGCATATGCAGCTGCCGAATCATACTATACGCTTGAGTTGACATGGACCAAAGGGTCGCCGGATGGCTTCGAGAGAGACATGATCCTCATCAATGGTCAATTTCCGGGCCCTCACATTGAGTTGGAGCAGGGCGACTGGGCTGAGATAACCGTCATCAACAAGATGCCTTTCAACACTACGATTCACTCTCACGGTAAGTACTTCACTTCCCGTGTCTGATCATTCTAACTCTTGTAGGAATCCATCAAACCAACACTCCTTGGGCGGATGGTGTTCCGGGATTGTCGCAACGGCCCATCCAACCAAACGATACCTTCACATACAATTGGCATGCAGACACCTATGGGAGCTACTTCTACCACGCACACTCCCGGGGACAACTCGATGATGGATGCTATGGACCTATCACGATCAAGCCGAAGGCTCACGTTGCCAAACCTTTCGATAAGATTGCTTTAGACGATGTCGCATCGCTAGAAGCCGCCGAAGCACATGCCACTCCCCTAATTATCTCAGATTGGCGTCACAAGACCTCATCTGAATCATGGGAGCTTGAGTTAGCAGCTGGTCTCGAAAGTGCTGTCTGTGTGGACTCGCTTCTTGTCAACGGAAAGGGTGCGGTAGACTGTTGGCCTCGCGAGGATCTCACGAAGTACACAAGTCCTGCTCTGGTACCACTATTACAACACACCAACCTCTCAGTGACAGACAAAGGGTGAATTCCACGACTACCGAATATATAGCCGAGTACCTGTGCTGACTAGATTGCAGTTGCATACCACCAGAGGTGCTTGCCGTCATGCTCCCAAGCCCAGATACCAACATCACGGCACTTCCTCCGTCAGCCTTCGACGTTTGCACTCCCACCCGGGGCTCCCGAGAAGTCATCAGAGCACCGTGCTCCAAGAAGTGGATGGCGCTCGACATCATATCGTCAGCCAGCATCGGAACATATGCGGTCAGTATCGACAAGCATCCTTTGTGGGTATACGCTGTGGATGGCCACTACATCGAACCTCTGAAAGTCGATGCCCTGACTCTCGCCAATGGAGAGCGTTATTCGGTATTCGTACAATTGGACAAGCCTGCCAGCAACTATGGCATCCGGATCGCTTCCCTGGCTTTGGCACAGCTGATTGATACCACTGCTGTCTTGTCGTATGAGGACACGGAGCAGTCGTACGGAAACGGCTCTATCACACCCTCCTCGCAGCCATCCATCAACCGAGCAGGCGGCAACGCGACATCCGATGTGGTCTTCTTCGACCAAGCGAAGATGGTCTCATTTCCGCCCCAATTTCCCCAGCCTGCGCCAGAAGCTGAACAGACGTTCTTGTTCAGCTTAGTCACAGCAGGTAGTTCTTTTCGATGGGCCCTTAATGGCACCGCTTATGACCATGCCATCGACGACTCTGAACCGTAAGGACTTCTATCCGGCATTGACGTTGAGCAGAAGCTGACATGAACAGACCTCTCATGTACCGAGATCCTCTTGCAATCACCACTCCTGGTAACCTGACACTCGCAACCAAGAACAACACGTGGGTCGATCTGATCTTCCATGTCGCCACGGTTGGCCAGCCTCCCCATCCGCTCCACAAGCACAGCAACAAGGCCTTCCTTATCGGCCAGGGCCAAGGAAACTTCACCTGGAGTTCGGTCGCAGAAGCTGCTGCGGATACACCCGAGAACTTCAACCTGATTACTCCACCGTATCGAGATGGATTCGTTACACCGCCCAGTGCGACTGGTCCAACGTGGCTTGCTGTGCGCTACCACGTAGTGAACCCGGGCCCTTTCCTACTGCACTGCCATATCCAGAGTCACTTGGACGGTGGCATGTCCATGATTATCTTGGACGGGGTTGACGAGTGGCCTGAAGTACCAAAGAAGTACATGAACTAGAGGGTACTTCCTTGGATGGCAATCCGATTATAACAGCTGGCACTTGTTGCTGAGGTCTTTTAATACTCAGAATTGTTTATAAGCTTCATTCGTAAATTTGATCCGCATCCTGGCGTCAAAGTCGACGTCCTGCCGCAAGGATATGTGGGCACGGTGGAGGCACTTGACATCGTGTCTGCAGAGCTCGCCAGGACCAAGTTCGAAGGCGTTGCAGCAACGATGGTGACGACCACGGCTACGACGAGGAATGTGAGCATTCTGAAGAGAGGGTTCTAGGTGGATACGAAGCAGAAGAATGCTGCGTTCGCTTTTGTGCTGCTGGAGCCGGAGTATTAAACAAGCCAGGTTCATTATAATGCTAAATGGAGAAGGGCGACGAGTGTCTGGTATTTAGAGTTGTATAGGTCGAATGTAATGCAGAAATTTCATCATCGTGTTATTGCGTGAGCGAGGTACGTGTTTGCCGCAATTGTTTGCACAGCCGCATCTCAGGTACTTGAAGCAACGTGACTGAAAAATCCAATGGAAATCAACAGTATTCCCGGGTATATTTCGCTCTCCACAGGCCCATATCTTGATCGCTGCGCCTAACATAATGTGCAGGAAGCGCTCGTCCTTTCTAGGCTCGTCCAGCAGCTATTCGAAATTACTCAAGCCCTGAAATCGCACCCGAATATCCTTCGTTCTAATAGTAGTTTACACGGGCGGCTGATATGGCTTAACTAGCATCTCACTGAATCTGTATGCTGTTAGAAAACGATATAGATGTAGAGGAAATATAACAACTTACTTCTCCAGTTTCTCACTGCCGCGCACCTCCTCGGTAAGCAATGGCATTTTCACGACATTGAAGTCCTCGTACAGCTCCCCGATCTGATCCAAGTATTTCTTCTGCATCTTCCGTCTCGAGTTGCATTGTTCGCACGGGTTGTCCTGTTTGGGAAACAGCAGCTGGTTCACGACGATAGCATGAGTGTCGATCTCGTAGCTGTTCAACTCCTGGATCATGCGCTCCGTCTCGTACAAGCTGAGGAATTCGCTTATGCAGACACACACAAAGGTGGTCATGTCGGGGTTCTTGAACTGCTCGTTCACCTCGCTGATGGTGGAGCGAAGGGTCTCCATCTTCTCAATGAGCTCGTCCATATTCTGGCCGTTGGGGAGGCGACCGCTAGCGCCGAGGAATCCATTGAGCATGGGGCCGAACTGGCGGGATAGCTGGGAGATCTTGGAGAGGGCTTTCTCCATGACGGTGGGGAATTGCAGGAAGCGGAGAGTGTGGCCGGTCGGCGCGGTGTCAAAGATGATGACTTCGTAGGAGAGCGACTTGACCTGCTTGAGAACTTCGGCGAAAGACATGGCTTCGTCGACACCGGGTATCTGCCATGTGTTAGCCGTGGCCTGCCATTGTGGATGTTGGGAAGGTTCCATACCGAGAAGGCCAAATCCTGCATCATGTTGCCCATACCTCCCAGCGCGGCCATAGACTCCTCGGCGCTCTCGCCGCCCTGCGCCAACAAGTCCTGGATGCTGCCGTTCGGGTCAATCTCCATGGCGCTCAGGTTGTCGAAGCCGTCGACCTTGCGCGCATCCTTGCCGAACTTCTGGTTGAAGGCATCGCTCAAGTTGTGTGCGGGGTCGGTCGAAATCAGGAGGACGTTCTTGCGGTGCTTGGCGAGCTGGATGGCGAGCGAGCACGACGTGGTCGTCTTGCCCACGCCACCTTTTCCGCCGACGAATATCCAGCGCAGCGTTTTCTGGTCGATGATGGACTGGAGCGTGGGCTCCATGACGTCCTCGTCGTTGAGCACTGCGGCGTTTGCCATGGCGGATAACGTCTCACTCGGGTCTTCGATATGCGAGGCGAAGGGTGAATAGATGTGGCAGGGAGCGTGTCTGTGTTCTGAGCCTGGCTGCGACTCCGCGTCTAGCTGTGCACGGTTCGAGAAGCTTCCGTGGGGTGTGTCGAGGTAGGCCTACGGTGGGATAGTCGAGAACAGACGCTTGCTGCTTCGTCTTTTTGGGGAAAGGTGAAATGCAAAGGCTTCGAGAAGGAGAGCTTGTTGGTTTGGCTGTGTCCAATGCACCGTTACCCTGATGTGCGCGAGGTTGTTCCGCACCAAAAGTTACGTCAGTGCGTAGCCCCGCCGCCACCGCCGCCTTCTCCGCAACTGTGGCGCATGCTCACAGCGGCCGAGAACCAAACAGCTGCACTGTGTCCTGTGAAAGTAGGACCATTGTACTATGATAGGCTGGGTAGCATTCCCTAGAAAGCTACCAGGACTTGCGCAAAAAGCGCAGTGATTTCTATGCCCAAACAACGACTCCCTTCCCATGCCAACCATGCCGTGAACAGAACAAGAGCCTTGGTAGTCCTCCCGTGCCACACAACACCAAAACGCCAGAAAATAGTCTCTCCGCAATGCATAGAGATGCACAACACCGTACCCACAGGCAGCCTGGTCGAGCAGTCTATTTCTTCTTTCCGCGTCCCTTGCCCTTAGCCGGTGCTGGGCCGTTTGATACTACACTAGTAGCCCGAGACGTAGATGCTGAAGCAGGGGAGCCCTTAGCCTTGACCGTGTCCAGCTGCTTGTTCTATCAATTGTCAGTTTCGCTAGCCACAAGTTGATGATTATGGTCGGTATACGAACCTTGACGCCGTTCTTGGCCTTCTTCTTCACAGGAACTTCCTCTTCCTCTTCAGTCTCCTCCTCGTCGAGCGCGCGTTTGCCTTTGCCATTCTTCATGTCGCCTTCCCCAAGCTCACGCTGCACGGAGTCCACAAGCGTCTTGCATCGCCGGCCAATTTCTTGAGCGGTCCGGCTGAGGAAGAACCAGTCGAAGCGGAAGAGGGGCGATTCTCGTATGTCCTCCCGAATTTTCTCGAAAATGGTATCACCCTCTACGCCGTGCTTGTGAAGCATGACGAGCAGGAAGCGGTCTTCTTCTTCCGTATACACCTTTTTGTTTGTCGTGGAGACCGTGTACTTGATGACCATCTGCTGCAGAGGCATTCGGTACATGTTGACCTTCTTAGCCACAAGTGCCTTCCTCTCTTGTTGCGACCGCACCTTGTCTTCGCCTTCCTCGATGACACTGAGATGCTTCTGCCAGTTGTTGAGGTCCTTGTACTTCTTCCAGAACACCTTAGCATACTCCGCGATCTCATCTGCTGTCTTTCCGTCAACTTCTTCCGAGATGCCCTCGTAGTTCGTCCGCCCATACTTGGCTGAACCGTTCAAGAACTGTTGGAAGTCACGCTTGTTCCACTCAGGAAACCCCTTGTTGATCAGGCGCTCTTTCTCGGCGAGCTCCTCCTCTGTGAGAGGCTCGGCATTGTCGATCTCTGCTTGCGCAAGTTGTTGATCAGCCTCACGTGTCTCCAGATCCTCTTCGGTTCCTTCTGGAAGCGGTGCTTTGATGTTGTTCTCCTTGCGGAACCAAGCTGTCTCCTTATCTTGGATATCCGCAAGCTTTGCCGGGAAGAATTGATAATCATGGATGACGACCTGCTTCGGCGCGCGAGGGACTTTGGGCCCCTTTGCTTCGGTTCTCCCGCCGGTCATAAGCGCCTGTCGGTAGTACTTGTCCATTGAGTATGATTGCTCTTTGCGCTCACGCTTCGAAGGATTGATCCAGTTCAGGCCAATCTCTTTCTTTCGAGGCTCGAACTTTTCGCCGTTCCACTCGTATGCTGAGTCCGATGTGAACTTCTGCAGATCGTCGAGACCTAGCTTCTCGTACTTGTTGTTAAGTTCTTGTGTACGCTCCTCGCCACGCTTCATTATTTCTTCGAAATCGTCATCAGTGACCCCAGAAGCGGCACCAATAGCACCTTGCGATTGGAACACCTTCTCGGCACCGTGTTGAATCATGGTGAGCAGCTCGTCCTTGCCGGCGGCATTCTTGACTGGTTGTTGAGCGCGGCCTTGTTGGATGACGAGCTGATCGAGACGCAGCTTTTGTGCCGCACGCTCCAGGACCTTCTCCTCGATGGCATTCTCAGTGACAAACCGGTAGACGTATACCTGCTTGGTTTGACCGATGCGGTGAGCACGGTCCATAGCCTGCAAGTCAGCTTGGGGGTTCCAGTCGCTGTCGAAGAGCACAACAATATCAGCGGACGTCAAGTTGATACCCAAGCCACCGGCGCGAGTCGTCAGCAGGAACAGGAATTTCTCCGAGCCCTCTTTGTTGTAATCATCGATGGCTGCAATGCGATCCTCATGGGCAGTTGATCCATCAATGCGGCAGTACTGATACTCGCGGAAGACCGAGTAGTCCTCCAAAATATCCAGCAGGCGACTCATCTGAGAGAAGATGAGCACACGGCTGCCCTGCGCCTTCATACGTTTCAAGAGTTTATCCAGCATCACCATCTTAGCCGCGTTGTTGACAAGGTGTTCGTCGGTGGTGTAGGGAGGCCCAGGCTCAGCACCTTCAAACAAATAAGGATGATTGCAACACTTTCGCAGCTGCATCACAATGTTGAGCAACCGTGTCTTAGACTCTTTCTTGCCAGCAGCTCCGTTGACAGCGTCGATATCCTTTTCAAGGATTTTCTTGTACCAGTTCACCTGCATGTCAGACATGCCAATGTACAGGTTGATCTCCTTCTTTGGTAGCAACGATTTCTCCACATCGGCCTTGACACGACGCAACAAGAAGGGCCGAAGGACTTTGTGTAGTTGCTGGACGACCGTGTCAGAGTCCGAATCTTGGCTCGAGAACCAGTCATCAAATGCGGCAGCGTCACCAAAAACATCCGGTAGAAGGAAGTTGAGCAGCGCCCAGAGCTCGTGAAGATTGTTCTGGAGTGGGGTACCCGTAATGAGCAGGCGGTTGCGCGAGTTGAAGACACGAATGATCTGTGCTAGCGACGACTCCTCGTTCTTGATACGATGTGCTTCATCAATAATGATGTACTGCCATGCGAGTTTCTTCAGGTGGGTCTGCTCGCGAAGAATCATCTCGTAACTAGTGATGCAAACGTCAAACTTTTCGTCTTGAAGTCGGGTCTTGATGATATCTGCACGTTCATCTTTGGTACCCTGCAACACCAAGACTTCGATCTCCGGTACCCACTTGGCGAACTCGCGCTTCCAGTTGTCCAAGGTCGATTTCGGGACGACGACGAGGTGCGGGCCGTGTATGCCACATATGAAGCGCAGGTAGCCGATGAAGGAGATGGTTTGTAACGTTTTGCCGAGACCCATCTCATCAGCCAGAATGCCTGAGATACCGTTCTCATGGAGAGAAATCAGCCAGTTAAGACCTGCAACTTGATAGTCGCGCATGGTTCCGCCTTTGACGTATCCTGGTGATTCTCGGAACACAGTCTCATTGTGACCGCCATGCTTCTCTTCGCGCACCAATTCGGCATCTTCTTCCTGCTCAGTCTTGCGGCGACGTTCTGCAGCCGCGCCGCCTTTGCGCAATTTGCTGGCCTTTGCCTTTTTCTCCTCCTCGATATCTTCGCGATCGATCTCGGCGAGGACTTCTTTGATGCGCGGGTTGGGGTTCGTGTCAATGAAATGGCGGAACAGGTCTGTCAGACCGAGCAAGTATCGGAACCTTCGGACGGTGTCATCTTCCTGTATGCGCCATGTGGTTAGCTGGTGTCGCGTAAACGTAGGGTCAAGCTAGATGGCAACGTACCTTGGATGCGCCCAAACGGTCATGCTTCTTGCCGTATATGGTCTTGCGCATATTGTGGGCGTCTGTCCTTCGCTTTCGCCCGTCGGCTGGCGCGTCCCCCGCTACGCTGCTAGCGGTAGTATTGGGGTTTGTGTCCGAATCCTGGGTGGTGGTGAGATCTAATGACTGACGCGTTTAGAGCAGTTGAGACGGAGCTTACTGTATAGTCGGGAGTTTCTTGGTAGTACTGCAGACACAAGTCAGCGCGTTGTCCAGATTCGCGTGGCCGCGCATTGCTCTTCCCCGGAGAGGGCGCGCTGCGATGTAGGGAAGACAGGCACGTACACCGAACTTGTTGAAGCCATCCACGCGCTCGTCGGCGTCCTTCATCTCTACGTCTTCATTGGCGGAGACGTCAGCCGTCGAAGGCCCGTCCGAATCGACATCGCGGGTTCGAGAAGGAGCCATGTTGCCCGTTTGGGCCGAACGCGGCGTGCGGTTGCGGCTTAGACGGCTCGGTTCAGTCGGTGGATAGGATGTTTGCTTTGCTTGTCGATGCGTTCGCAAGATGCGGATGATGGTTGGGTCGAGCGCGTCGGTTACAGAGGTAAGCAGACGAGTAGTCGCGGTGGAGCAGAATAATGTGTGCAGGTACGACGACGCGCTAATCTTATGCACGGACCTGAACTTTCGCGTTGCCTATCCCTCTTGGCTTCATCCGCGTCGAAGCTAGGTAGTCTACTTGGTTGCAGAAAAAAACGTCTACTTCTTGCAACACACATCGACAAGAAACTACGCCCCGACCATCAAATCGACCTTTGAACCGTTTGACGCGCGTTAAAGAGCATGTCACGCTATGACGTCACCAGAGATGGTGAATAGCGGATACCATGCGATTGAAATGCAAGTCAAGGAGCAAATGTACCGCATTCGCACTCCCCTGTTGTATGACATTCCGGCGTATTTATAGTTGTTTGTAGTCCACCCTCATCTGGTTGAAATCTCGACAAGACAACGCGAACGGCGCTCAAGATGTTGAGCACCTCCGCTAAACACGATGGAGAATGGTATTCCAGTACCCACAGTCTTCTACACACACGAAAACTCCTATCCAAGAGATGATGATACAAAGAGCGCCTTCGCTGAGGGACTACCGTGTCTCTTGACGATGCAGAATATTTCATTCCTCCCAAAGATGTTGCGACTATCCCGACCGATCCGATAAAGCATCTCATCGGGAATGAGCTCTATCTACCGATTACAGTAGCAAAGATACAGCATTGCGATTTCTTCGACTACTGATCGATACTTGGAAGAGGACGACGTCACCTCAAAGGCCTTCCTGGAAGCCCTCTAGGTGCGAGACGCTACCTCCGCCAACCTTCTATGAACATCGGCCACCATATTGTCCGACGCCTCATTGCCTCATGGTCCCTATTTCCTCAGTGCCACAGGAAAGGTCTATGAAGCATGGCGATTGTATTCAGATACCCAAGGGTCCTTCACCGAATCTGCTATCACAAATGGTGATGGCTCTTACTCTGTGCTGCCGGCGGGTATCGTCGGCCAGAAGAGTGTAGTTGCCGTACCCTCACGCCTCTACTACACGAAGACTATCGAGAAGCCCTTGGCCGGTGTACGCATTGGAATCAAAGATCTGTACAACCTCAAAGGCATGCGAACTTCAAATGGAAATCATGCTTGGTATTGGCTTTATCTCCTGCCAACAACACTGCGACGCCAGTGTAGAAGCTCATAGATGCAGGCGCAATAATCGTCGGCAAAATGATTACGAGTCAATTTGCGAATGGTGAGATGGCCACCGCGGACTGGGTCGATCATCACGAGGCTTTCAACCCACGTAGAGATGAATACCAGGATCCCTCGTCCAGTTCCTCAGGCGGAGGTGCCGAGAAAGAAATACATCATGCGTAGAAAATCCTGTATACCATGAAACGCGTACAACTTGTCTAGACAGCCATAATATATCCTCATTGATCTCCCTGTAAAGCACGCAGCTGATCATATATTCTGATATCTTTGCTAGACAGAACATAAGGCCTGTAGAGACTGAGTCCTTTCAGCTCCTGTGATCCGCATTGTGAGCGGGATCTAAAATCAACGTTCAAATAGCATGTTATGTTATAGTGCTTTTCCCGTACCGTCTCAATTGTCAGCCCATGTCTTCGCCCGCTACTGCGCCTTCCTCGCAGCGCTGCTGCCGCGTCCAACACCCATGCCATACTGATAGACGAGCTGTCCGCCTAAGTATGCCGCGAAAAAGCTCGCGGGCAGCGCGAGGGCTGCACTGATGGCAACGTTGGTCGTATCAGGCACGAAGCCCGTCGTACTCCTCCTCACCCACCAGTTGTATGCCGCACCAAACAATGCAATGTCGTTGACAAGAGCATGCGAGACTCCAGCCTGGGCCTTCTTGGAGCTAAAACCATCACGCGCGATGACGGGCTGGAGCTCGAGGGCGCCGGAGATGACTGCCGGGATCGCGGTGAGGAGCGTGAGGATGGTGGAATAGTAGGAGAGCGTGGGCAGAAGAGATGTCGGAATGGCAATGTCGAGGGTCTTGAACACGGTTGCGACAGTACCGGAGGTCGCCGGTGTCACCGAGGCTAGGTAGATGGCATCGAGAACTCCCGTCAGGAAGGTAAAGGTCAGCGGGAAGTGGACCGTCGCGGGATGCTTGGGATGTCTGTTCTGTTAGTACTCATAATCCATACTGCAATGAGGTTACTATACGCACTTTCCGGACATTGTGGTTTGTGAGGTGCTTGAGTATTGTCTAATTGGCGATGATTTTGCAGTGATCGGGGTCGGTTACTGCGTATGTCTTTGGCGGGCTTCAAATATTGTGGTTGAGCTGCGGAGAGCCGAACGCGAGGCACAACAGACCGGCTAATGGCCAATCACATGCCGGCTTACTGTCAGATGCATCCCATGCCGTACGACGGACGTCATTGACAAGTCGTGGAGTGAGCTGTCCGAAAGAAGTCAGGCGTCCAAGCATGTCCCGCGGCTCTCGTTTCGGGTTAGGGCTGCGAGCTCGGGGGCTGGGGCTGTAACGCGGTCCGACGTGAGCGAATCTCCTCGCCGCGTCGACACGGCACAATGTGATCTTCCCCGGCACGAGCTATTATCGACATGATTGAAGAACATCCCAAGGGCGCAACGCCGGTGCAGGTCGATTGGCAGTCCGACCAATATTGGAGGAACCGGAGGCTAAGCCCTGCGCAGCTGCAGGTACACGACATTAGACTTGAAGATAGCGGATGGAGAACCAACTCGGACGAGATGTTGGAGATGCGTGAGGTCTTGAGTTCTACATTGCTGCCGGCTTTGGGAAATAGAGACCGTTTGGCCAACGCGATCCCTTACGAAGAACTCACCAAGAACAGAAGTGAGCAGATGAATCTACGCAACTTGGCTAATGAGTATGGCTGGATGAATTGCCTGCGAAGCAAAGACGTGCAACAAAGCGTAACAGATCCTGAGAGCTTCAGGAAGTGCCGTTGGATACACATCTCCAGCAAATTCTCCGACTATCTATCTGGGTGCCTGCTGGCTTTGTCCGATTGGAACGAGAAACCTTCGCAAGTTGTAACAGCATTGCAGCGACTCGAACACTGTGTGTACCAGCAGGAAAGATTTTCCAAACATGGCCGTTACTTTGCGCCCTTCTTCCAGTATTTGCATGGCGGTGTTGTCGACAAGAAAGACTGCACCAGCGACCCAATGCTTCTCAGCGTTCCTTTCCTCGATTGGTCGGTGGAGGGTGAGCCACCACCTTTGAGATTCCAAATCGATCCACGTGAAGGTTATCAATCATCCCGCAGCTCATCACATCTTCTGAGATCCATCTTGCAGCACTTCTATCGCCTCGAGGATACGGCAGATCGCGAATCACAACAAGTCTTCACAAAGCACAAGCCATGGTTGACAGATCGCAACCTCGACCTGAAAGTGCGTCGATGGTTGGTTCATCTTATCCATTGGTGTTTTTGAACTCACGCTGACTGTGCACACCCGCGCATAGGTACGGGCATTATCCAAAGAGCCTCAATGTCGATGAGTTATGGGTCTTGGTTATCGATGCAAGGCATATTGTCACATTCTCTTCCAATCAGTCGTGGAAGTCTCGATGGCCACCTCTTCAACTGTCAGCTCGTATCATGGAGATCTCTTTCAGAGGAATCCGTAATGCATTCGTCAATTCCTCGACTGAGCAAGACTATACTGCCACCACTCACGTAATAACTTGTCTGAGTGGAAGCCTGGGCATGTTGCATCGAAGCTTCTGGTCAGATATTCCTTTATGCCTGGCAGATCGTTACGCAAGCTACCTTGGCCATCTTCAGTTTCGTTTGCATCGAAGCCCTTCTACATCTCTCGTTATGCACCTTTTGCAAGTCCAAGAAGAGCTAAACATCATCATACAAATCATGCAGCAGCAAATGGATTTGATCAAGGAATTACAATTGGCATCGAATTCGGGCAGGAACCGTGGCTACTCGCACAGCTCGGCAAGAGAATTCCACCAACAGAACGCGACTTCAATTCCTCGGTCGGGCATTGCCACTTACCGCCAGATGTCTTTTAGTCACCTCTCAGATCCTAGCGCACAGCTTTTGGAGAACTTGCAGCGCGAATACATCGATCTGTGTGATCTTCGAGACAACAGTAACACGTTGATCAATAGAACGATCCAGCTAGTAAACATTCGTCTCGAGGACCATGGCAAAGCGATTCTGGTCTTCACAATCATAACTATTATATTCCTTCCTCTCAGCTTCGTTTCATCCTTCTTCGGCATGAATTTTGCCGATATACGAGACATGGACAGAACCCAAGGCTTTTTTTGGATCATCGCCGGTAGTTTGACTGCGGGCACGGTTGCATTCGCAATGTTCCTAGCGTTTTATGGTAGTTCCATACTAGACTGGTTCATTGCGTGGAAGGAGAATAAGAAGAGAAGAAGTAGATCAAAGAAAACTGCTTTGAAGGAAGCAGCAAGAGGGATCAAAGCGAGCGGTATCAAGAATTTCGAGGTGTTGGACACCATGAGACCGAGATAGCCGAGTGGTTTTGATTCCTTACTGCAGCGTATTGACAACCTACGTGAACTTTTCTCCAAAGCACAACTCAGGTACGCACATACTTCTAGTACTGTAATCACATGCGTCTGATTGGCGGCCGTTGTGTCCTCGCCAATCTGACGGCTAAATTACGCATCGAATAAGAGTTCCAAGATACACCAGCACATGGTCCCGGGAGCAACAACCCGATGATCCTTACAGGTACGAGCCTCAAACGGTCCTGAATTCGAGATGGCATTTGCGATGTGCTTATGAAACTCACGACTGCCGATCAACCATATACATCGCTCTGCTCCTCGTGTAACTTCTCTCCAATCCGGATCTCGCTTTCATTTATCTCACCCAGATCTACTAAAGAAAACCCCTCATGTCTCATTTAAACGCCATGCGCCCCTGAAGATAGCCAACTTGCGTATATCTGACTTGAGCGTGCCAAGTGCACCCAACCAATGCGAAGGCGCGCATTATCGATGACCTGTTTATGTTCATTATCACTACGTAGTGAGAACGCCTTTGGAAAGAGATGGACGTCTTGCAGGGCTTCAAGTTGCCGAACGCAATTTGTCAATTCGACCTGTCGGGCCAACCGAGACGGATGAAAGGGTAGACAAGATGCGCTACACGCCTTGTGCGAGAGCGCTGGAGATTTGAGGGTATATATAGGCTTGAGAGGGGACGTGAGGAGAACACTACGAGACCAAACACACGTCACGACCCAGGCTCTTTATCTTTTGGTATACGTTCAACCAACATGAAGCTCTCCACGCTGCTTTTTGGCAGCATCGCTACACTTGTGGGCGCGCAATTGGCCGCCCCATACACCGACGTTAAGAGCAACATAACTTTCCAAGCTTACCGTCACAGTACGGGTTACTTCCTTGGAGTTGCGCTACCAGAAAATCCCGCTGGCAACACCGACTTCATCGTTACGATCGGCGGCAAGGGAAATGGCTGGGGTGGAGCGAGCCTGGCAGGACCGATGAAGAATGCACTGTTGGTTTTGGCGTGGCCGAACAACAACACAATCGTTAGTTCTTTCAGGAAAACAAAGTGGGTATATTGCTTTGAAGCTCCGTTGCAGCTTTACATGATCGTGCATCGATACTGACGCAGCCCAGCCAATATGGTTCACCCCCCGTCACCACCGGAACCTTCACACAATTGCCCATCGCCAACGGAACATATACCAACAGTACGCACTGGACCTATACATTTGTTTGTTCAAAATGTATCCAATCCGACGGTACAACCTTCGCCGCTAACGATAACACCACCGTCTTGGGCTATGCACTCAGCTCTGCCGCCCCCTCCCAAAAGGGCAATGCAGCTAGCTCGGTGTCGAAACATTCCTCCGAAGGCCAAGCCACATTCGATCTGGTCAAAGCTAGAAGCAAGGACTTTGCTACGTGGAAATCTTGGGCTGCACCGAAGGTTGCAAATGTACTCTAGAGCTGATGCAGCTACCCCAGGACGTAGGCAAGGCACTGAAGGACGGTAGCTAGGAGAATAGCGGTATGGCTGATTTCGGCGTTGAGGATCGGATGCGAATGCGGGTTTTTCAATTATGCGTTCGCTTTAAAAGGATCACAGCAACAATCACGTTATGCCTCCTACCAGCGAGACCATGCATGTCGTTCCAGACCCTTCTAAGGCTCCCTGGTGTAACATGAAATATTGTCCTCGGCACTCACAAAACTGTGCACTTCAGCCTGAAGAGAAAAAGCGTACCCCAGCACTCGGCAATGTGCGTGCTTTTCCTAATAAGAACCAGTCTCGTATAATATATTCGACCTCTATAAGGGGCAGCCTGCTATTGGCTGCACCTGCATCGTGGTTGTCTCAGCGCGGATGCATTACCACATCTACTTGCACGATCAAGACAGCCTTTCCGTTCAATAGCTTACCCTGGAAACAAGTATGAGCACGATTAGATCTAGGCGCTCCAGGACTCAGACCTGAGCGATCGATTTCGCTCTCCAGCGCATAAGCAGTCGTTTCACGAGCCGATTCATTCATTGACCACTCTACTATTACGAGCGCTACGGAAGCCTATATAGCTGTGCATAGCAGCTCCGACGAGCCCGAAGATCATTATCCTTACGCCGGGAAAGCCTAGTTCAGCCGCCTCAGTGTGGGGCCCCAGATCTCTTGTCGCTGGGCCTCGACTCCTCGCAACCATCCGATCTTTACGCTCACCTACATTAGGATTGCTACCGACCCGAACCTGACAGAGCATATCGACAGCCTGCTATGGGTCTACCACTCCTGTTGCGGGTTCTGCCGCTCATTGCCCTCCTTAATGGCGCTTCGGGAGAAACAACTGCTGCCATCGGAACCTTCGCGGATGTCAATACAGAATGCAAGGCTTGCCCTCACTCCCTCTGCCCGAACATCCTCGCCTACGAGCAAGGTGAAAGCGCCAATGTCACATGTTGGACGCGCGGCACACGCATAATCGACACGACACTCTGGCTGCGCTCCACGTCCGACTGCTATGTGACCGAATACGACCTGAACGACAACATAACAGACTACACCTCTGCCCTTCCCTACTGCGGTCCGGGCTCGGAAGACGAGGATCTCACGCTGGAAGATGCAACCCTAAAATACAAAACCGAGTGCAGAATCTGCCCCACGATCAGCTGCGACACCGTCGCTTATCTCAAAGAGGATACGGACGTTGAGCTGACGTGCTGGACGCCGGACGGACAGGTCATCATCGACGACCCGTACTGGATGAAGACCACGAACAACTGTTACGTTGCGCAGAAGAACCTCTACTCCAAGCCTGACATAACCTACCTTGATCCATGTGGCCCGATACCCTATCTGGAGATCGAAAAGCACTTCAACGAGAATGGAACCAGCGACGTTGACAAGAGAGATGCTGCGCCTGAGCCAGGAACCTTTGCTCCGAGTTATCTGATTAACGTCACCGTCGGCGAGAACTACGCGCTCTGCCGTAGTTGCGCGCAGGAGACGTGCCGGGTCGAGAGGCGATATGTCTTTGATCAGGAGGTTTGGCTGCAGTGTTTGGTAGACACGAATGGGACGTGGTGGAGCGAGACGACGGATTTCTGTTATGTGAAGAACTCAGACTTTTGGCAGAGTCCAGAGGGCGACTGTGAGTTTGACATTCCTTTGCTATGCTTTGCAGAAGCTGCAAGTGGGAGTCGCAGAGGATGTACTGACTATTGGTAGACTATCGGAATCCGCTTTGCGAATACTTCGAGGAGCCGGGCGCTGGACCGGGAGATGGCGATGACTAGATCTGGGCCACAATGAACAAAGATACGCGATGGAGGGAAGAGTGAAATAGGTGGACAGGTGGAGTGCTTGGTGTCAGACACTGGCAATGGGGTCGTGCACCAAAGGTACGTAGGCATAAGGCTGCCATGTCGATGCAGTTTCGCCCGCGACGACTAGAACGCACCAGCACTTCGAGAAGGACAAATGAATGTGTATAGTACCAATCCAATCAATCTTCTGCATCTATCTCGCGTCGTGCTGAAAGCATGGCCAAGTTCGAGGCAGATGCTGGGATATGTGCTTTTAGTGATAATCACCGGCAATGCTGGCTATCCGAGGCAGCGATACCAATGATCGAGAAGAAGGAGATGACCCAACCGTAAAACAAAAGTCTATAACAAATGAAAACCCTAAAGTGAAAGGAGTTGTAGATCCAGATATCAGAGTGTCACAAAGAGTTTGCCCCATAAACCAAAGTGACAGCTACTAGTTCCAGTCCGAGTCTTAATCCATGGTATATAACTGCAGTGGCAGATGTCCCAAATGAGCAGCCGCGTACAGTTAGGAAGGAGTGTGTAAGTATGTTGCTGTCTCTTCTCAGCAGTGGTGACAATTGAGACCAGCTATAGAAGAGAAGTCTCGACTGCAGCACGCTGATCCGTACCTGCATTCCCCGCTGAACTGCCTTCCCCACGGGTGGGGTTCGTGTTGTGGCGACGCCAATAAGCCTCTTCATTAGTGCGACAAGAGCTGAGAGCGACATACTCGCTCTCAGGTGCGTACCTTGAGGCAGCGAGGCCCAACTTTGGCTGCAAAGCAGAGTTCTGTTTGGCCTTCTTGAAGGAGTACTTGGGTTTGGAGCGCTGCATCGAAGCCTGGGAGCCATTCGTAGTGCCCGAATATAACGAGATCTGCGAATTGCGACGGAGGACAGTCGGGGCAACGCTCTTCTTCTCAGTCTCAGTAAGCGTGGTTGCCGGAGCAAGGACCTGGGCCACGGCCGACGCCGGCTCCTCGGTATCAACGGGGTCAACAAGCGAGGCAGGCGGGTCAAGATCGATCAGGGTCGGAACAACTCGGTTGGTGGGCACATTCTGCTTCTCTACGTCGTCCCTCTCACGTCGCATGCTCGTGAGTGTCGAAGGGTCCGGGAACTCGCGCGGGCCAGGCATGTCTATGTCGTCATCGTGACCGGCGTTCTGCTTTTTTGCCAGCATGCTCCTCTCCACCCAAGTCGGTCCACGAATCTGGATTGCTGTTTGCTCTTTGTACCACCGTGGAATCTTCGTGAAGCCAGTCACTTTTTTCAAGACATCCAGGGTAGGCATCTCGTGCTTGTACAGGCACCGGCCTCCGTATGCGCACTCTCCATATTGTATCCAGTGATTGCAGTGGGTTTTGGGCGGATAGATTGGGCGCACGGGGGATACGCGTGGTCCGGGATGCCAGAGCCTGTCACCATTGTTGTCATTTACGAATATACCCTGGTCAGTCCTTGAGTAGAGAGGGCGATGGGTTTTAGGGAATGCCTCGGAATCGATACTGTTGCTTGCATCTCTTGCAGCAACATTCTCATTCGTGTCAGGTAGCGGATCACTTGGAAGGGGTATAACATGTTTGTTCGTCGGAGCTTGAAACATCGTCTCTCTCGATTTGTCGCCATGCGTCCCAGTCGACATGACACGGCTTTGTTGCGCCATCCAGGATGGCTTAGTGCCCAGGGATACAGGATTCAACTGGGCGTCTGTACCTTCATCTTTTCTTGTAGAGTATCGTTGATACTTGGTCTCGGGCTGCTCGACGCTCGTGGTTGTATAAAGGGAGGCAGGACAAGAGCTGGGTACGCTGTCCTTCTCTGATTGTTGGACATCTACGTGTTTCTTGACGTTGTAGTCCGGTGCTCGGTAGGTTGGGGGTGTCGGAGTCAAGGTCAAGGTGCCCTGGGGCATGGAAAGCTCGGCCGGAAGTAAGGTCGCAGTTTCCGTTACTCCAGAGACGCGTTGCCAGGTTTCATCAGAGATCTGTTGCTTGCTGAGTTGTGTAGGGACTCCTAGAAGTCGGAACGGCAGCTGGTCGACGGGAATGAGTGGTATCAGCATGTTCCCCGGGCTCCTTTCGATAAAGTAACGGACCCTCTCCGGCAGAGCTGGAGGCGATGGTATAGACTCTTGTTGGACAGCCATAGCGATGAGGACAAGGCCAAGGAAGCAGTGGTAAAGCTTAGATAGTCGCCGAGGCAGTGGCAATTGACAACACCCAAGTGAAAGTACGACCAAAGAGAAGTTCAGCTGCTCTAGAGCCGGTTTGAGACTGCAACTAGGACTTTTATATATGCGCATTAGGTCATCTCGTCGAAGCCTGTGCGGGGATTGATCACAAACAGGGGAGTGCTGAGATTGATCACAAACAAGACATATGGAAAGAGACGCAGCAAATTTGGTTTTCGTTTGTGAGTACGTAAAGTAAGGTCCAGAGGCATTGCGCTTGGATCATGACAGCTTGCGGCGATGTGGTGCGTTGTATCTTCCGCGTGGGAGAAGGCTGCTCCCACCCGACATGTTCGGTCCGAGCAGAATGTGTGCGACATCACTTGGAGTCAAATTGGACGCTCGTCTATCGCGCCCGCATAAAGGTGCGTTGAAGACGTCCGTGAGCCGCGTGGCGACGATTGGCTGTATACAGGCAAACAGTGTGTTCCAGCCTGCGAGGCCCAAATCCCAAGTCCCAAACTGCCGACAAACAGAATGAGCTACGACGTCTCACGGGCTGGACTTGGCGCATCCATCGGAAGTCAAGGTACAATGCGGGCTCTGGCAAACCGCGCCTGCCAGCGAGAGTCTGCCTGTGCCGTGGTTTCAAAAGGCACAGGTAGCCGCGTCCGCGGAAACAGAAGCAACGTAACGACCGCTGCCTTGTCGAGGTGGCCTGAACCACGGGACACGCGCGGACATTGGTCTCCTAGGTCGGCAGCACAAAGAAAAAGTGCATCGGGCTCCTACGAGCCCATGATATGTAGGTTGTGTAAAGGCACCTGGGGACAACATGGAGGCGACGGGGCGGTCCGCGCGAATCCCCCGTGCATGCGAGGCTATCTTGGATGGTGGCGCAATCCAGGTGGAGCTGGACGCTGCAGAACACGTTTCCTGGGCGGCACTAGTCCGTTCTAGCCATGCACCCAGCCTCTTCCTCATCCCCTCGGAACCAGCCTTGCAACTCAAAATTTTGACGACATAGCGTATGACGGCCTACGGTCTCGTCTCCTTCAGACCCTCGAAGGCGGTGTTAGCAGCGCACGCTCTGGCAAGTGCTTCCGATGCTCATCGTATCTCAACCGTCGTCATGGTGCTCCGCGGGACCTGACCTGCGATCAATTGAGTTCAGCCATGGAACATACGCCGACTCTCCGTCGTTGTTTTCATTCGTCTCTGTTTACTGTAATTTCCTTGAGCTCTTGCCCCACGATCCCTCTTCTGGACGTCCCCGACGCTTGATATCTGGGGCCCTTGGATAAACTTTGGAGCAGACTGGAGCCGGTCGCAACCAGTGGCAAGGTGATGTGCATGACCAGCGGTTCCTTACAATTGCCGACGGCTGCAGGAGTCCACCTAGCAATTCTTGGGGCGCTACTTGGATCCTGCTCTAGGCCAAACGAATCAATTGCAACGGAACATTGCATGATTCAGGGCACAGCGTCCGCACCATGGACCCGCACTGCACGATGCGTACAGAAAATAGCTGAAACCTTGGACTTCATGAGCCACTTTCCTTGACTTCGGAAGTGCGCCACTGTTATCTTTGCGCTATAGTCGCATGTTTGCCCTTGCTTCTGTATTGCTGCTACAGAGGCAGCGACGCATTCATGACTTCCATTGGCAAATTTGAAAATCTCAAAGTGCAGCTTCGGCACACGAACGGAGCTTCGAGCTCGTAGAAGATCCCGCGCCCGATAGCATCATGGAAGGACGCGGCAACGAGGTCCTTGCAGTAGCAATCTTGTTTCTTGTTCTGACATGGCTCACTATGAGTCTGCGCATCTACGTCCGCGGCTTTATGTTAAGGACGTGGGGGAACGATGACTGGGTCATGCTCGCAACGGTGGTACACTGCCCGGTATCCTTCCACTTCTTGAATTGCTTCACTAATCGTGCTAGCTCATTTTTACTGTGTATTTGGGGTTCCAAATGGTTGCGGCAGCCCATGGGACCGGCCAACATCGAAACAACCTCAGTGATCAAGACGCAAAAATTGCCCTCCTGGTACGTGCTATGGCTTGGTTCTGGCGCATGTGACTAAATCCATCAGTTCTGGTATCTTTGTGAGCTGCTGTATGTGATAAGCAGTTGCACTCTCAAAATCGCCCTCGGCATCTTCTACCTTCGCGTTGCTCTGCAGCGCTGGCATGTCTTTTGCATCAAGCTTCTGATGGCAGGTACCGTTCTATTCGGCTTTGTTTATTTCTTCTTGGTCATGTTCCAGTGCATACCAGGTCAGTGGCCATCTGTCCAATGCTTCGTTACTAGCTGACAAGAACTAGTGTCCGAATTTTGGAACGTTCATCCAGCGACGAAGCGTTGCATCGATACAGGTCCTACACTGGGCATCACTTATGCATTAGGCGCCGCCAACGCTGCAGCAGACTGGGCGTTCGGGACCCTCCCGATCTTCATTGTGTGGAGCCTGCAGATGAATTTGAAGATGAAGGCCCTCACGGCTGGCATCCTTGCTTTTGCTGCGATGTGTGTATCCTAGCATTGTTCCAGGAATCAAATGGCTGACGGTCCCATAGCGGTAGTATTGCAACCATGGTTAGGATGCGGTACATCCACACTCTTACTCACGGAGCGGACTTCCTCTGTACGTCTATAATAGTGCAATTTTACCTGGAGAGATTCGCTAACTTTTCGCAGATGCAACGGTAGATGTGGCTATCTGGAGTACTGTCGAACCGGGTATAGGAATGACCGCAGGAAACATGGCGACCCTCAGACCCCTGCTGCAAAACTTCCTTTGGCGTCTGGGACTAGCATCTGCTCCCAACTCAACAAAGGAGAGAGTGGTGCGGAGGTCCGGCCTAATCAGTGGAAAAAGCGAGCATAATCGCAACCGGCGTGGATTTCGTAGGAGCCTCGAAGCGTCTGACCTCACGCCGGATGAAGGCAGCACGTTTACAACGATTACTGGGCCTAAGCAACATCCACGCAAGATGAGCTGGCCGCAATTGAGCCGGCCACTTTCGGTACCTACCATGGAGCTAGAGAAGATGGTAGGTGGGATACAACACTCCACTGTAGTGGAGCAAGAGATAGAGGGACCACCACGATTGCATTTGCGTGACAGTCTGCGGAACAGTTTTACACATGGGACTATATTGAGCAAGAAGCCGCCAGTAGACGAGTCCAGCAACGCTCTGTGTCCGAAAACGAGGGAGCCTGCCCGATCACAAGCGACGCAATAATGCAATGGTATAGTAATATACACTAAAGACTAGTTGTCCATGGCCATCATTAACAGTCGGTATACCTTCGCAAACGATAGCGAGAAGCTGCCCAGCCGTACGGAAGTCGCGCTTGAAGCGCAGACAAGAGAGGGAGAAAGGCGTTTGCAGCACGCATCCGCGACAAGCTGCGCCACGACAATTGGCTGGTGTGAGTGCGAGTTTCAGGTGTCCATGAGACAGCGTCACGAGATCAGAGATTTGCAGAATACTTGCTTTTCAACTTCGTGAAAGCAATACCTACTTGTTGCGGGTTTCCAACTAACGCCTTCATGGCCTGTTCAAGACTATAAAATCGACACTTTCGATCATCCCACTCTCGATACATTTCCTAAATTCATCCATCTCTACGACTACGCCAGAGCACTGATCGGACTTCACGGGAGGTATACCACTTCATTTGATCCGATCATCTCCGAGCGCGCAAAGAACAAGGCACCAACGAACAAATCAGCGTCAGAGAAAGACCTCGCTTACTCACTTACTGCCGCGCAAGATGCAATCCACACCACGCAACCAGCAGGGCCTGCTAAAGACGACCTTCAACTATTCAAGCTCCTCTGGGACGCAACTATTGACGCCATAGCAAAGGTGCTTGAGGATGGTAATCTCGACCTTGAGGTCTGCGCTGGGGCATCATTGGGCTGGCAGCGGGATACATGAAGCCAGAGACAACTTTGCATACAAACACGATTTTTTTTCTGCGTATCAATCACGCCTTTAGCAGCTTTGGGGAGCTCCCGTTCCCTGACATCACCTCACAACGGCCGTGCATCAGGAGTGTCGCCAGAGCAGCATGCTTATTTGCTCACTAAAGCAAGGCGCGAGATACATGTCTGCAGTAACTTGTTGCTACAATAGTTCAGGAGATATTGACGGACAAGCATTAGATGGTATCATGGGCTTGCAATCGCAGAAAGGTGGATAGGGCATCTGACAGTCAAGGAAGTTGTACCTGGGGAGGCAAAGGTGCAGGGCGTAAGGGATGAAAGCATTTGAACCAGGCGCAAGGATGGAACGGATACACTCGGGCAGACATGGAAAGCGACTATGGCGGAAGCAAGTATTCATCATAATGCTTGAGACGAGCCTTCATAAAGAGATCGGACCACAGACAGGCAGCAGGCCACGAGAGAAGCGCGTGCCCTGCGCGAACATGACTTACGACAACGAGAAACACGCAATATCACGTATGACTGCATTTATAGTGCTTCAGTCGAATAGAGTAGTGCTTTGTTGGCATGTACGATAGTGTAATGGACTTCCTGGAAAACACCTAGCATGCTACGCCGTGAACCCCTCCTTCTGCCGTCCACTTGCAGCTAGCTTTTCCTGTGCTCGTCATGTTAGAGCTTGTATAGAGCGTGTAGTTCTTGTAATCGATGTTATAGCAGGGTTGCCTGGTCGAGCAGCTTACGCTCGCCGTCGTAGTCTTGCCGTCCAAGTAGCCCGTGAAGTTGACAAAGGCAACGTTGTTGACAAGCATGTTGGAACTGTTCAGATTCAGCATCCTCGCTGCACCGTGCATGTACATAACTTACGTTCCCGCGAAAGACCCATTGTCTCCGCTGTTCTGCGTTATCACACCTCCACTCTTTGCTCCCCGCACGATGAAGTTGCTGAACAGCATATTCCTCACACCACCCCATCCCGCACCTCTGGGCTGATAGTCGCTTTCGTAGTCTCGGTCGCCTCCTTGAACCAGCTCACCTACCCAAGTCTTGATATACACCGCGTTTCCGATCGAATTCTGGGCGCCACCCTTGATGATCGTTGCCTGGTCAATGTGTACGTTCTCGACGGAAGAATCTTCAAGGTATTGTCCAAGGGAACCAATAGCAATGCCGTTACCGGAGTGGCATGTTACATTGCGAATGAAAATGTTGTAGGATCGAGGCTTGATAGCAATGCAATCGTCGCCGCCTTGGTATACAAAGTTTGTCAGTACAATGTTGCGAGAATCCATTGTGTTGAAACCATCCGTGTTCTGCACCCAGTTCCAGCCCGTGGGCGCTTCGGGGCTAGTCGCGTTGGTATAGATGTTGTCAAATACCATGTCTGTGCCGTTTTGGATGTTGATGCTCCAGAGCTGCGGCTGGACCACATGGAAGTTCTTCACAGACACGTCGGAAACGTTCCAGAACATAAAGGGCATGGGACGCCCCGGACGGGTAGCTCCTGGGGTGACGGGGGGGTTGCCCCGCTCGTCGAAATACCAGAGTTGACCGTTTCCTAACCGAATTAGATCCTCCCTATGGGATTCTTACAACCAGCACATTACGTACCATTGATACCTCCGGTACCGTAACCGTCGATGCGGATATGATCACCAGTTATCACGAAGCCAGCCGCGTGATTCTGGAACGCAATGTGATACGAGTTGTTCCTCCAGTAGTCGAGGTCCTGACTGAATTCCCATTCGCCGTGCCAATCGATTGTTACATCGTTGAGCACTGGGTTGAGCCGAGAGTTGATATGATATGTGTTTCCGGCGGGGAAGACAACATTTCCGCCGTTATTGCAGCTCTTAAATGCTTTCAGGATTGTAGGCACGTCGTCTGTCGCGTTGTTTTTGCCGGGATGGACTGTACATGTTGGCCGCCCATTACGACTACTGTGAGAGATGCTTTGTGCGCCAGCTAGGCCGAGGACTGTCAGCAGTGATATTATAGATCTAGTCATAATGTTTCTGACAGTCGCTTGTCAATTTGCAGAGGGAACGCAGTTCAGCGGCGTTAAGCGCATGAAGAAACAAGATACCTATGGTATTTATCCATTGCTTATGAGATCATCGCATTAGAGCCATGGCCCTGACTAGCGATATTATCAACTCAAGCTTTACCTATAGTTCTTAGGTCTCCAGGTTTTGGACGATCCTCTGCGGGGAATGCGGAGCCCGAGACGGAGAAATTGGCAGCGAAGCGGGTTCGGGACAAGTTCACCCGAACGCACACTCTACTCCTCGGAGGTTACAAGCGTGTGACTTGCCATATTTTTGCTCATGTACTCTATGTGAACTCTGGAAGTTGTGGAACAGACCATCGGGAGATGCGCATTGAAGTTGGACGGTCGTCACATGCACGAGTAGCAAAGAGAGGGAGGGAATCCAATGAGTCACCGGGCTCGCTACATATCCGCGGCTTCTAATCTCGCATACCACGCCGCAGACACCGTGCGCATAAATCCCAGAATGTCAAACACGAGAAACGCAAGCTCATAAGGATTTCCCATCAACATTGTCAATATCAACTGCAACATCTCATTGCATAGTTTATGTCTTTTTTACTTGTTATAGTTGAGTACAATCTGCTTGGAGGGAGTGTGGTTGACATACGCGAGTCGAGAGATTCAGAGCGCATTGTTATCGTACTTGGAAACTTACGAGTACAACTCTAAACTTCAAGGTGGTGGAGGGATGTCGAAAGCTATGCCTACAAACCAACGCAAAATAACGGAGCACTTACGCCCAGATCCTCGAATATGTGCACTATATGAGCCTGCCCCCATCCACCGGTAGGTCAATACCTGTGACGAAATCTGCCTCATCGCTACAGAGATAACAACAAGCATTTGCGATATCTCTAGGCGTACATCCTCGACCCATAGGTTGTGGAAGATTCGATTCAAACTCTTTCTGGTCCTCGGGAAGACCCAGGAACCGATTTTGCCTGAAAATGACTGGTCAACAATCTGACAAAGTACGATAGACTTTTTTATGTGTCGCAGCTGCAAAAAAAAGGGTATGGACATACAAACCAGTTCCAGGTGCGAAAGTTGGCAAGACATTATTGAACCGAATTTTATCTGAGGCATACTCAAGAGCCAGTGATTTGCTGGCGAGCATGACAGCGGCTTTCGACGCATTGTACCACCTGGATATGATTCATCGTCAGCGAGAAAATGGGGAGCACCCAGCCTAGAGAGGGACGTACGTCAAGCCCAAAGTTGGGCTGACCGCAGCTACCGATCCGATTGTGACAAAGGATCCGCCGATGCCCTTCTTCTTTATGTATGGAACCAACACATTGTATGAATGGTATATCGCCTTCACATTCACTGCGAACACGAGGTCAAACTCATTCTCAGTGACCTCAACCGTAGCCTACGCAATCCTCTCGTTAGTATTTCAATGCTTACATGACGTAGTATTCTTCACCTTGTTACGATAGCTTGTACCCGCGTTGTTGATGACGCTGTCAAGCCTCCCGTATTTTGTGTCGACGTATTTCAGCAACGCTTGCCAGTCGCCTTCCTTACTCACGTCACACTTTTGAAAATCGCACCCAAGCTCTTTCGCAGTTGCACTGCCAGATTCATGCTTGAGCTCGGCGACAATGACCTGAGCACCTTCTTCCACGAACTTCCGTGCTGTCCCTTTACCCAGGCCCCCACCACCGCCTGTGATAATAGCTACCTTTCCCGCTAGGCGCTTGCCCGTAGTTGCTGTGGACAGAGAGATGTGACGACAATAGGCAAGCCTTTGAAGCTGAAATCTTATGGGGCTTAGTGTGGCTTTCGAGTGTGCTCTCCACCAATTTCCTGTGAGCCGCAACGGGCTTGAAGATGACAAGATCATCGTACCTGTGGCGAAAATAAGGATATACGATTCGACTGAGAGTTTTTGAGTATTGATTCGGATTTAGAGGCAGTGGGACTTTCCGTTCGAGATTGAAAAGCATTGGTCGCAAAGCATCCAGTGTCTGATAGGACGGTTGACGCGGACCGTCCACCTGGGTGATGCCCCGCACCCGCATGCTATGACTAGCTCTTTGCAACTCTGCTCACGAGGACCTCATCAGAACAACCTTTGTGTTCAAAGCACCTTTATCTGATTACAATTTTTGTGTTAACTAAGCGCTACGATACATCCAGTCCCTCCTCCATAAGGGCAGCCCACGGCCTCTCACGGGCACCACTCTGTTGTCTTCTTCGACTGCAGAGTGCAGGCATATTGCTGACTATTTAAGCTAGGCTAGCATAAAGGATGTACTGAATCTCAATCAAATGCCAGTGGGAGCAGCAGTACTGGACGAGGCTCCAGAAGGAGGTCCGCCACCCATACCGCCACCTGAACCGCTCGTTGCAGTCATATTCACACCAAAGGTAATGTAACCCACCATACCATTTGCCTCATCGACACCATCCAATGGTTCAACTGCAATCTCATAATCGAAGCCTGACCCGACAGTTTCCGTAAAGACGCTGTCCTCATCATTCGTTGTCCTCTCGATTTCTGTGTGCTGCGAATAAGGAGCGAGTGCCATGATCTTCTGGCTCAACTCTTCAGAGAAACCGATCTGTCCGGTGGCCCTGGTGTTGGACGTGACAATCGTTCCATTGGTGCGAACAGTCCATTCAGTATGGGCCTGGACGTGAATATGGATGGCCCTTTCGACGTAGAAGCCGGGGAAGATGGTCTGCATCTCCATCATGCCGTTGTCGTCGGTAGGCCACATTCCACGCAGGAAAGTAGTGGCATCCGTGTGCAGATCAAGTTCGCCCTGGCCGATGGTGACGTTCAGCTGATCGAGAAGCTCCTCGAAAGGCGTGTTGGGACTAAGCCCAGTAAAGGAGGAGTAGCTGCCGGTTGCATTGCCTGTAGGTTTGTTAGTATCGGACAGTTTAGCCTCACATCGATTCATGCGAGAACGTACAGTGCCACATGTCGATTAAGACGTTCGGTGCTGGCTCGCAAGTGTTGACATCCAGAACACCAATATCCAAGTATAGAGGGATACCAGCCTGATCTTCAGCCATGTTTTGCCTAAGGGTCTCGCTACGTGGCCACACGTAGGGTCCAGCAGTGACTTCAGGTACGAGTAGGCAGGTATCATTCTGGATGGTGGTGTAGTGTGGCGATTCGGTCGTAATGTTTACGGTGGTGTCGCGAGGGATGATGCTAGCACCCAGAGAACGCTTTCTGAGCGAACGCTTCTTGCGCGCCATCATGAACGCTCCCGCCTGTGCAGCACATCGCTTGTTAATGGCAGAGCGAGCAGCAACTTCGCGGGCTGAGAGCTCGTGGTGAGGATGAGCCGCTGTGGCGAGTGCGAGAGACAGTGCAATGAGGGAAGAAGAAGCACGCATTGTGGAATGAACGAGTGAAATAATCAGGGGCAAGAGTGAACAGAGGCGATTTGTTGTGCAGAGAGCGAAACAAACAAAAGACGACTTATAATATTCCCTTCTAGTACCCTCGTCACTGTTGTCTCCTTTCTAAAGGAAACGAACATGGATACACGTAACTGCCGTACCCATCAGTCTGTTTCGACTTCAGATAGACTAACGTCCGCCATTACTGCAAAGTTGTCCGCAGGCAGTGATAACAACATAGTCCAATCGCAGAGCCCCAAACTGTAAAGTGGAAGACTGTGCTCAAATGTATGAGAGTTGATTGGATTGTATGGACGCGTAAGGCTGTGGGGTCAACGGCCCGCCGAACTTAAGCGGGCTTGTTTCCGACATAGCTGTTGTTTTGCCAAGATGTTTTTTTGGACAAAGCTTTCCCAGTATGCGTACCCCCTGTTCAAGATGGTGCGGCTCTGCGTTCTTTCGCCAAACAGAACGGCAACCTGGTCCGCGGCGGATTTCGATTTGGGCAAATATGGAATATATGCCAGGGTGCCTGCAGATAATCTATAAAGATATTAGTATGATCAATGCTTCCTACGCTTTCGAATATTTATTGGTGAAGTAGGTATTCAAACTCAACGCTGGCAGATATGTTTACTTCAGAGTCTCGCCCCCTACGTAAGGATGAGTTCAAGCCCTGGAAATTAATGAAAAGTGATATGTCAAGGCCCAGGATATACTGTGGGATTGTTATGTAGGGATTTGGGGCATCGAAGCCATGGAGACCCAGCTGTTGCGTCCCAACGCGACGATAAAACCGGCCGGCCCTACTGATGGCTGACCACAGTGTTCTAATAGAATGAGCGATATAAATTGAAGAAGATCGAGATCTTCATGGAAGGCCTTGAAAGCTAGTCAGACGGATGCAATAGGATAGATCTACGGGTATGGAGGATCTGAGGATTCAGTGACCTTGGCGTGGCCGCTTTTCGAGCACCAAATCGGCAACGTGCTAGCCTCTCTCACACTTACCTCGGCACAGCGCGCCTCCGCCGAACAACTCGCGCAGTCAGATGCGACAAAGCCAACACAAGCACCACAAAACACGCCTGAATCCCATTTGGATATCCTTATCAAACGTTTCGAAAGACGATCACAGTACAGTCAAGAAAATCGCGGGGAAAGAGCATCATGGCAGAAGGATATAAGTACGAGTACTTCAACGTGACCTTTCCAGCGGAATACGTTGCCCATGTCGAGATCAACCGGCCAGAGAAGTTGAACGCATTTGTCGAACAGTAAGTACGATTCTCAACCGTATAACACCTCCAATGGAGTTCTCTTGTCGTTGTTCGAGCACCTTAGAGCTGCGTTCAAAAATCCCAGTTACATGTTGACATCCTCCAATGCTCATCAGGGCTCCTGATATGCTGCATTTATGCGATCGAACAAACGCACTGACAAGTTTTCAGAATGTGGCTCAACTTGTCTACCATAGTCAAGCGCCTTTCTCATGACTCGAATATCCGTGCTATAATACTGACTGGCTCTGGCGATCGCGCGTTCACAGCAGGTCTGGACGTGACGGTACGCCCCGCTCTTCGACTTCACAACGCTTGATGATTACTGACCAAAACTCACAGGCAGCTTCTCAAGGCACCCTCTCACAGAATAGTTCCGATTCCGCTCGCACAGCAACTGCCCTTCGCAGACACATCTTTGAGTTCCAAGACTGCATAACAGCGCTGGAAAAGTGCGAAAAGCCTGTTATCGCGGCGCTCCACGGTATCTCCTACGGCTTGGCCCTCGATCTTTCCCTCGCCTGTGACATCCGGCTATGCGCTGCAGATACGCGTTTCTCCGTCAAAGAAGTCGACATCGGACTCGCTGCTGACATCGGCACGCTCTCCCGCTTGCCCAAGGCCGTCGGAAACTTTAGCTGGGTAAAGGACGTGTGCCTCTCAGCTCGCATCTTCGGTAGCGCCGAGGCAGAGAAAGTCGGACTTGTTAGCGGGGTCTACGGCGGAAAAGCAGAGGTGGTATCAGAGGGATTGAAGCTCGCGAGCTTGATCGCAAGCAAAAGTCCGGTTGCTGTACAGGGCACAAAAGAGATCCTGAATTACTCCCGCGACCGAAGTGTAGAGGAAGGTTTGAGGTACACCGCAGTTTGGAACCAGGCGATGTTGCAGACGCAAGACGTGAAGGATGCCATGTTGAGTGGGCTGCAGAAGAAGACGCCTAAGTTTAGTAAGCTGTAGATGTAGAAGAAACATCGGATACTGCAGACGCTTTCGCGATTGTCAGCTTCTAGCCATGGTCTCAGCGTATCTAGATGTCCAAACGGTGAACAACTCAAAATGCCAAGACCTCGGTTGAAAGTAAACCCGGCCACCGGTCGTTCTTGTCCTAGAGCTTCAGAAGATAGTCTACCTTGACCCGCTCCTGTCGCGCACCCCAACAGTCGACGGTCGCTCTCCCGAATCTGAGGAACGCGCCAAAATGCCAAAGTTCTTTTGTAAGTATGCCAACATATCAACCGAACAACCATCTGCGCTCGCAGCTAACCTGGCGCAAGGCGATTACTGCGATGTCTACCTCACCCACGACTCGATGAGCGTCCGAAAGGCGCATAATGCCGGTCGAAATCATTTGCGCAACGTGCAAGCCTACTACGAACGTATGCGCGCGCGCTCTTCTTAGTTGGACATGGCGAAGCTAACAATGCGACAGAGATATCTAGCGAACAGACCCAGCTTGTCATCAACAGCATTACAGACGCTTACAATGCGGAGGGCCAGGCAAACCCAATGACCCAGAACCCAATGGGCGGGCTGGGCGGCTTCCCTCCACCTGGGGGCCCAGGCTTCCCACCGCACGGGTTCCCACCGCCAGGTACGATGTGCGCGCTTTCGATCCGGTCGCGGTGCTAACTTGCGCAGGAATGCCTGGCATACCGCCACCGTTCATGGGTCGCGGAGGCCCTCCACCCAACATGCCCCCGATGCCTTTCCCGCCGCCGAACATGCCGCCGGGCGGACCACTAGGACCGGGCGGACCGATGCCCCCGGGAGGCATGCCTTTCCCACCACCGAACATGGCTGGAGGACCACCGCCAAATATGCCCTTTCCCTTTCCCCCACCTGGTCAGGCTGGGTCTCCACCAGGAGGGATGCCGTTTCCTCCGCCAGGAGCTATGCCTCCAAGGGGCTTTCCTCCGTTCCCTCCACCCAATGCAGGACCACCTGGGCCACCCGGTCGCTAAGTGAATCCTCCGCCGGACTGATTACCGGAATCATCATTCGTTCCGTCAATCTTTGATGCACGTATTGCACGTGGACGATACTTCAACTTCGCGGCTCTTGGTTATGTAACAAGTGGCGAGGAGTAATGCCGCGAACCGGGAAACTGGTGGCGGCTGGGAAAATGCTGGACTTGAGCCGCTAAAATACGATACCCAATTTAAGGAAGGGGACGATGTGCCGATTAGCGTGTATGTGAGTGAAGTGTACGTTGCTATCAGAGCCAAACCAAAGTCCAAACCGATGAAAACAATATTTACCTGGCGAAACATAAGTACGATGTCGGACAAATCGTCGCAGCGGGCGCGAGAATATGTGAGAAGCTTTTGCTGGGCCTTCTCCCTCTATATCATCTAGGATATATTATGTACAGATTGTCGTCATGACGGACCAGATATCGTTGGGCAGCTTGGAGTGACAATAACGTATCTACACCAGATGTGCTTCTTACTTCGAAAACAACTTTCGTGCATACGTGTCAACATCAATGACAGGTATGCTATGTTTATAGTTGACCGTGCCGCTCTTGTCCCAACAAACACCGTCTCTTGCGAACACTAGGCGGTATTTCTTGATCTGATCATCTGGATCCTTCGCAAGCTCAGCTTCAAGGTAGGGAATCGTCCACTCCTCCCGCTCGACGGGCTGTCCTGCGGCGCGCTCAACAATATCAGCTAGCTCCTTATATGTCACAGTATCCCCGGCGGCGTAGACCACAGTGTTCTCCGCGTCAAAGCCACCTGCTACAATCTGAGCCAGGATTTTTCCAATGTCTGAGACATCCGTAACAGTGATCCCGTGATCCCAGTTTCTCAGTGCCCGAACCGTAATACCTCCGCCTTCCCGGACGACGACCCCCCAGAATTGCTCAAACAAAAAGCTCATGAATATTCCAGTGGATACGACAGTCCACTTGATATTGTTTTGCGTTGCTTCAGCTCTCAGCAGATTACGCACGGCGGCCTGCTCGCCGAAGAGAGGCATTAACCCTTGGCCATCGCCAGTAATGTCGTAGTCTACACCCCATTGCCAGGGGAAGAACCAGAGTCTAGATTGGTTTGTGTTCCTTCGCAGCAGTCCAGCGTTCAAGATTTCTTTCGCAAGTTTGAGAAGAGTGCCGCTAGATTGGCCGAACCCCGTCGCAGAGATGACGATGTCGTAGTTGGAAAAGCTCTGAGAGAGGGCTTCGGAGGGGCCGCTTATGTCAAGAGGCACAACTGAGACAGTGCAGGATGAAAGATGGCTGTACTTCTCAGGCGTACGAACGCCAACGGTAGTGTGTGTATGTGGCAGAGCGGACAGATGAGGCAAGAATGCGGTTCCTAGCTCACCAGCGCCGATAAGGAGGATTTGGGTCGCAGAAGTCATGGTGATTTACGCTGTGACTGGCGTTGGAAGTGATAACACATGCTACTGGAGGGGAGATGTTCTATTGTATAAATCTTGCACAGAGAGGTGCAAATCTGTGGTTCCTCGGAGATAAGAGCGAAGGAAGGATCCGACGATGTTCGGTTTCTCAGAAGTCGCGCAATTTGCGTCAGGCCTCAGCTGACTCCCTAGGGAAAACTGCCAGTTGGAAATAACGAACTGCGGACCCTCTGTGCTACCCAGGACACGCTCATGGCATCTCGAATAGCCCTTCCCATAACATACATATATGCCTTAGTAGTCACCCTTCTTATTGCATATTTGGACCAGGGAGCATAGGACTATTCATCGTGAGCTTTCAACTGAGCCCGTCCCTTATATCGCCAGCTGTTACATTATCCTCACTTGACGGACGCAAGATGTAGGTCCACATGTGAGAACATTCTACCGATGGCACAGGCGCACGTCGTAAGGAGTTAATTTTGCACGGATTACTTTGACGCGAGCCGGGGTATCTCGCACAGCAAAAACATGCATGCGACTAGGATCTTTGTTCGTCCATCGGGTGGAGATGGCAGCGTTGAGAGGCGAGCTCGAGGTCGCGGACCAAGCAATTGCGCTTTACCCCTTTTGGGCCTCTAAGATTTAAGCGAATTTTGACGCACCTGGCGGCTCTCAAAGAGCTCCCGCCAGACTTCTGCAAAAACACCACCACCGAGTGCGCCCACCGTTTATACCCAAGGTCAACACTCTCCCGCACATCATGGCTGAGCAGTTGGTTCTCCGTGGCACCCTTGAGGGCCACACTGGCTGGGTTACTTCCCTCGCTACCTCCCTCGAGAAGTAGGTATACACAAGATGATGGCGGAGAGGCAGCATTGCGCTGCGCAGAGAAATGTCTAGTCCGGTTGCGCTGACTGCGTTATTCAGCCCCAACATGCTCTTGTCCGCTTCCCGCGACAAGACGCTGATCATCTGGAACCTTACCCGCGACGAGACCTCGTACGGATACCCTAAGAGGAGTCTGCACGGCCACTCCCACATCGTCTCCGACTGCGTACGTTATACCCGCAAATGCGAGCAATTGGCTGGCTAGGAAGTCCAAAGAAGACGGAGCTGACAATTGCGTGACAGGTGATCTCCTCCGACGGTGCCTACGCTCTTTCCTCATCCTGGGACAAGACCCTCCGCCTCTGGGAGCTCTCTACCGGCAACACCACCCGCCGCTTCGTTGGCCACACCAACGACGTCCTCTCCGTCTCTTTCTCCGCCGACAACCGCCAGATCGTTTCCGGTTCCCGCGACCGAACGATCAAGCTCTGGAACACCCTTGGTGACTGCAAGTACACCATCACCGACAAGGGCCACACCGAGTGGGTCTCCTGTGTGCGCTTCTCGCCCAACCCCCAGAACCCCGTCATCGTCTCCGCTGGCTGGGACAAGCTCGTCAAGGTAGGTCACATGCTATGCATCCCCGATCTCGGGCCTTCCTCGCACACAATCATCATGATGATCGAAATGATTTTTTGTATTTGCTACTTCAGAGCCGCAAGGCTATGAGAACAACAATCACCTTTTACTGACATAGCGCTTCCTCCGAATGTCGTACATTGCACATGGCACAAGCGGAAGCTAACCGTGGATAGGTTTGGGAACTCGCCTCGTGCCGCATCCAGACCGACCACATCGGCCACACCGGCTACATCAACACCGTCACCATCTCCCCCGATGGCTCGCTCTGCGCTTCCGGCGGTAAGGACGGAACCACCATGCTCTGGGACTTGAACGAGTCCAAGCACCTCTACTCGCTCACCGCTGGTGACGAGATCCACGCCCTCGTCTTCTCGCCCAACCGCTACTGGTTGTGCGCCGCCACCGCCTCGTCCATCATCATCTTCGACCTCGAGAAGAAGAGCAAGGTTGACGAGCTCAAGCCCGAGTACTTGGAGGTCGGCAAGAAGAGCCGGGAGCCCGAGTGTGTGTCGCTGGCTTGGTCCGCGGACGGCCAGACGCTGTTCGCTGGTTACACTGATAACCGCATCCGCTGCTGGGGTGTTATGGCGAGGGCATAGAGTGATGTAGGCTATGGTGCAGCGGTGTTGGGGATGAAATCATGATTCCGGTTCATCTGTATGCCATGGGAAATGAGATATGCTATGCTCATGCGGGCGGGTTTTGGAACTGGGGCTGGTCAATTCCTTCCTATTAGCACTTCCAGGCGCTCAGAGTCAATGAAAAATTCATTCAGTCCAGCCACAGTCCCTGATGCTCGTACCCTTGTCAGATGTTGGCATCCCCACGGCCAGCCTACATGTTTGCCAACCAGCGCAGGCAAGATCAACAATGTAGAGCAGCCTGCATTTAAAATCTTAAAAAAAAAGTGTATAAGCGTATCTCAATGCCACGGGAGACTCACTCCGCTTCTACTCTATCAGAAATCTTTTCCGCCCAAGAATAGACAAAAATTTAGCGCGGGCCAAAGGGCCTCGGTCCCAGTATCTGCCTCCTCCCCCCGAAGCTAATTCCTCCCTTGTTCTGGCTGTCTCCGCCAACGTAGCCATACTGGTTTACGTCCCAGCTCTGGCCCTCGCCAGTGCCAGCATTCGGGTCCTTGGGCGCACTCTGCAGAGCGCGCTGCGCGTCCTCCCACTCCTGCTGTCGTTCGCGCTCCCGCTCCATTTCCCGCTCGAGCAAAGACTTGGACGCCCATCCGCCCGCTTTCGTTTTCGATTGGGACGCAGCGCGCCTGGCGTCTTCCGCAGCGCGCTCAGAGGTAGACGTCAACTCCGGAGGGATGTGATTCGCCGGCTTAGGAGCCACGGGGGGAGGGTTGGATGCCAGGTACCTGTCTGTGCGGCTTTGCTTAGCGTAGGCAGCGGGGTCTGGCAGTGGGCGCGGCGAAGTGGCAGGTTCTGGTAGAGGCCGAGTTGAGGTCGGGGGTGAGGTTGGTTCAGGAAGAGGTCTCGGTGGTTGACGCTGAGTCTCCTGCCACTGCTTACGTAGGTAGTCACGATCATCAGCCTGGGCCCATGATGCCGTGCTGTCTTGCGGAGAGGGAGCACGTGGTGGAGGTTGAGGACGGGGACGGCTCTGTGACCGGTTGCGGGTCCGGCTCTTCGATCGGGCGCGCTCTCTGCGGCGCTCGGAGCGCTCCTCGCGTTCGAGCTGGTATTGTCGTTCACGCTCTTTTGCCTCCTCGAGTTGGCGTTCGAGCTCCCTTATCCGGTCTTGTTCGCCGTTGGACTCTGGCTCGTATTGACTGTTCCGCCGACTTCGCGGCTTAGTGCTGGTTTGTTCTGCTTGGTATTGACTGAGGTATTGGCCTTTTAGCCTGGCGTCACTTCCCGCGCGTTTGCGACGGCTCTCTTTGGCTATCCTCTCCTGCTCCTCTTGCTCCTCCCGTTGCCGCAGCTCTTCCTCTAGCTTCCATTGGCGCTCCTCCTCTTCCCATTCCTGCTTCTGTTTGTCGAGCTGGCGCTGTTTTGCCTCTTTTTGTTTCCGCGTCTCCTCTTCCCATTGACGCTCTTCTTCGGCCTGCCGCTCGATCCGTCGCTTGTGCTCCGCTTCTTCAGCCAAGATCCGCAGGCGTTCGTCTTCGGCCTCCTTTTCTCTCCGCTTCCGCTCCTTCTCGGCCAGGCTAGGAACTTTGGGCCCCGCGGACGTAATTTGCCGTCTGGCGCCGAAGGCGATGCCTTGGTTGCCTTGGCTTGCGCCGCCCATGTAGCCATACTGATGGATGTTCCATGCAGGCGCTGTAGTACCCTCGTCAGTCTTTCTGCTCCAGCTACTTACGCCGCCAGGGGGCGACTTGGGTATACCGTTGGAGGTCTTTGACGAACTTGAACCGCCTGTGAGGTGAGGACTGAGGGCTCGGTCAGGTTGCGGCCGGGCAAGTGGGTTGAACGTGTTGGAGCCGCTGGTGTTGCTGGCGGTGCTGGGCCCCCTGCTACGTCCAAACCCAGGAGAGTTGAGGGAGCCTCCGCTTTGGAAGCCCCCTGCGCCAGTTGCCGCAGGACTCAAGGGGCCTCCACCACCGCGCCTGGGCCCTATTGTGGTCGGGAAGTTGGAGGGGTTCACCGAGTTTGCGACTCGGCTGAAAGCGCTCAAACACTGCAGGACTTGGGCGGGATCCTTGGACTCGTACAGGTCGACGGTCAGGAAGCGGTCGTGGGAGGGCATGCTGAGCGGGGCGTTCTCGCAGGCGCGGAGGAAGTGGGAGATGTTCTCCATCTGGATGAAGGGCATTGGCGACTTCTTGAACTTGACGCCAGGGTTGGGCACAGCGAGGTTGGCCAGTCTGCATGGCGGTTAGCATGCGCGCTGCAGGCTCGCACAGCGCAGTGTCTACGCACCTGCACAACGCAGTCCCGTCCTTGAGCGCATCCAGCAGGTCTCCGGGCGGCAGCCGCTCGCCCAGCATGTCTTCTATCCAGCTGCGCGCTTCGCTGGCGGCCTGGGGCGTGTACCTGCCCAGGCGCAGCTTCTTCATGTCCTGGTCCAGCGACGTAACGGACGCCATGGCGGAGGGGCGGTGGGCGTTGTCGGGGCAAAGCCGCGCGGCGTCGTGGGTAGTCGATGCGGGGGGATATGCGGTGTTGTGGTGAAAGGCAGCTGCGTGTGCGTGCGCGACGGCGGCAGAGGGCGGATTGGAGCGCAACCAGCGGCTCCTGGTGGGACGTCAGTGTCGCGGCATGCCAGCGCCAGCGGGGGAAATGCGTGTGGCTGCGCTTCAGCCACCAAGGCACGACCACCGACTGCGTCATTGGCCGACGCGTGCACCTTGGCGTCGCGACGCTCCAGCCCTGGCCGACTCATCACATACCATGGCGAGGCAACCCGGTCTGGTCAAGAGGCTATGGTGGAGTTGGAAGATGCTGCCGCTGCCCTGGCGGCGCCGGACGCTGGCCGGTGAGTTCCAGCGACACGCATGGCCTGGCGTGCAGCCCACTGACAGTGCAGGATTCGACCTTGAGGGCAACACGTACTGGGAGTGGAAGATTGCGAAGCATGCGCGACGGACCCGCCGCATAGTCGAGTACCCAGGAGGCGCCTACAATAGCGACGTCCATGTGCCTCGTATGTCGCCTCTCTGTTTGGTCTTCTGGCAGCCCTTCACTGACACCATGCAGCGCAGTGGGCGCAATGGCTGCGCCAGACGCGCGCCGAAGCCCCCACCATGGAGGAACAGCAAGCCGAAGCCATGCGCCAGGAGCGCATCAAACTGCTGGCCGCTCAGGCAGATGCCCGGTGGGCCGCGAAGCCCTCTGCTGTCGATGCGCCGGACAAGCAGCAACCCGTGCAGATGTTGGAATCGAGAGACCCCAGCACAGGCATCCGGCAGATGAACGCCGATCAGGAGACACGAGATAAAGCAGAGCCACCGAAGGCAGTGACCGAGGAAGCCATTCGAGAGGAAGCGCCACAAACAGATGCGGCTCCTACATTGAAAACCAGAATGCCAATGCAAACAGAGCCCAAAGACTCGCCGTGGAAGAAAGCGGCGGCGAAAGGCAACCCCGGCGACGAGTGGCAGCCTTCATCTTGGTCGCCAGCCCCCGCAAGAAAATGATCGTGACGTCTGCGTCTGGCTCGCGACTGTAACATCATGTACCATAGAAGGCACTGGGTGGCACTCCCCACGATATCGTTGCCACGCCTGCCCCGGCATCCCAACAAACCAGCATAGCGACTTCTCTGTACAACACCGCGTTCAACGGCCCAGCCAAGCATATAGAATTCAATCTTAATGCGACTGTCATCCTTCTCACAACACATCTTTACATCGTCTATTTATTCATCACTACCAGCACCGTCACTTTACAGTCCTCATTGATCTCTTTCACTATCAATACTTCAAAGCCTCCCGTCGACTATTGACGACTCATCCACAGCTCTTCGCATCTGGCATCGAGTCATGTCATGCCAACCTAACCATCTACGACATGGGGAACGCGCTGCCCTGTTGGAAAGAGTCCTGAGTTTGACTTCCGAATTAATCTCTCTCATTCTTGATTGCGTGAATCCACCCAATCCACCCAGGCTAGATCAAGATGTGGACGACATACTCACGTTTCGTAGTGTATTGGAACACCTACTTTGATTGCCTATGATTACGACTCACTTCCGCTCATATGCCCACGCTACGAAACAGATGCGTACCCCTCTGGTCTCCCGCAACGCTTAGAAGCAGAGTATAACTGGCTTCTCCGTCAGAAATGGCTTCGGTCGCAGAAAATGTTCTCCGAAGCTACCCCCTTCGTCATGACGCATCTCGCGTGCCTGATGCAACAGCCATCCAGACTGCCTCTCGTCATGCAACCCTGTTCCAGCCTCAACTTGACGGGCCTTGAGAAAATCGAGCTCAAACTGCCAACGGATGGTTTCTTCCTCTTGTTTAAAGTCAGCGCCCCGCCATTTCCTACACCGGTATGTCTCCTCATGGGGTAACACAATGTACCGGTAAGGCTTGCCAGAACGCTCGCTGGCTTACACCACCTTTTAGAACCACTGTTATTATGACGAGACCTTGATCGGTGCCGGTGCCTATCTCGCGCACACCCGTAAACTGACTTTGGACTTCACTTCGATGAACCCTTGGTATAATTTGGGGTTAGGTCCGTGGTCCGAAGAAGATGACGGAGGCATGCGGCCTGGGGATAGGGCCACGTGCACTTCAGGCTTGGTCATTGACTGGATCTTGACATACGTGAGTCTTCTCTCTATGTGCCATTGCCAGGCCCACCTCAGAGTGTGTCAGGCCGCCTCAATGTGGCGGCTTTGCATGCATGCCACAGCCTTTCCCCTCCTATGCATCGACAGTGCTCTACACTTGCTGATACCAATACCCCTTGCTAGGCATGGCACTACAACTACTTGCAGCACATCCACAGCGTGGAGCTCAGAGGCGATATCCAAGATTGGGTTAAAGAGAAATGGCACCGGGTTTTTGCCGGCACGCACCCAGACCAAGACAATGTCGCAAGCCGTCAATGCATTCATCAAATCGAGCACCACGGGGAACCAGAAAGCGTTGCTATGGGAGAGCGCTGGATTCCCACACAACATTACCCGCCTGCGTGTCGATGCGAATTGAACTGCAGCAGATTGCGGCGTGGGATTGTGGAACCAGAAGTACGTTCGCTCCGTATACAGTGATGCGCGCGTTTGAAATCAGCGTGTTCGTCAAAATTAGAGGTTAATACATGTGCTTGTTAGATGCCCTCTACAACATGGGAAGACGATACACAGGACGACTTGCGTCCCTTGGACACGCTGCCATGGTACGTGCCACTTTGCGCTCGTTCAACGGCGTTGCTCATCACTCTAGGCACAATCAGATGGACACAGATGGGTAGCGTTGCAGTACGTGAATACTTGTAGATTGGGGTCCATTGCTATTCCGAACTCGGACGCCATCCGTTTCTAGTCTTCTACAACCTCGATTCCATCCAATACAACGTCTTCACCTCCGCTCGTGCCAAACGTGACGGTATTTTCACTTCCCTCATTGAGATCCAACTGAATCGGCACAACATCGTGGAATCCGGCCCTGTGATTAAGCGTCGAGATATTGACAGCATGACCCTCATTGACGGACACCCAAGCTTCTGCGCTGCTAGAGGGCAGGACGCGGTAGTGGAACTGCACCCATTGTAGTCCCCCAAGCCCAGTAACGTTCTTGAATTTGACTAGCCCGTCCCCATTGAGCTGATGCACGCCCCTACTGCTGACGCAGTGCTCGCACCGCGCGATCGCCGCTCGGCCTTCAAGCGCAGCATGCTCGGCCTCATACCGCCGTTTCAGGCTGGGGACTTGCACCTCGCCTGTCGTGACATCAATCTTCCACTGCGCGTGGTACTCCAGGGTCAGCTTCTTCCCGCTCGTGTCGACGCCGATGGGCAGCCAGACGTAGTTGCTGTCGGGCCCGCCCTTGGAGTCCCACGAGTCGCCCATGTAGATGTACGTCGTCTTCTTGCTGCCGACGACGGTGAGCTCGAACGTGTTCTGGCTGTTGTACGTCTTCTCTGCTTCGGGGGCGATGCCTGTTTGCCCCGCCGTCAGCCACGCTCTTACCATGAAGGGAGCCATGCAAGGCGGTCGGGAACGAGGATGGGACATGCGTACCCACGGGGCCGTTCCAAGATCCGCCGACGAGCTTGTCCGTCCAGAAGACTTGGTTGGGATTCGAGCGCCAGCCCGTCTTCCCCGAGACAACTAGGTAGTAGATGCCGTTTGCCTTGAGGATGCCGGGGGCTTCGTAGGCGCCTTTGGCGAGGTAGTTGACGCGGTCGCCCACGGTGCCGTCGGCGTTGATGCGGTTCACCTGCACCGTGTTGTGGTCGGCCGACGTGAGCAGGTACCACGTCTGGTCTGCGTCGTCGCGGAACATGCCTGTCGCAGTCCAGTGTCAATGATTGGTCTGTCTCTTTGCATTGGAGCGAGATTGCACCTGTATCGCTGTACGTGTACCCGCTGGGCGGCAGCGTCACTTTCCCGCCCGAGAGCGCATAGCTTGCGTCGATGGTCGTGGCTTTCATCGCCTGCACGTTGCGGTCTACCTGCCCGTAGATCCACCAGTTGCCGTTCGGTTTGGCCACCTTCGGGCGCCACATGTACTGGATGCTGTTCTTTGGGTTGGAGGCGGGTGTCCAGTCGAGTAGGTTGGTCGATGTGTACATGTAGGGTTGCTCGTCTGTTGGATGTTAGTACATATTTTTTTTTCCTTTTCAAGTAGGAGGACAGGTGTAAAGGACGTGGATGAATTGAAGACATAGAAGAAGGATTTAAGTACTGTGTGAGGCCGACTGTCCAACCCAGTAGAACGTATTGCCCTGCTTGTACACCATGCCACCGTGAGCATCGATTTTCGTGTTGGACGTAGACATCCATGCTGCACCAGGTACAATCCAGCTATTCGCAGCTTGCGCTACGCTGGCTGCACCGAGCGCAAAGGTCTTATAGTTGAGACGCATTTTCAAAAGATATAAATGAAGCTCTGCCGTGCAAAAGTCTCAAGTGCTCCACACGATGCTTGACGCTCTCCTATGTAGGCGGGGAATCTGGGGTTGCCGTGACGCGCAAGGGTTCCTTGAATTAGAGTAAACCGACGGGTTGTTTTGCCCCGGAGCGACGGCGGGGATGCAACGTTGCGCTGCCCGCAGAGCATGCTTGCAATCTGGGTAATGACCTCGTGAACATCTTCCGGGCATGGAACCGCACGAACTTTCCGCCAATACTGCTAGCGTGGCTCCACCATGGAAGCTCACACCGGAGAATTGTCTGTCGAGCGGACGAGGTGGAAAGGTCGCTGAAATTGTTTGTTGTACAGGGTTTGAATGATGTGAAGGCATCGCAGCGCAAGATAGGAAGGATAAGAATAACTTTTATGGCCGTGAAAACCACCAGATCTACGCAGCTACATGTTCCCCACGGTATGCAAAGTAGACGTAACCATTCCGTGATAAGATGCAGCTCATGCTGTCCGTTGCAACTCCTCATGGCATCCCATCAAAGCTCAACTTCATCTCAGCAAATGGATATCTCAAACAAACACAGCCATAAGGCTCAAACAGAGCAGGTCGTAAAGTGGGTATTATGTCGTTAATGATGGAGGCGCTCGGTCCCCAGGCCCTCTTACTCCTCAGCTCTCTCCTTCTCCTTGGTGGGATTGGTCTTTTTGATGTCGGGCAACTCTGGGCGGAACTCCTGCACACTCTTCTTCTTCTTCCAAATCATCCGATAGTACGCCGTCAGCCCAGGGAAACCCTCCTCTGAGAACTCGTCCCAGTTCCTAATGATCTCGTCTAAGATCACCCAAGCAACACAATCTGAATATGCAAACCTTCGCCCGGAGATGAAGTGCCCGGGAGTGAACGCATAGCGCTCTTCTAGGACTTCCAAAGCGTCGACAAAACTGTGAGGATATGTGGGCACACAACGGTTGTTCCAGTGCTTGAGAATGCCCGTCGTCATGATGAAAATATCATAGCTGGCGGCCATACAAGGACGATTTCGTTCATCGGTATCGTGAGTGTAGAACCGCTCGAGGTAGGCGATGATAATGAAGGCCTGGGTAACCTCGGTGCGGTCTTTGTCATTGTCCCGATATCCCACCTGACGGTCTACTTCGCATTGCGTTGATACTTTCGGGGCTTCTATGACCGAATACTCGAGGTTCCGTTCCGCAAGGTAGACTTTCACCATGTTGTTCTCCACTTCGTTATTGGACGTGAACAAGATGGGTAGATCCTTAGGTGAGCCTTTGAAATGCAGGACGTCAAAGCCGTCGCCGTACCAGTCGTCCCAGTCGAAGTCAGGAGCATGGTTTTCGCGGCCGAAGGCGCGAACAAGACGTTGATTCTCTTCTTCATCGTCGTTGATTACGTCGGCTGCATCGCGCTGCTCCTTCATGGTGGCACCTTGCCCCCAAATTGTCCGGCATTTGGCGTCTAGGTAAGTGGCTATGCGGCGGAAGGTCAAAGAGATTCGCATACCTTCGTAGGCGTTCTCGGCATCGCTACGTTCTGATACCATACGTTTGTCGGCCATTATTCCGTGTAGCCATTTCGTATTGGATTTGAGACCGAGCACAAACATGGAGTTATGCGGCATGGCAACGCGTTGAGTTTCGCGTTGAGAGTCTTCCGCTTTGTCCAGCTTTTTTGTGCGAAGGCGCATGGTCCTTTGCGCACCGAAGCTTACATTGACTATTGACGAGCCTCTGGCGATGTCGAGGCTTTTATCTGAATGTTCGGATATGTAGTCCGTTCCTGAGCGGTAAAGCTGGATAAGAACATGGTTTAGAGGATGACCAACAAGTTTTTCTGCCCGCTTACGGATCAAATGCACCTTGGGAGAGAAATGCAGTAACGGTAATGTCTGATCGGCTGGATGCCGATATATTGGCATGGATCCATCTGCACTAAATTCGCCTTGCGCACACACCAAGCGCGGTACCTCACCCTCTTGGTGATGCATTTTCTGCCACCGGACCTCATTGTAGATCTGGGTAAAGATGATCTCTCGCAAAGGTTTTGAGCGATCAGATGGATGGTAGAGCTCCGGCGGGAAAAAGTCGTAGATTATTCGAGAATCCCCTTCCGCGATACGATCATTTGGGCCCAGGACAGGGAAAGTTGCGAGAGATTGAAGTTTGCTGGCCTTGGGTACCTTTGGTTCGCTTGGTGGTATGGGTCGTGCTACAGCGGGTGCACTTTCTGCAGTAGATGTTGGTGACCGGGTAGAGAGTTCTTCATTCGACTCTGTCTTGGAGGCCCGAGTCAAAGCCGTTCTCACACGAGACGTGATATCTTTATCAGAACTAGAGTTAGAAAGAGCAGGTTGCGAGGCTGAAAGTTTTAGTGAGCGCTCGCTCTTCGGAGTGTTGTGCCGCAACTTGTCGCTGCTCCCTGCCTTTGTGAGGGCTGTAGGTTCTTTGTCTACAGTTTTGGCTACCTGGGGAGTCTTGGCCGGTTTTTCAGGTTCTCTTTCGGCGGCGTGCAGCGAGCTGATTCCGGGGCCTATTGTCCCGCTTTTTTTGCTCAACTCGTTTTTGGTTCTTTTTTCTTCTGACTGCTTGTCTTTGTCCTTATCCTTGTCTTTATCTTTGGATGTTCGCGGCCTCATCCGAATTTTGGACTTGACAAGACTTTGTCTCTCAGGCTGTCTTTCGGCCTTCGCTATCTTTGCGCCTTGAACCAGTCGCTCTGTGAACTGTTCGTCACTTAGTTTTGTGTCGGATGTGGCGCGACTGTCGGCTAAAGAGGTGGCATCGGACGGCTTTCGCGCCCTGCCGTTGACGAATGACGTGCGCTCAACTTCATCTTTCGAGTTGTCAACAGTTACGATGGGGTTTGTTCCACGCGGGATGTGTGTCGCATTATTGGTTTGGTCCGTAGTTTGTGATCCCGCCATCCGCAGGTTCTCAATCATGTATTGAAGGTCCTGCTCATCCTTCGAATCCTTCTGCGGGGTGAACGGCGGCGCACATCCCGGCATGTTCCGATCAATGACATCTTGGCTTGTGACAATGTTGGCGTCGAAAAATTCGACCATCCTCTTGAGGGCAATCTTATGGCGTGACTGCTTGCGATATCCAAGACAGTCCCCTACGACGTTAATTCTGATGCCATGGCGGGCTGCATCAATGACTGTGGCCAACACATTCACGTTTGTGATGCAGCCGCAGATGTAGACCTCGGTGACGAGCCGTGCCCGTAGGATGAGGAGAAGCGAAGTTCCCTGAAACGCGGAGTAGTTTGTCGTCTGCACCACTGTGTCTGAGGGATCGATCTTTGGTTTTACAGCATCTGCAAATTCTGCGCCTGACGTACCGGGAAGGCACGATGGTCCATTCTTTGCTGACTGCCGAAGAAACAGCTCTTCGTCTTCTTCGACGACGGCCTGGAGTTCCTCACGAGGGGTAGCCGAGATGGACTTGCGGGCAGATACCCGCTTCAGCAAGTTAAGGGCACGTAATCGATGTTTTGATGTTGACGATCGTGACTGGGTTGGCCGGATAAGATCCTTCGGAAGATCATCGTCCTCGTCTGTGCTGCTTTCCACTCCGTCGACCAAGCCGCCAACGACGACTGCGTCTCCCTCACCGGTGGTGGGGTCACTTGCAAGACGATCTGTCTCATAGAGAGTCTTGGTCCAGATAACGTTGGAAGACTGCTTGCGGAACGTGGGGATGATGGCGTGAATGCGATCCAAGAAGCCATTTCGGGTGTTGACAGGTAGCTTCCCGTCGGGCAGAATGAAGTCATTCTGGAGTCCGAGGACCAGTAGGGCTTGATGGGTCTGGAAGTGGGGTTGATTCTGGGTGACAAGCTCAAGTAGAGAAAGCATCGTGGCAGAGATGCGCCGAAAGGACCCGAAGGAGGAGGGCGTCGGACATGCGCACAACCACGGGGGAATTTGGTGATCAGCAGCAGCGGGGAGGGGCACAGAGAAGCACCATGGGGCGGGAGATAGAGGCGAAGCTGCAACGAAGCAACGAGCCAGACATGGAGCCGGCGCGAGGGCAAATGTGTGGTGGCATCACCAGAATTACGTGACAGTCGACGGGCGTTGTTCAGAAACGCGCGGGAGAGGAAGGTCGAGAGCGAGCCGGGCCACGGCGCGCTCCAAGCGGTATGATCCACGCAGCGGCAAAGAGCTGCACAGTACCTCCGTAGCAGACGTGCACGTTGCAAGTTCGGCTAGATCCACGGAGGTGCAGCAGGACGTTGCAGCATGCTGGCCATGCGGTGCAGATGAGGAACGGCGCAGCCCTTCGAGTCTGTCTGCCGCGCTGCAGGTCGGTTAGCGACAGCGGCTAGTGTGGCCAGCGCCAGGCAGGCCGCGACGAGCTTCTCAATCTCGATACTGCACGCGGCCATTGCCATTGCCATTGCCATTGCCAGTGCCAGTGCCAGTGTGCTGCCTCGAAACATGTGTTCACATTGTGCGCCACCGCCGGGGTGGGCGCCGTGTCTATTTGGAGACCACGGGCTGTCTGTGCCTCTGCGCTGCTGCACTCGCTGCAGGGTGCTTCTCGCTGCCCACGCGAAAACGGGCACCGCACCCACCTACCACCGCCCAAGCTGCAGCTCGGGGCTGCATGCCAAACGCGACTGCAAATGCAAATGCACCGCTTGCTGCGGCAGAACGGCCTGCTGGCCATGACACGCATCAGCGAGCAGTCACGCCGCTGCCTGCCCTGCGAATGGCAGCCGCGCTTTAGTGTCCCGCCCGGCCACGCCGTGGTGATTTGCGCCTATACCAACATCCCTCTCACCGCCACCGTATAGCATCGCTCCAGTCTTCGCCGAGACAATACGCAATACGCAATACGCAATGCACGACTGCACTACGCGCCGACGCCGCACCCGTGCATGCCGCTCATATGGCGGCCTCACTTCGCGAAGAACGACTCGATGCGCTTCTGGTTGGACGGGCTCGCCTTCGCTGCACTGCCGTTACTCGTGGCGCTCCTGGTCTTCTTTGCAGGTGCTTTTGTACCACGCTTTTGCGGGGACTGGCTGGATCCTGGACCAGGCATCCTCCGCTTCTGTTGGCGTGCACCAGATGCTGTGTCGCCGTCATCTTCGGCTTCACTGCGCTCCCGTTTGATGCCCTTCAAACCTTCGCCGCGTGATGGGAATATTGGTGCTGGAACAGGCAATGGTGCATTGTCTTCGCTACCTTGAACCTGGTTCGTCGTCTCACGAGGTTCATTGGCGTCCTGTTCGACCTTGATTGCGATCTGGTCGGTGGTCTTGCCATCGTCATGCTCTGCCCTTCCGACTATGCCCTCGTCCTTCTTTGCTTTGGCCATCTTTTGTTGGTTCCCAAAAAAGTTGGCGATGTTGCTCTTGTTGGCCGCGCTGTTGACAGGCACGACAAACTGCGGCGAGTTGTTCCCGACCTTGCCCACTTCTCCGCTCACAGGAAAGCATTCCAATTCACCGTCATACGGTTGAAGGAGCGACTGCAGATCGGTGCTCCATTCCTTCCGCTCCGGATCTAGCCAAGTCTTGACAGCTTTAGAACCGTTATCTAATATAACCGGCATCCTCGACACAAGTCAGTAAATTGCTCGCACGCATTCCCCATCTCCAAGTGCCATCGTGCGCCTGAGTCATGGCAGGATAGTCGGGTCGACGTACCGGTCATGGAGAAACTTGAGCTGCTTGTTCGAATCCGTGGTAATGATTGTGTACGTGTACAGCAGCTTTTCAGAGTCTAGGCTAATGTCAGTGAACGCTAATGCAGTGCGCTCCAGTCAAGCAGAACGTGGCACCTCTGAGTATAACCTGGGGAGGTCCTTCTGTGCAATTTTGATGCGTTATATTACGCCTATAATCGTGGCTGTGCCATCGCCGCACAACAGACAGTTGTAGGCTAACAGTGGTAGCTACGAGCGAAGCAATACCGTTCATGCACATCCAGATCCTTGAAGACGAAAATGAGACTTACCGTCGAACTGGACACAGTCGTATAAACCCGCAAAACACATCAGCTGACCATCCTTGCGCTTGGTGAAATGCGGTATCTTCTCCTTGCCGTTGTTCTTCTTGAGCCATTCATAGAAACCCTGTGCGACCACGATGCACCGTTTCTTCTTCTTCATGCTTGTCCACATGCCACGATCGTCGTACAGCGAGTCATCCCGGCAGTTGATCGTCTTCAACATGGAACCGTAGTCGGGGTTGCGTTTCGTCCAGAACGGAACGAGTCCTACAACATTGAGCGGAGTCAGCGTGCTTCCCCACGCCGAAAGACTTTGCCGTCGACTCACCCCATTTCATAGCCTGAAGCTTGTACTTGGTGCCGTCCATGTGCCCTGCTGCTGGAACCGAAGTGATATTGTTCTGCGTGCCTAGCTCATCATGTTGGTTTTGTAATGTACTCGTCCCGGAGTCGGGACCATCAGCTCGGTAGACCAATCCGCAATATCCAGGCGCAAAATTGTAGCTTTGACGGACGTCGTTGTCGTCAGGCGCGCTGTCTACTGGCATCTGCGACTGCTCGAGCTGCTGGCGAACCACTGAAGGCCGCTGCGCGCAAGTTAGCCTATGGGGTACCAGCTTGGAAGAAGAGCTCACCAAGGCCAGCGCATATCGACCACACATGGTGGACGTAATCTGCACATGTCTGGGGAAGAGGATGCCGGCGGAGGTGTAGTAGCTGGTGATTGGACGACGTCATGGCCATTGTCACGCTTCCAGCCCTACCGATGCCGCTAACTTTTCGCCGCGACATGACGCGCCCCACGCCATTGCTCCTGCCGCTCCCTATTGACGGTCGTCCGCATCCTCGCCATGTTTTCTCGGGCTGTCCCGCGAGTTGCTTCTCGAGCAGCTGGGCTTGCGCAATGCGAGGCCTCACAGGTAGCTGCGGGGGCGCCTTCGTGGGCACTGCGCTCCCCCCAGCATCTGTCGCGGCGATACAGGTCGACTTTCCGTGAACAATTCCGCGAGCAGTTCCGCAGAAGCCCAATCTCATTTCCATTTGCCCTTGTATCGTATGTACCCCGTGACTGCAGACCGCGCCATCGCTCACCGCTGCAGCATCTTTGCCCTTGCCGGTTGGGGCGCATACTACATCCCATGGTACTATCACAATGTCATCCAGAAGCCCTACCACAATTTCCCCGAGCCAGTAGCAAAGAAGCTCCGTCGCGCGATATTCTACAGCAGGGGCCAGCACTTGGACATCAGGGAGGCGAACAAGTACTTCCGCCAGGCGCTGCAGCTCGCTACCGAGATGGGCATGGATCCGTTCAGCGACGAAATCATGGGCGTCAAATATGCCATTGCCGCGCTCTTCGAAGAGCAAGGCTACCACGCCATGGCATGTGATGTTTTGGAGATCATGCGCACCGACACCCAACGTTGGATAGACGAGTTCAGCGACAAGCACATCACCGACGGCAACCGCTCGCGTGTCAAGAAGAACATGGTGCAGATCAACCTCAAGCTCGGGCAGCTTTACGACTGCCCATACGTCAACGAACCGCAGGATGCCGAGAAGCGCCTGGTGGAAGCCGTGGAGGGCGCGTTGGGCGAGCTGCAGCGACGTGAGACAGAAGGCATCAAGCAAGGAGAGGGTGACTGGATGACAAACGACGAGCTGGGCGCCACGCTCGAGGGTACGTTGTTACGGGCGGTCACCGTCTATCTGTGTGCGACCGCAAGATCTCCATGTGCGACTGCTAACCTGCCATAGCACTCGGCCAGCATTACGAACACAACGACTCGCACTACCTCGCCTTACCGCTCTTTCTCCGCGCGCTCGAACTTTGCCCACCCACGTCTTGTCACAGCGTCGTTCTAAGTGAGTCAGAGACCACACGCATGGATCATCGCTGACTTGTTAGTGAACAACATCTCCACATGTCTTGCTCAGCAGACACCGCCACCCGCTTCTCTGACTTCGTCTTCGCCCTCGTCCTTCCCGAATGCACCAGCGCCTCCACGGACCGCACTCGTGGATCAAGCACGCCAATGGGCAGACAAGGCGCTGCAGCGAGCGGGCTCGATTACCGATCAGGACGAAGAATGTAACGTTGGGTGTGCTGTGGCGACCCACAATCTTGGAGAATTCTACGAAATGGAAGGCAAGATTCAGGATGCACGGCGCAAGTATAAGGATGCGGAGCAGCTGGCAAAGAAGATTGGCTTCCGGGAGGGACAGGCCAATGCGAAAGCAGGAATCGCAAGATTAAAGGAGCTGGAGAAGGCGCAACAATAGAACGCCATGGATAGAAGGAAGGTGTGTACGATATATACCTTGCACACGACAGTGCCCGAATAGCCATGTATAAATATTTTCTGACCTCGACCAATGGCACTTCGCAAGCAATCATACACAACACCGTACAAAGCACTTTCGAGCTGTGCGACATTTTTTCATTGAATTGATTGTTTCACGTAGTTCGTCGATTGTCATGTTCATCATTCATCGTGGAAAATAGAACCAGGAGAGTACAAAGCTTGTTCCTTTCCTATATTCTATCTCACCAATCTTTTGAGTACCCATCGTTGTCAGAGCAGATGGTAGTCTTTTTACATCGTTTCACAGCGTACCGTCGTGTACACATTATCTTTCGTCGCTCTGGAATAAGGGCACACCTGTCGCGCCTTGTACACCACCTTCTCCAAGTCCTCTTTCGCCAATCCCTTTACTTTGACAAGCAGTTCTGCCCGCAGTCCCATATCCAGATCTTTCATGCTGCCCACTAGGTGCACGGTGGCCTCCACGATCGAGTCTTCAGGCTTCGATGGCATCTTGACCCCGAGACTCGGGGCTACTGCGTTCATGGCGCTCTGGAAGCACGCTCCATAGCCTGCGGCAAAGAGTTCCTCGCTGTGACAAGAAGTTTAGTATCATACAACCACGATTGGAAGAGCCACCAACGGGTTCGTTTTGCCTGCGTCGCCCTTGCCTCCAAGAGCTTTCGCCATGGTGAGATCAACCTGGAGGTTCTCGCCCTCAACATGGCTTGACCAGTCAGCTATGGTTATGTCTGCTAGGAGAGCACATGATTACCCAACGCGTGCTCCCACTACTTTGGCGTGAGCTGAGTATAGGCTTGGAGCTGACTCTGTGTTCAAGCATCGTCGTGAGATGGAGGAAACAGTGCGAGGAGATACGCGCTTTGCGCTACGCATGAGAGGTGCCAAGGTTCGGGATGCCATTGGGACTGGTGGGATATGTGAATGGGTTCCTATAGTATGAAGAGATATGGTTAAATGAGTCAGTTGATGCTGTAGTATATGATTCGAGAAGATGCAGGTTGTACTTGGGGCTCAATATTCTTCTCGCGTCGCTTTGTTCTGGTTGGTGACGTTACTAGAGTCATGACGTTTGTACCTGCCCTTAGACTTCAAGCGGTTGGCGGGGAACGCGGACCTCCCTCGAATGTTGATGCACTCACGACGACTAGAAGTTTAGGTGCGGCGATTCTCTACGTGGAGTGCTTCCGTTCTCTCCCATGCTTTGGGCTTCGGCGCTAGACTTGTATGGCTGTCAATGGATTTAATAATTCGCATGAGGAGCGATTCAGTGTCGGCTGGGTCGGTACGTGCCGATCTTACGACAAAAACTCTTCGATACAATGGATTCCTACGAGCCGTTCTGTGCGGGCCACTGATTGGGATGATTCTCCAGATGTTCTGAACTGTTCGTTTCACTTTCCTAATTCGCCACCCAACCCCTGTTCCTCCACATCCTCTTGAGCCTCGGCTACTCCAGCATAGATGCGCACTCGCGTGACCCACTGCACGACCCCATGATCTATCTCATCCTCGACAGGACCCCACTCGTTCTCCAGCTTTCCTCCACACAAGCGATGCAATGGCAATAACGTCAGTTCTTTCCTGCGCTTACCCGGTAGACCTACAGGCCAAGGGCTACATAGAAGGCTTGACCTACGTCGACGAGAAAACATACAGCCCACTTGCACACTTCGTGGGCGGCATCCCATATGCCCTGCCACCACTCGGCCCATTCAGGTTTCAAAGACCGCGAGAGCTACCTCCATGCTACCGATATGGGACGGCTTCTAATCCTGGACGTTTCACCGGTGGTGTCGGAGTATGTCCGCAACCTGGGGATGCTGAAAACAAGAGAAGGTGGGATGAGGACTGTCTACAGGCGAATATATGGATCCCAACCGGAAGAGCACCCGGTACAGGGTGGCCAGTTCTCGTCTGGTACCATGGCGGCTTCTTACAGTGGGGAAACCCAGGAGATTATGGACTCTCGAACATGCTGGCAGAAACTGCAGCAAAGGCCATTGTAGTCATCCCGGGGTATCGCTTGAATGTATTCGGTTTCCTTGCCGGCGCAAAGCTGGCAGAAGAGGGAGCTGATTGCACAGCGAACAACGGGTTCTGGGACCAAAGACTTGCACTGGAATGGACTTGGAAGAACATCAGCTATTTCGGAGGCGACGCAGGTAACATCACCATAGGAGGATACTCGGCCGGCTCGCATTCGACTTTCCAGCAACTGGCGTACGACTTAAATCTCCCAGATTCGAAAGCTATCGTACGGCGGGCTCTGATGCTGTCCAACGGACCTGGGATGCAACCAAAGTCTATGGCAGATGCACAAGTTCAGTTCGACGAGCTTTGCGACGCTCTCAGTCTGTCAGCCAAAATGAGCGTCACAGAGAAATTGGCTGTTCTCCGTGTCCTAGATGCACAAACAATACTCGATGCTGCTTCGAAGATTAAGCACCACCAATTTCGCGGTGTGACAGATAGCATATTCATACGGGAAGGCCTGCTTGAAGAGCTAGACTCAGGACTGTTTGCGGCGCGCATGAAGAAACGCAGCATTAAGCTCATAATGGGCGAGTGCAGGGACGAGCATTTTGCGTACGGGCAATGGCTCCCACCACAAAATACCTATGAGAGCCTGTTCGAGCGCCTCCAAGCCGACTATCCCCTTGCTGCGTGCGAGGCTCTTATGGATCACTACTTTCCCGAACGTAGTCTACCGATGGCGTACAAGAGCTGGCAAGATGCTTTCGGTCACATCTACGCCGACATCCAAGTCCATCACCTCGAGCGAGGCATGGCCAACGCTCTAGTCGCCCACGGTGCTGGCGACCTTCTCTACCGGTACCGGATAGAATGGCGCGCACAGTGTTGCGACAAGGACTATCCGCGTGAATGGGGTGTGACTCACGGCACTGATTTGGCGATCTGGTTCTGGGGCAATAATGCGAGACTGAGCAACAAGGAGAAGGTACTTGTAAAGAAGGCGTTTCACGACCAGTTTGCAAAGTTCCTGGACAACGGAAAGCCACAGTGGGGAACAGAGCACCCATTACAGCTGCGCACCCTCAAGCCCGACGGTACTATCGCGATTGAAGAAGATGCATGGCTTGCAAACAGCTTGAAAGTCTGGGAAATACTGAAACAAGTCGGTGCAACTGATACGAAGCCGTCATCGCGGGATTCGAAGCTTTAGTTGAACAGAAAACGCCATGCGCCAGCCCATTTTCCGGAGGGTATCTCAGTATACATGCAAGAGCGCACCTTTGCGCCACGCTAAACCCGCACGCCGTAACACCGTGTAGTCCATCAAAAAGCGTCAATCAATCCAACCAAGCCCATTCACGCCTCTTGCGTTGCTCCTTCACTCGTCAGATTCCAGGGCAGCCTTCCCACGTCCAAATCTCTCCCCCCAAAAACCAGATAGTCAACGTCTCGGCTACATCTCTTTTCCAGCTTCTGTCTCTCGTCCTGCTGCTTTTCCGGCTCCTCGCACTCTAGGCCGATGATTTCACGATGCGCCATCCCCAGCGCACTTTCCGCGAGCCTCAGCAAGATCCCGATCTCCACCACATATCCATACGTCCCGTCCTGTACAAAGTCGTGTTTCCGATACTTCTTCAGAAACCTATTGACTCGCGCATGCAAACTGAGGTAATGCGCGGTCGGCGTACCGATGCCAAAAGTAGAATGCCGCGTAAAGGATCTGCGTGCCAGAGTGACGCTGGAGAGCAGGAGCTTTTCGAGCGTCTTGTAGTTGGGTTGCGGGGGCGGGTGCGAAGTTCGGCAGCCGTAGAATTGTGAGTCAGGCAGGCCGCTGGGCGGAGAACTGGGCGCCGTCGAGACGCCGCCTAGTGAGTCGGCTGAAGAGCTCGACATGTCTGAGGAGAACGACATTGTCGCTTTGGTTGTGTGTAGCGTTTTGTATCTACTTTTGTGCAATTTCGTCGTTTTGTCAGTGTTGATCGGCACCGTGGGGCTCCAATGGTTCGTCTTTAGCGTGGTGTAGCGTGGTCCGCGGCACTTTGCTTCGCTGGATTTGGCAATCGCTGTCTTTTTGTTGTTCACGGTTTTTGTTCTGGGTGTCTTTGCAAGCACTTGTAGCGTGATGTTTCGTGAGGAGGAAGATATCGTATTACATAGGTATTGTTGGCTGTGCAAATTTATAATGGTGAGAAGAGTCACACCATGGACCGAGACGATCAGCTGACCGCACAGCCGGACCTTTTTTCCCCGGTATTCATCCCTTAACACATCCACAGCCCACAAAAGTAAAGACTAGGACCCAAACAATGTACTTTTAACACCTTCAATGTAATACCAATATGTCTTCCAGCTCGCCCCATAATTGGCGAGCAGGTTACACCGCGACGTCATCACTCCGTTCCTGGTGGAGAACGAAAGCTGTACTCAGCCTCAGCCCCAGCATCAGCCCCAGAATGGAGCAAAGTCCTGAAACTCCTGGAGAACTTGCTGTCGCGCTGCTTCGTCTTGTGTGCTGCGTCGGATACTGTGGCACGTGAGATTACACTTCGAGTAATAGATCTGTTTGAATCGGCCTCAGCTTACTTGACTTCTTTTAGTTGCCCTGTCGCAGCATTCAGAGCGTAGCCAATGATAGGGATTCCCTTCCGTACATAAGGCGAGTTCTTGAGCGTCCCAATGTCAGAGCGAACGTTGGCTTCGATATCTCCGGGAGCCCACACGCATTCTAATCCCAGTCAGACACACGGTTGCGAAGAGAAGCAAACTAGCCGAAGATTGAGTAGTGAGCCAATTCCCCCGCGACCAACTCTTTAGTACACTGTACGCAGCTGCATCCTCCAGCGCTGCATCAAAACCTCTTACCGGAATGTTGTAGCACAACGATCATGCCGATACTCGAAGCTTGATCGATAGTGTGCAACTCATTGATACAGTTCCCTGCACGTCCACCTGCTGTTTTTATAACTCGGGTGTTGCCGCTGGCCGTAAGGTTGAAATATTTCGAGGGCTCAACCCGAGTTTCGGGCTCGCTGCACGCGACTGCTTTGTCGGTTACTGATCTTGTACACATGTGGACTGTCGCCGCTCTGCATGGCGTGAGTATAACTTACTGATGACCAGGGTTCCTGAAGGCATGATGACAATGCAGTTCACAACCCCCTATACAATGTAAAATGGGAAATGTTAGTCAGAGGCGACGGTGCTTAGTCGTACCCAGGACGCATGTTTGATCTTTATAAAAGCTCCGCTTTTATCGGAGACCTGGCTCTTGGAAATGCATCCCTGTTTTCTTTCATAGATGCCCTTTCATACAACAGCAGATCTGCTCATGCACGCTCCGTTTACCAAGCAATGTGATGCCTGACTGCATCATTGTGCTCAGATGTGCAGCATTCAGGCAGACACGAGAGCAAAGTCTCAAGTTGTATCCAAGCGAGCCGAGTTTTCTTTCGATTACAGTGCATTCGCTCTCTACAGGGCCCATGTCAGGTCCGCGAGCCTTGTAAATAGGCAGTGTTAGTAGGGTCAGTGTCAATCTGGGGTTGAGTAATCGCGGTCGGCAGGGGTGATATTTCGGCGATATTAGAGAGTAACTCAAATCTTGGGAGGCGTGGTAGTGCTGAAGGTACGTGGCGCTGCACGGCATCCTTGAATCCTGCGTCATACCTCGTGGACTTCCGCATGAGGATGGTTGGTGTAGTGCTTCGAGCTGAACATGTTCAGCGATTGGTCAAGAAGACCTTCGGCTATCGCGCCGGTCGCAACAGCTACGCGGCGAACGGCTAATGCGGGTAACCCTAGGTATCGGCCGGTGCATTAGATTCTGTTGGTAGTATCAGGGGTGCATGGATCGACAAAGAAGTAAACAAGCCCCTGTAGCTGCTCATAACGTAGTCGTCTTGGAGTCCGAAGTTGGATCGTGTAGCTTACAAGCTCGCCTTGCCAAACAGAGACAGTATCCTTACGAACGAGCCGCACTCATTCGATGAGGCTCTCGAATCTCGAAAAGATGTGAAAGCCGCCTCTCTTCGATGTCCATATCTCTTATGAATCCACTGAGGAGATATCGGCGTCAAGTGATTGCAATAAACAGTTCGGCATGAAAGACCAGTATGAGACTCTTATCCGAGAGTAAGGATGCGCTATATTGGTGACGTACCTGCAAGTGGTAAGCTTATTTTGGTTGAGCGACGACCTAAAAGCTTTCTAAATTATTAATCGTTGGCCATATCGACTATCTCTCGCGGTCGACTGCAATACGTGACGCCGACGTGAGCAGGACAATGCGTGCCGCACTCACTGCCGCCTCGCCGAAGCAACGAAGATGCAGGTTTTCTCCAGCCTTGCAGCTTGACTACGCCGAATTGCGTCTAGGCGGGCGTTCGTATCTGCAATAGCAAGCGAGCTGCAGAACACCGCGGCGTAAGCAGTGGGAGAACTTATTAATGCCCTGCCGCCGCCAAATGGTGAGGTGCCGTTTCGGCTTCGGCAGGCATTCGGACGGCAAATTGGAGATTGCTCGGATAGTCTGTGTTGAAAATGACTATAGCTCGGCGATGCGAGAAGAGAAAGAAACTTGTTCAACACTGATTTGCAGAGCCAGGGTGCGGTAGAGTCAGGGTACGGTGGAACGGCGGCGATAGGGAGCACTTCGCTTTGCAAGTCAGGACGGCAACATTCGTAGGGGAGGTGCGACTTGGGATAAGTCTAGAAAATATGCAAGGCAAGCACAAGCGACAGACTCACATCGCTGTGTACTCTCCATTTCATTATTGCAATAATGAAAGGTGATCAGAAGCGAATTTCTGGAGAGACCGTACGAAAAGTCCAGACGTTCCACCCAGCATCCCTCACTTGTCTTTCTCCGGCGGCATGCATAGCCCGGCTACAGTGGCATAAGTATGATCCTTAGGATTCAACAGGGCAAAGCAACACGCGGACCGAAGAAGAAATCGAATCTTTAGCCTTCGACCATTCGAGGGTGAAATCAGTACTCTGAGACTTTAAGATGATTGTAGAGGTTAATTAAGTTCATTCTTGAATCGGTAGCTAAGAGATGCGAGACCCTCTAGATCCATTCCCGATCTCCGCACGATGCCGTGATTCCCGTCTAGGTCAATGTGTGTTATATAGTCGTAGAAATGCATCGCAAAAATTTGAGTCATAAAATCGTGGTAAAAGGTCGCAGTGTACACTACTTTCATAATTGAGCAGTCGTCCCTCGATCATAATGCACGTGTACGAGATCCCCGATCGACGACCTGGGCGGTGAGTCGGTTGTTGCATGCAGATTTGTGCCTGAGTCTGCCATAGCTGGTCGTGTGGCATCATCGCTATGCCGATTGAGGGTTTCGTGATACTCAGGCGGATGTCCAGCATCTACCTGCTCCCTCGAAAGTGTTCTCAACGGTATCGACAGCCCAGTCGCAGGATCTTGTGTGACAGTCACATCGCCTTTCGGTCGATATGGCGGAGGCGCTTCCCCATTCTCATTGAACCCTTCTTCTCTCCTTGTGGAAGCACGTATATCGTTCGGTCTCCAAGCACCATGGTACCATCTCCGTGTATTGACCCAGCCCTCCATGTCCCGCGCAAGCGCATTTCGCCCGCTCAAACGCATAAGCTCTTTGCGTTTTATTCGGCGCCGATTAATCCACCAGAGGAAAAGTGCGATCACCAAACCAAAGACGACGAGTATAAGCCAGTAGTATCTAAAGGCGCTTGCGGTAGGATCTCTAGCATTGGTGGCGCCCGGCAGGATATCGTTCGAAATCGGCGTGCTTGTGCTCGTAGCCGCTGCGGTAGTGTTCGATACAGGTGAAGACATGTAGGACGTTGTCATTGATTGCGTATGCTCGGTTCGTGAGAGCATTGTTGGTATAGAGGGAGTCGCTGCGGTCGCGCGTTGTCCGGAGGCGCTCATAGGCAAGAGGGCGATAAGAGATAGCAGCGAGGATGGAAGAGAAATGAAACCGGATATCGAACCAGAAAGCATGTCGGAGCGCATAAGTTGTAGGTTTGTGGTCTCATGTGCAGCTCTTGCGTACATCTTCGCAAGTCTTGAGACAAGCCGACGACAGCGACGGAAGCGATAGGTCCAAGGGAAGAGAAAGGGAGCACATGGACCGGCCTCGCTCGAAGGCCAATGAGCCAATCATAAGTCATATAACCACCCGGACAACAGTATCAGAAAGAAGGAACATAAGCAGCTGGCAGAAGCTACAGCGTGAGTGTCTCTCATGATGCCCGGAACTCACGGAAGCTTGACCGCGGTTGCCGTAGCCCCGAAGCGGAAAGGGCGATTGTGTCATGGCGATCAGGGTCCATGCACCAACCGTGCACCTGCGAACGTGAACACCTTCATGGGCCGCTAAATAACATCTCACCACCTGTGCGGCGACCTCATCCCACCAACCCCTCACCATGGTGAAAGCAGTTCCAGGTACGTCCCCCTGTCTACGAGGCTCAGGGAACTCACTGATAGGATAGGTGTTCTCGTAAAATGCGACCCGTCCATTAAAGCTCTGATCCTGAATCTCGACAAAGAGTTCGGTAACCAATACGTTATTGAGGACCTCGGCGATGAAGAGCACCTTCTGGTCAAGAATGACCGGATTCAAGAGCTGAAGCGGAGAGTCCAGGAGGTACGTGTCCTCGTGCGCGTTCTGGAGCCGCGTGCTAATACACTACAGGAGATCTCAAAACGCATCGAAACCAAACTGGACGAAGACGAGTAGTAGTTTTGTCGACGACTATCTCGAAATCTAGTCTACATCCGCCCTCTACTAGGCGCGCGCTGCCTCCCGCTCGTCCACAAACACCTCTGCGACCCACCCGTCCACCTCCAGCTCTCGAGTATCTACTACGACATGGCATCCTTCTGCTGGGCACCAGCAACCGCTTCGACCCAAGGAATACGATTCTTCGCAAAGAGCTCAACGCCAGGCTTCAAGTCAGACAATGCGTTGGCATCGTCTAGGGTGCCGATCTGGTCACGATTAGGTTTGCCGGTCGGTTTACTGCGAGCAGCATACATACTTTGACGATCTTCGCGCCCTCAAACGCGCTAGTCTCCCTGAATAAGGTTGAACCGCAGTCTCCACTGGCGATTGTTTAGTCAAAATACATGAGTTGACCTGGGGCCATACCAGAAATGGCTGGTGATTTTGTTGCCGGTGTCTGCCGTCTTGGAGTGTTGTTTGGGAGTGCCCCGAGTGAGATTGAACTGCTTGCTGGGGAAGATGGCGTTGGTGGAGTAAGTTGAGCCGGTAATCTTGCGGCAGTCGGCGCAGTGACATAGGGCCTTTGAGGTCAGCAGACGTCGACATTGGTGCGGCAGTGTGTATTTACCTTGCTTACAGGCTCGCCTTCGACGCTGTAACGGATGTTACCGCACATGCATCCTCCTTGCTGGGCCATGGTGGATGGTGGTTAGTGGTTACAACAGCTGCGTCGAGGAATGAGTTTTGGACGGTGATGGTTCGTGAAAATGGTGGAGTAGTGTGTTGACGTAGCTCCACGACGACCTCCAGCACCTTTATAGGCGACAGCTACCCCACCACGACGATCGTCCAGAGTCGATGACCTTGGTAACGGAGCGCGCCTGTTCCGTAGGCCCAGTAGGCTAGCGTCTGGCCCACCGCAGTTGCCCCAACCCGAAAAGGACATGTGAGCGTGATGCAGCGAGCAATAACATGAGAGCCACCAGCTCAGTGTAACAGCGCAATGCACTGTTTATCGACAACAGACCAAGATGTATACACGATATCATGAGGTATATTGATTGATTGATTTTGTTTGCAGACGATTTGTACATCGGCCATCTGTCATGTTCTTGGTAGCCGAATCTCTCGCTCACAATAAATTCCATTCAACACGAAACTCAAATACCACACCGCTAACCCATAATCAACGTACCGAACTGCTGCGTCCAGTTTGACGTTGGCCGGAATGTGACATGAGCTCCGGGCTTCAGCTGAAGCTTTGGACTGGAATGCAGTTCAACTTTTAAATAGCAAAGCGGGGTAGGCTATTGGACCCGTGGACCTTTTTGAATCACGTGGATCCGTGTGGACATTAGGCGCGTCGAGTTGCCCCCGCGTTGCTTTCTTGCGAAACTGCTCTTTTGCGACGGCAGCCATCAATTGTTCGTGCACAGATACGAAGGATGGCATGATGCGCTCTCACTCCTTCTGCTCCATCACGCGTCGCAAATGAAACCCTGATATCAATCAGGTCCTCTAAACTCGCCTCAACGCCTACAATGGCTACACCCACAGTATGGGCCAACTACGTGCCACCACGAGGCCAATGCAACTACAAGCCATCCATAATGTCGGCCAAGTGCCCTTGCCTACGGTTCATGTTACATCCCCTGAAGGTAAAGGCGCCATTCGCTTCTCACCGCCATTCGTAGAGTGTGTGATAGATCACTTATCATTCTTCAGTCAGCGCTGACTTCGCACAGAGCACGTCTAGCTTCGAATGTGACGGCTGCGCGCACCACGCATCCTTCCACAGCATGGAAAACAAGGAAGAAGACGAGATCCGGAAGCGATGGGAGCAGGAGGCTCGGGACAAGGCTCATTGGGAGCAGCAGGGAGGCCTCGACCGGCCGCGCAAGCGGCCGAGGGAGATTAATTATGGCCGCGGAGATGCAGCAAGCTCACAAGTCCGGACAATCGAAGCTGGTATCGCTACACCAGACGAGGAAACGGCGAGTAAGTCTGGGAGTGCGAGGGTTGTGGCAAAGGGTAAGGGCAAGGGTAGAAAAGCCGCCCCCCAAGTTTCAACGTGAGGCTTGCGCGCCAAAGGAAGAATCACGGAGATACCTGAAGATGACGAGGATTATATCGAGCTGGATTGAGTCCTTTCCCAGCGGGGATGTTGAGGATCTGAGGGTCTGAGGGTCTGACGTAGCACAGCGTGAGTTTTGGGCTTGACTTGACATGGAGAAATGGACCGCATGATACCCCTTTGCGACAAGAACTTTGAGCACAGTCTCGTGGATATTCAGCGACCCAACCAACATTCGTCGTTCCTGGATTGACCTAAGCTCGGAGCAGTTCATGTCTACTGTGCAGTGCGTGACATTTGATGGCATATGCCAAGACATGACTCGCGTGAGCTTCAACTGCGCGTGGCAGATCCTCGTCTTTGACAAACAACAACCCTGTCGCGCCGCGTGATGGTATGATCAAACTCTCGCCGCAAGAGTGCCCAACGTCCTTTCGCAGTTAAAGAGCAATCTTCCCGCTCGCAACGATGGCGACACCTACGCCCTCGACAAATACGCCGCAGAAGCAGCACCTTCACAACCTCTCCTCGCCCGCACCCCGCAGCGTTCCACCCATGAATTTCGACTCGCCCGCCGTTCTTAATATGCTTGGCGAAGGTGGTGTTGGAATGGGCATCTCCATGAGCGGCATGGGCATGTCCTCGCTGGGTCTCACCGCCAGCCAGCTTGGGCGCGCCGACGAAGAAGAGCGCCGACGCCGCCTGGAAAGCATAATCGCATTAATAAACAAGCGCAAGGGTCGCGTGAGCGAGGAGGGAATAGCCGCGCTGTGCAAGCAGGAGCACATCGAGTTGATGCGGGATGTAAAGGGGGACGGGACTGTGCTGTTGGTCCTCGGCCTGGGAGACGAAGCTGTGTGTGAGATCAGCTTGCTCAACGAGGATGTGACGAGCGTGAACCTTGATTTGGCAAACGACGATGACGACGTATACAAGACTTCTGGGTCGAGATTACTGAAGAAGAGTCTGCTACCGCCGCCGGGCGTTCGAAAGATCAATACCACACTGGATCGCTTCTCGCTAAACCTGGATAAGTTGATGAACATGGACAAACTGAGCAAGGCAAATGCAGGAATTCCATGCTACAAGGCGATTTTCAGCGTCCACGCAAGCTTAAAGAAGCTGTTTGAGCATGAGAAGAAGCTGGCACTAGAGCTTATTGGATCGGATGCGCCAAATGCAAGCTACAGGGCTGAGCGGGAGGTTCTGTGCAAGAAGAGTGGGAGGCCGCGAATGAACGCGGGACATTGTCTCGGGTTAAGTCTGGAGTACTGGATGGATAGGCGGCATCTGATACCAAAGAAGGCGCAGAAGGCTGCCTCACTAAGAGACAAAGATGAGGATGAGACGGACTCCAGGAACCTCGAGGCATATCCAGAAGAGGCAGATCCAGACAGCAATAGGATCTACTCGCTTACCGTCGAGTGCGAGTCATCGCCCTCATCCATGTACACACCGATACGCATACCGGACTCTTGGATAGGAGATGACATCGAAAAGGCACCAGATGCGCAACCCGATGCCGACATTAATAATCTCCTTCTCAACACTCCACAAAGCAAGATTGACTGGCTAGAGCCAAAACCTACATACCTGGACTCCCCGTCCCAGGGAGGTGACCACGAGGCCATGAACATTGACAATGCACCAGGTCGACTACCCAACATTCGCTTTGTCGCGAAATTCAACCCACCTCTTGTGGTTCCATTATCTCTCTACGTCACCGTACTGCAGTCAGTCGGATTGGAATACAACCCGCAAGAACTTCGCGCTACGACCTTTGTCGGTCTCGCCCTCAGGCCAGAAGAGGCTGACCCCGGCATGTCCACTGGGGCGGGCGGACACACACCCGAGGTTCGCAGCGCGACCAAAGTCCTCACCATTGACCACGCTGGGAACGAAAGCCACACTACCCACGCAAACACGCTTTACGTGCCCAGATTAGAATACGCCCGCACCCTCGACTCCCTACCGTTCCAGCATCCCCGCCAGCTTGTCGCCCTCCTCCCTACATTCCGACAGTACGCTTTCACCACCTCGCTCGTACAAGACGTGTTCGGTGCCAACGCACCTCCCAAGGCTGCGCCCCAGCAAAACCCGCTTTCCCCTCCGATGACACCCAAGGATGACAAGCAGCGAGGCCTGCAGATAGACCTTACACTTGCGTACACATCACCATCTCCGAAACTTGCACTGCATTTCCCACACCCCCTCTCCTCCGCACCGGAGACGCCTCTCCCATCCAACGCCTCCGACTTCTTGAGCCAGCTGCTCGCACAGAACATCCTTTCCTCTTCCGCCACGGCACCCCACCCACCCTTCAGACTGGTCGTCGACGTGGGCGAGAACGCGGAGGTTTACATTAGCGAGCAGAACGCCGTGGACGCCGAGACTGGTGCAAGCAAGACGGGCGAGGCAGGAGAGGTAGATATGGAAGGGGTTGAGAAGGCGCGGGAGAAGATCAAGCGGCTTGAGAAGGCGCTGGATGTGTGTGGGGATCTTGGGATTTGGGCCGAGTGGATTAGGCGGGAGGTTGTCAAGGATGATTGACTGAGCGGAGCAGATGGATTGGGCTGGACGATTGGAAGTCGCAATATACCCCCATAGACTAACATCATTTGTGCCGGCCGTGGGCCAGCGAAGAACGGCCAGAACGGACGAGGAACACATGCTGTGCGTTAGTATCACCTGCATGAGAACATTCAGCATGCGTCCAAGTTCACAAGCAACATCCGAGAGGAGCGTTTGTAACAAGTAACCAAGATCTCTCTTCATTATCGTGCGCAGTGTATCTCACCACTGGCTATGGTATACTACATGCAACCAACTCAAGGCACCACTTGAACGGCACCTCCAGAACATGACCTTCAAAGTGAAGGCGGGAATCGTTAAAACCCAATCACAACGCCAAAATGTCTAAGGGGGTCGAAGAGAAGTCAAGTAAACGCAGCCACTAGAGAAACGAAGCGCCTCTAGGGTTTCGCGACGGGGACAACAAGCTCCTCCACGTTGGCGGTGCCCTCGGCGAAGGCAGCAACGTCAGCACCCTCGACCTTGCCGTACAGAGTCTCGGTGATGATGCCGGTGAGCTGGTATGGGTCACCGTTGGAGGCAGGGCGGCGGTCCTCGAAGTAGCCCTTGCCCTCGGCAGCGACGGAGCGGGGAATGCGGACAGACGAGCCACGGTTGGCAACGCCCCAGGTGAACTTGTCATAACTTGACGTCTCGTGCTTGCCGCTCATGCGCTGGTGGTTGTCCTCGCCGTAAACGGCCATGTGCTCGGCCTGGCGCTTGGCGAGCTTCTCCATGGCAGCCTCGATATGCTTCATGCCGCCCTCCTGGCGCATCTCCTTGGAGGAGACGTTGGTGTGGAGGCCAGCACCGTTCCAGTCGCCGGGGATGGGCTTGGGCGCGAACGTCACCTTGGCGCCAAACTCCTCCGCGACGCGGTGCAGGATGAATCGGGACATCCAGAGCTGGTCGCCCACTATTTACGTAATTAGCATGAAGGCTCCACTATTCTGGGGAAGATTGCGGGAAAAACGTACTGGAGATGCCGTCGACGGGGCCTACTTGGTATTCCCACTGAGCGGGCATGACCTCAGCGTTGGTGCCAGAGATGTTGATCTCGGCGTACAGGCAGGCGCGGTAGTGAGCCTCGACGATATCGCGGCAGAAGACCTTGCCGGTACCGACACCACAGTAGTAAGGACCCTGGGGAGCCGGGAAGCCATTCTTGGGCCAGCCATACGGCCAGCCGTTGACGTCGAGGAGGGTGTACTCCTGCTCGAGACCAAACCAGATGTCGTGGTCCTTGTGCTGGTTAAGCACAATGGCAGCGTCGTGGCGGTAGTTGTACTTGTTGGGCTTTCCGTCGGCACCGTACGTCTCGGTCATGACAAGGATGTTGTCGCCCAGCCGGAAAGGGTCAGGGTAGAAGGCAACGGGCTTAAGGTAGACATCGGAGTTGTCGCCGGGAGCTTGGCCGGTTGACGATCCGTCGAAGTTCCATTCCGGAAGCTCCTCGACCTTGGTGATCTTCTTGTTGAGGGTCTGGAGAGCAGTCAGTAACAACTCTACGATAGGTGTTGACGGCGACGTCAGAGCCTGTCGCCACGCGAGGGGGTTGTGCAGGGGTGCGACTGCCCCTCGATGATTCTTATCGTGGATAAGAAGCAAAACCAGACACGGCCCGCACACCCCGGCCGGGCGGCTGCTGCATGAGGTCACCGCACGTCGCTGGCTCGAATACCCGCGGCGATTCGAGTGTAACCGCAACCGCGTTGTGCATGTATGCATTCCTCCTTCCGAAGATATACGCAGAAGCGCGCTGGTGCGGGGCCACGGCCAGACGCCGCGGGCAGGCGGGCAAGGCAGGAAGAAATAGTGGTGCATGCTTACTCTGCTTTTTGAGCGGACACCGTTGGAGCCGTCTATCCACACATACTCGGCAGTGATCTTGCCCTTCTGCGGGAGCTGAAGGTACTTTGCGAGCTGAGGGCGAGTTAGCTTTTGAGCGCGGAAAGTAGCACGCGACCAGTGACTCACGTTGGCGGCATTGGAGATGATTGTTGATTCGGCCATGACTGCGGTAATGTGCAACAAACTAAGGCAACGACAAAGGGTGTGGAAGAGGAGAGGGGCGTCGAGGTGGTGTACAGAGTACAGGAATAGGTAGAAAGTGTGGTATATGCGCGAATAACAGAACTGGGGGTCAGACCCTTAAGTAGGCTTCGACTAGAGTGTCGGGCAATGGCGGGGCGGCAGTGAGGTAGATAGAATGTTAGGCTGGCACTGGCCAAGACTTAGAAGAGGCGTCGCCGAACTGTGTCCGTGGGATGAAGATGCAACGAGACGGTGAATGAGCTGGGGGGCCCTGCTTCGCCCCAAGGATACGCCTATCTGGACCCGCGACTGCACCTCAACCGCCGCCTGTGTCACTGGCGGCCCAATCTGCGCGCGGCCATTTCTCGTCGCCGCCGTAATCCAATTCATTATTGAATCTTTGTTCGTAGCAGACTGGAGCGTGGCCCTAGCGGCGCGCTGACAGGCCACAACGCCGCGGTTGGGCACGGTGGCGCCGCCTGTGTATTCCGCATGTGGCCGACAAAGCCATGGCAATCGTCGCTCTGGGGGAGCTAAATATACCCACCGAGGTGCGCAACGACGCGCCCGCTGCTGCTCCTCGCGCCTGCTCCCCACGGGCTCACCGCAAGTCGGTGGTGCGATGCGCTGCTGCGAGCTTCCTTTTGCACGCGCTGCGGTCGCAATGCATTCGAGGTCGCGATGCAGACGCAGTTCCTGCATGCACGCCTATCAGCAGCGTGTGGTGCGCTTGACCGTCGCGCTAGCTCGTTGGGGAGTGGGGAGGCCACAGGCGCTGTGGCGATAGCGATAAGCCCGGCCAGCAGCCCCTGCACGGCCCAGCGCCGTCATGGCCGCATCACTCGCTGCTCAACGTCGTCGAAAACGTTTCTCTTAGTGAAGAATTGAATTGCCCCTTTCCGATGCTGCGTCTCGTCGAGATCCGCGACGACGGGCTATTGCCTCGCGCTGCGTTCCGCATCAGCTACGTTCCTGCTTCGCCGAGAGCCATGAATTCGCGCATGCCTGGGCCCGTCCCAGCGTGCACCGCCGCGTGGGGAATGTTACACGACCCTCACACGAGCATCTTCAAAGTGCCGCAAACTCACACATCCGAGCCATGTGTGTCTCTCCAGCAACCGGCCGTCTATTGATAGTTGCTTGAACAGTGCGCAACGTTGGCAATAGTGCGGTAAATTGTCTTGTATACGTACGGATCCACTTGGTCCATCCCGCATTGTTCCATTCCTGCTTCTAGCGCGTCTACAGCTTTGTCAACACTGGTGTTCCATTCGCAGAAACAGCCCTTCTCCCGATGTCGTTGCTCATCGTATTACCTGCCACCAAGTTTTCTCGCTCCAACCCCTCCACGTTAATATGTAATGCCTGAGTTCTAGGTCTCTAGGCACGTTTGATCCTGGAAAAAGCCGCACATCAATCCGACGATCTGTGTTGCGATGTCGGCAACCGGGACAGTCGAGGCGTTCGGTTCGTGGCCATCCCCGCGGCTCTGGCATCGCTGCCCCACACCCGGCCGCAGGTCGAAGATAAGGACCCTCCTCGCCTGTGATTGGCCAGCGATGATTGATGCTCAAACGTAATGCGCCCGCGCTGTTTTAACTGATCGTGAAGACTTCGCGTCGAGGGCAGTCGCAGCAAGATAGGCTAATGTGGAAAACTGTGACCTTGACTTCATGTGTGCGCGACAGGTCTTCGGGGCAAAAGAGTGAACGTTGCGGGCTGCCCGATAAGCCAACGAAAATCCGGGGACGTCCTCTACCAGATACGGTAAAGCCCCAAATTCCACGTGCGCTTGGGGTTCTCCAGATGCTGCTGTCTTTCTCATACGAGCTCGGATGATTCCGGGGCCAGGCGCTCCCGGTTCGCAGTGGCGGCAGTGTGCCTCCAGACCTGCGTCTGCCCGCTACCCTCTCGGCAGGTACCAACACCATGACGCCCTCGATCTCAATTGAGAGATGATTGTTGCCTGCCAGAACGGAACCTTATCGCTGTTCGCGTTCGCTTTGTGTCCGCTGTCGGGAGGTGTCTACCCACCCGCCTCGAGGAAACCTCCAGTCAACTGTAAACGAGCACGAAAAGTCGATTCGTCTCCATTCCGAACCGTCAATCCGCTTGAACGTAGAACCCGTCTCGTAGTCTGGAGCCCGTGGGGTTGCTCGACGGTACCTGCATGAACGCAAGGCTATGCAACAGCAGACCGCCGATGCGGAGGCAAATTGTGGCCGTGACGGTCCGCCGGGAACTAAACACAGGCCATGCACCGTACCGACAAAGTGGATGGAAATCTGGGGGAGGCGTTGCCCAGAAACTGGTGGAGGACTGACGTGCACGCTCACTCATCCCAGTCCTCCTGCCCCGTTTGTCATCAGTATTGCCAACCACCCTAATCGGCTTGCAACTGGCGCCCAGTATGAGCCGCACCCCATGCACTCTCTCTTGAGGGAAGCTGCCCTCTTTGGCCACCTTGTCGATAATATTTAGTCCGCGTCGAGGTTTGCCCTCCCCCAGGCTACCCATGGCAGCTGTTGCCCTTTCACTCATTCGACAGCACGATCCTCGACTTTGTCATTGGTCGCACATATATCCAGACAGTGACATGCAGAATAACTAGGCCTTTGTAAGCTTGTAAACGTCTGTACCGAGGCTGCATCTTGCTTGAATCTGATCATAAGAGTAGAGTCGAGATGACCTCACTCAGGTTTCCCTGTGATCATCACGTGACGGTATTTCTTCCAAGGTTCAAAAGTGCAAGCGCTAGCGAGTCGGCATGCGAGTGCGGTGACAATCGCAGTGCTGTGGGCTCTTCCAATGCAAAGTCTCATGCTCAACTTGGTCTGCCATTGGCTTGTGCGCTTATTGGCTCTTGAAGTCTAGCCCAAAAGTATCCGTCGTTGAGCTGGCCTCCACCGGTACTGCGGTGCATTATCAAGAGCGTTGAGGCTCTTAGAGTTGAGACGTGGCTTCGAGGCGTCACAACAATCTTCGTGTAGCGAGACCATGTGACCAACTGAACTGCTGTGGCTTCGTCACTTTCTCTTCATCTTGTTAAACCGGAGCCTGACAGGAACTGCAACGCTGCAGCTCTCCGAACCAATAGGCGACACCTGGAAGAACGTGGCAGCTGATTGGCTCATCTCGTGGTTGCTTGCTGTGTACAAGGTTCTTCTTGTCGACTTCATTTGTTGCCGGTTCACAATGTTCAACATTGTTGAAGAGATATATACACCCATATCGGATCTGCTGAGCTTCCTTGGACGGTCGTCTTGCATGGTAATCCGGCTTCCTCGCCTGCCTGTAACAGGCCTGCGGCGAACATCACCGGGCTATCATGTGCACCTCATAGCACGTCTTTCATCGGTGTTGCCAAGGTTGGGAAAAGAACCGACTGGATCCGTGTATTCGGTCTCGCGTCGTATATGGGCATCACACTGGTTGTGCGTACATCGAAAGCCTGGGAACTGTTGACACCGACGATCTATGCTTCCAATGCTTTCGAGTGCTTCAAACGAACGGTACCAAGCTGGAGTGCCAGACACGCTCATTCCATCAAATCCAGCTCTTGTTCGGTCACTTCAGGTAACAGTGCCCAGCTGTTGCTTGTGCTAGGTAGGCGACGTCGCGATCATGTGATATTAATGGCAGACTCCAGATTCCGAAATAAGTATGGTTCATCGGCAGCATTGCGAGGTATAAGTGTAGGACGAGAAACATGAACTTGCTCCCAGCTGAGGTGCATCGCAATTCTCCGTGCTGTTGTACGCAACCCATTAGCGTCGAGTTAGTGAGGAGCGCCTGCAGGGTCCGTAGCTCACCATGACCGCCGCGACATGCAGTCAGTCATCGCAGTCGCCATTGAGTTAGGGTGTCATAACGCGTGAAGGTGTAGAAGTAGTTGAAGGGGATACAGGTATGACGCCCCCGAGGTGATAGAAAGGTCAGGCGGGGAGGAGGCGCGAGCGGAGCGCTTAGCCAATCAGAAACATTCCAATGACTAAACGGAAAGAACGACCACCTGCAGCCTCCTTGTCCTCCGCCAACATATCCATAATTCCGGCTTTATTTTGCAGTATGCCCTGTGTTCACTCTTGTACTCGTTCCCCTGTGCCAAGGATGGCAGATTCGTAAGGGGATCGTCATTAAGACCAGTATTGGAATTCGGGATCGTTCACGAAGATGTTGCAATACCTGTGCAACGACACGCTATAGGACGGCCGCTTGAATTGCCTACGCGAAGCAGTATACATCAAACTGCTAGGTGCAGTTCATATGGCATCCACACTAGCCTCGACGACTGACTCCTTACGCATGCAACATTGCGATTAGATGTTGTATGGGAGTGATTCTTTCGGTATTGAGCCGTGGCAGTGGCGCTCAACCAAACCCTAATACTCTTTTAGCCATCAAGGCAACGCGTGGTACATCCAGAACATTTGATACGATCTATCTGTTCTTTACGCTTGATTTGCGCCGCTCTCCCGTTTCGAAGGGCTGCAAGCTCCCGTCAGCACCTATAGCGGCAGGGCCTTTAGGACATGGTTTAGAGTGACCTCTACCCATCCCATGAGTTCCTGAGCGAAGTGAAATATCGCTAGGCTACGGCCCTATCAACATAGGTTGGTACAAATATGCATTGTTACGGCAATTATTGGCTTAGACCTACTCGCCAACGGCAACGTAGAGAAGGCACACTCTAGAATGACGAAGATATTGGTGAATCACGGACGGTACATAAGATTCTAAATCGATTGACTACTTTTTTTGTCTGAATGCTCATAGATGAAGTTGCGAAAGGACCGCATGGTCATCGTCAGAAACCCTGTATAGACCCCGATTTTGGAGCGTAGGAAATTGCCTAGATCTGTCCCACTCAATAGCCTTTCTGTTCATTCGGTTGCCCGACTAAGTCCAATATCACCCTGGCTTCCTCGACCAAGAAACGTGCTGGGGCCTTCCACTCGATCGAAGTCTGCGGCCCCAGCGGGTTATGGAGACTACATGCGGATCTTACTCGAAAATCATATCTCCCCAACCCAATTCGAGTGCAAGAATAAACACCCTAACGTTCGACGTCTTATATAATTGAGTAATTGTAGGGTCTAACGAGGCGGCTGGTGGTCAACACCGACGAGCCGATAGTGTTCTACAACTCAACAGCAAAGACTTGCGAGCCAAAGATGGTTGCACTCCTTAACAAGATACGGCAATCGTTCTCATGGTCGAGTAACCTTCCTTCCAATGCTCATATAATTAGAATGCTCTCATGAATGTGGAGGTCGTTCGTGCAAAGGCGGTGAGCTCTATGGTACTCCAACCATGGGAGCTATTCGCGCATGAAGTAATCGACAAGATTACTCACGGAATGTTGCTCGTTGCTGTAGGTACTTCATGTCCAGTAGTGATCTTGACGACTATTCAGGCGCTATGTAAAGTCCATCTGCTGCTGTGGTCGTGAAGATAATTCAGACTAATGAGCGAACTAGACAGCATACATGGTATCAAATGGGTTTTCCGTTCCTTGTTCATCTTAGTGTAAAGCATCCCTAATCATGTCCAGCTCACGTAGTTGACTGTAGTAAGTTCTGTAATACAACCGAAGCTCAGTTGCATCGAAGTCCGTCCTTCCTAGAATATTCACTGTATCATCCACGTCTAAGGCCGGGTTCATTGCACATTGTCATCGCCACATATATCCGATCACGACGCCTTAGTCGCTTCACTGTCTGACAGTGTTAAGGAAGTCTCCAACATCCCGTGCAGCAATCTGTGTATGCGGGTGCGCGGCGATCACAATCGAACGATGAGGCCATGCATGATGAGCAGTATGCTGCGTGGCTTTGTCTGAAGTTGAAGTTGGGCTGGGGGTTTTCAGACGCAACAGAGTGCAGAATCCACATTCACCTACAGTTGAGGCAACACGAATAATTCCATTATTCTTTTGATGCATCATGAATACGTTTTTACGTCCGACGAGCTTGGAAAGAGAGACACGGGATGTCGAAATGTATGGCAACGTCCGACATGCTGTAGCATGGAAATGAATACTACAGATCGACGAACATTTTTTCTTTCTTGCGCCTAGCTAGGTTAACGTTCTACGTGTGCAAAGCTCGAATGGAGGACAAGTTGTTCTGGAGCACAACAGCTGCCTAGCACATGGCACTGTTCCGAGGACGCAAGGTCGCCAAACGACCACGTGTTTTATACAGGGCGTGGAGACACATAAAAAGGCGTGCAGTTTTGGCCCAGCAGGTGGCATGGTGAAGGGACTCGATTCAGCAAGCACCGCGGAATGGGACCGAGTAACCGCATGGCGCTCTTGTCAAAGTATGTCCAGTAGCGGGCGCCCGTCTCGATTGATCATGATTCAGTAGCCATCGTTGGTACTCGCCCGTGTCGCGTTAGTGGACATCTCGTCACTCCCTTGCGTCACTTGTTTGTGAAGCGTTCGCGCCTTGTCACGCTGCTCTCCCTCAACCCCAGGCGCATCAGTACTTCGTGCACCGCGCAACGCCATTGTGCTTCTGCTTGGACATCAATACCGCGGACCCGAATCATCCAGGGGTATAGGCAGGCTAAAGAGCCTAGCGGCGCTGTGCCTGAGATAGGCGAAAGGCGCCACGAAATTGCAGCGGAAACGAACCACTACAAAGGCAGGCAGACGCCGAGGACCCTTTGCACTTGCGAGTCAGGTGCAGCACACAGCGCCGAACCAACTGCAACGGTGAATGTGTGCAAGACGCCATGGAAGACTGACGTTTCGACGCATTACACAGGTCGGGAAAGCAACATGGTCTCGGCTGCGACAAGCATGGTACGACGACAGCTGGGTGCCACATCGGGCGATTACGAACGTCTCCAGTCCACCGCGTTGGCAACAAAGCGCGCCGAGGATCAGTTCACGTTCATTGCAGCGGGAGCGAGAGTGGAGACGCTCGCAGCGCCGCGGTTTCTGGCGAGGAGGGATCGTGCTAGGGTTTCTGGCATGGCTGGCCGCCTCTGGGCTCGACGACGCCGGCGCGCTGCAAAAGCGTGTTACAGCCTACAGACGAAGGCAGGCCAACGGTTGCACGTATCCAAAAACACCCGACGCCTCTCAGCCGCGCCCGCACAGCCTCTACATCAGCAGGCGCTGCCCGTTCTGCGCAGCCGGTTTCACGTCGATTTCGCGTGTGATTCTTTGAAGCCGCGCTGTTGAACACCGTTCAAAGCGGGCGCCGACGGAGCATTGCATGATCCCTGCCGCCGATCTTCAAGTACAACCCCGACTCTTTACTCGCGCCTCCTATCCTCCAGCAGGACCACCAGGCGTCTCACCTGCCCGCTCGGCCCTCCTTCTCTTGCTCTCGCTCTCGACGACACGACCGCACGGCCCGACATGGCCTGCTGAAGAGTCGACACCAACTTGCACGGCACCAGCACGCAGAGCCTGCGCATTACCTCCCAAGATATCGTTCGTTCAGCAGCTGCCGGCTCCCAGTATCCAATCGTTTCACCGCGCCCACGAGGCCAGCCGCCAGCCGCCAGCCGCCGACGTGCTCCGCCGGTTCGCAGCACGCTGCTATTACTAAAAAAAAAACGCCGCAACTCTAACAACGCCAGTCCTCCACGCAAATACTCTGCGCGCAAGCTGAGGAGCTCGCCGCCACAATGCAGCATCAGCGCAGCCGCAGCGATGCGGGTGATGTCTCGTCGCCGCGCTCCAGCAGAGCTCCGAGCTTCAGCAGCGACCGGCCCTCGCTCGCTGGCTCAGTCACCTTCCAGATGCCCTCGAGCGTGCGTCCCGCGCCCGCCTACATCGCCGCCTCGGTCGCCTCCCAGATTGTCACCGACAACCACAATGCGCAGCTCCGCGAAGACACGGCCGTCTCCGTCAACGAAGAACCGGGCGCCGGCTTGTCCAATGCGCTCTTCAGCGAACAGGCGCTGTCCCTCCTTAATGCCTTCCTCGATCACCTGCTCTTTGCTTTCCTGTCCACGGCGCGCTCGCCGTCGCTGACTGCGATTCGGCCCGCCATAATCGACGTTTTGAAGCCGCGTTTAGCCCGGGAGGCTATGGCGACGGCTGATGAAGAGCTGGCAGGCCTGCTTGCCGGAGAAGATGACGAGGAGTTCCCGGCGCAGCAAAAAAATGAGGGCGAGCCATGGGACGTGGAGAAGGTTTGGAAGCGTACCCGCTTGCGCATCATGGTATACACGCGGCTGGGCGAATTAGAGGACGAAGACGAGGAACGATACGTCCAGCAAGAGCGCGGCCTCAGCATGGACGAGAGCGACGATGAGGAAGCCGGGCTTGTGTCGTGGGCCTCTGCTATATTCCTCACCTCGATCGTTGAGCACGTAGCCGAGCAGACACTGCTCATTTCGGGTCAAGCCGCTTTCACCAGGCTGTCTGCGAGAATGCGGAAGATGGCCCAGCAGTCCCCGGACAGCGAAGAGCAACAGCTGGAGCGACTTATCGTGGAAGATTTCGACGTTGAAAAGGTTGCCCTCAACTCAGCGCTTGGTAGACTCTGGAGAACCTGGAGGAAGCGTGTGCGGTCCCCCATTACGCCGCTTTCGCCGCGCGGCATACATAGCATGAGCAGCTACACAAGTCTCCACCGACGACACCTGAGCCATGACACCGACCACGGCTCAATGATCGACGGTGTCCCCGAAGTACCCGAATATAAACCCACAGAGACGGAGATCGCGGCCAACATTCCTCTTCCCATTGGTGATAACGACATCAGGGAGATAGAGGTCCCAGGTCTTGCGCGTACCTTTGAAGAGGATGAGAGTAGCGGCGCGGAGACTCCCGTCACACGTCCGCAGCGCCCAACTAGCGTCATTATGCTCGCGCCTGCCGAACTTCTGAGGAACAGAGTTGCCAAGGAGCGACCTCTGTCCGTCCCACCCCCGCAGAGAAAGTCTCTCGTTCTACCGGTATTTTCCGAGCAGGAATCAGAGGAGGAGGCGGATGACCTGCCATTTGAGACCCCTATGGAAGCTATGGAGCCAACGTCCGATGACGATTCTTACATTCACGATGAACGCCAGGAAGACATGCACCACGACAACGAAGAGAACGGTGACCACGAAGCGGATGCGGACATGGTGGCATTCGCAGCTTCAACTGGTATGGGTTTTGGCATGACTCCCCCCGGCGGTCCGATTCGTACAGAGAAGAAGAGCACCCTCGGCAAGGAAGAAGATTCGGCGGATACCCCAACACAATCGAATTACAATGGAGATTCCCGCGTTTTTGTATCGAAACGCATGTCTCTCGAGAAAACAGGACCGCCTGGCATTGTACGTACCTACTCGACCCGAAGCTCGAGCTTGAGAAGTCAAAACAGGAGTCAGCCAAACTCCCCTGGTATGACTCCCAATATGGAGGCAAGATCATTTCTCGAGGATGATAATTCGGAGGACGATACCCCTGGACCAGAAGCTATTGGAGTTGCACACACCTCGAACATTCCGATACCTTCACCCTCCCCTTCGGCCGAAGTCAACGGTGCCGAGAAGGCGCTCGGTCACGCCAAACATCCTTCGCATGGAGGATACGTGGAGGTTCTCCCACGCCAAATTGCCCCTACTGCCATTCACGTTCGTAGCACTCCTACACCAGACGGGACTCGGGGACCGTCAGAGATACCCGATGCCCGTAAAGAGGTTCAACGAAGGGATGTACCGCAACCCTACGTACACGTGCCCCAGCCGCGACCGCGTGAGTTCACCCCACCAGGAACGCGATTGTCGTCGCTCCAGGAGACCGAAGCGTGGCAATCAAAACAGCAGCAGCATCAACCAAGTATACCAGTGAAATCTGCGCGCAGGGGGAGCCCTTCTGAAGGCAGTGGTCGTTACACATCGCCACAGCGTGCTCGCGAGCCTATCGTTGCCGTCGCTGAGCGGCCCGCTCACCTCAAATCAATCGAAGGCTCGCCACGTTCTCGATCTGGACCGACTGACGGACCTGCCGATACCAAAACCTCGCTCAAGCGCGTTTCCTCCTCCTCTTCCTCAACTGCTGGTCGATCCGTTGGGACATCCATCCTTCATAGCGGACGTGAATCAAGTACCAGTCTCGATGGCCGTCCACGCGGTCTCAGCGGTCGCATGTCAGAGGAGGACCGACAGCGAGAGTTCGATTCGTTGGTCAGAAGTGACGAGACCGTGAAGGTAACTCTCACTCCTCAAAACATGCGTGACATGGATGTGAGTTGCCTGTATGCTTTTTGCAAGTACGAAATACTAATAGAAACAGGAAGCAGCTGTCGTGCGGCGTGAATCGCCCAAGCCTTCCCCCAAACCGGCCAAATCCTCGGTCACTGTGTACCCACGTGTCAATGCAGACAAGGACAGCCAATTTGGATCCCAGCACCTTCCAACTCGGACATCGCCGCGAAGTAATGGACCCACTCCTTCGTCAAGCAGCAAGGGATCCATGAAGAAGCCATTGGCAAGGGAACCGCAAGTCAGAGGGGATTCCATGCGTGATTTCGCCGACTTCATCCGTTCCACTGGACCAGCACCCGGTGATGAGAAGCCTGTACAGCGATTTGCGCTCAGTGGGACTGGTGCTAAGCCGAACAATGGCTCTTCTTCCTCAATCGGCGGACTTGGCAGGAAACTGTCAACACGTCAGACTTCTTCCCATTCTCATTCCAGTTCCCTTGCTGGGGATGGCCCTTCCGCAAAACCTCGCATACACATGGAGCCTCGCAGTCCCGCCGGTCAACGCAGCGGCAACGATGACTTGATTGACTTCATCCGCCAAGGTCCCCCGAATTCGAATAACGGCCAGCCTAGAATCCCCCGTTCGGTCGCCCCATTTCGAACGACTGTAGACTCTGATCAATTCGACCACATGCTAGACAACGGCAACGTTGAGTCGGCATATGGCTCGCAAGTTTCCACTGTTTCCAAACAGTCTTCGCAGACTTCAAACTCAAAAACCGGCCTGATTCCGAAGCAGAGTGTGACCCAGCCTGCGTACTCCAATACTCCGCAACAATTATCAGGCAGCATGTCGAATGTTGAGCCCCAGATCACGCGCACTCGCCGTCGTATTAAGGACCCCTACGCTATTGATTCTGATGATGAAGATGATGATCTCTTGACGGCCCTCCCCACATCCAACAAGCCCGTTCACAGAGAAGAGAGCATGATGGACTTCCTTAACAGCATGGAACCTACATCCAATAGTCCACCACAAGCCTTCATGCTCAGCCCAGAAACCATAGCCGCAGCAAAAGCCCGCGCAGCCGCTGGCAAGGGTGGTGCTAATGGGCATTCTCACACCAACAGCTTGACTTCGTCGATTTCCGCGCCCAGGAACGGGACGAACAGCCGTGCAGGCCCTTCACAGGCCCATATTTCGACTTCTGTTGCCTCGAATCCCCCTCGAGGTGGCTACAAGCCCAAACTCCAAGCCCGTGGCGCGGCTAGTGAACCTCGCGCTGGTCGGTCTGCTACCAATGATCTTGCTGATTTCCTTCGTAACTCAGGACCTCCTGAGCCTCCGGCCCCCGCTCCGGGTGCGACAATCAGGAGGGAAGAGAGTAAGCCCAGCAAAGCCAAATTCTGGCGTAAGAAGACCTATCCCGACATGCCTTGATCTCGGCACCTAAATCTGTTTCATTGACTTTTACGAACTGCCATTTGATCGATACCAATGCTTTCTTCGACTCATCATATGCTTTATACTTCTAGAAACCCTTCTTAATGGATGGATTGGGGGACTATTGTTATGCTCTGGCTTTTGAGCCTCGATTTGTTGATGGAATATTCCTTGCGGATGCGATATACACCTGACTCACCGGTCCATTCTGCTTCTTCGATATCAGGGTATTGAGGAGGACTTCACCGTGGGGTTTGTCCGTTGCGTGTGTGCAGGCAACGATCTGCATATAACGCGAGGAATGTTCTCATTGTTGTATGTAGATGAATGAACAATTGTCTCGACTATACGTCTCTTATTCTAAGAGCGTGATGCTTCTCACATCCTAAGAGAATATTCGAGACATCGGACCGACAGCCAATGTGGTTAGGCTAATTCAACGGGTGTCTAGCCTCGGTCCGGTAAGCTTGCCTGCCAACGTGCGGAACAGCCGTTTAGTCCCTCAGTCAGCTTACATCTACTTCGATTATCTGTCCCGCCATAGGAACAAACTATTCATATTCACACCATGGCTTTGCGAGACGTATCCACGCTCGCCCTTAAAGATGCCCCGCCTCTAACTTACAATCACACTCCAGATAACATCGCCGCCCTCATCCAGGACATCCAGAATGCCTCACCGTCCACGGCCTACTCCACGAACACTGCAGACCTCACTCCCACATCCTCTACAAGCCACTCATATGCACCGCCTGAGCAGATATCGAAAGCTGTATTCTACCCCAAGACTACAGAAGATACGTCCGTCATTCTGAAAGCATGCCATAGGAGGAGAATAGCGGTAACGGCGTATTCGGGCGGGACGAGCTTGCCGGGTGCACTGACGAACAGTCGGGGCGGAGTTTGTGTGCACTTTGGAGGCATGGACAAGGTTATAGGTGTGAGTGAGGGGGATTTGGATGTAAGAGTGCAGCCCGGGATTGGGTGGGTGGAGTTGAACGAGTAAGTTGGAGGATATTTTCTCTTGAAACATGCGAGCATGAAGAAGGAACTTTTTTGAAGAACAAGGTGATTAACTTGGCTAATTCTTGACGATGTGCAGGTATCTTGCACCGAAAGGACTGTTCTTTCCTGTAGACCCAGCGCCTGGTGCAAAGATCGGCGGGATGGTGGGTTTCCAGAAAGTGACTGCAAAAGTACAAGAATCCTAGCTGATATGCCGACAGGTTGCAATGTCATGCTCAGGCACGAATGCATACCGCTACGGCACGATGAAAGAGTGGGTCATCTCCCTGACGGTCGTACTCAGCGACGGTACCATTGTCACCACGCGCAGACGCCCGCGGAAATCCTCCGCTGGCTATGACCTCACGCACCTCATTATCGGCTCTGAAGGTACACTTGCCCTTGTTACAGAAGCCGTGCTAAAGATTACTCCTCTGCCCCAGAATTTGCACGTTGGTAAAGCGACTTTTCCGAGCTTACAACAAGGCGTCAGCTCCGTCAAGCAGATCTTGCAAAGCGGAAATCTACTCGAAGCCATTGAGCTCGCCGACAAGCCTTCCATTGTATCCATCAACCATTCCAAGCTGGCAAAAGAGCACCTCGAAGAAACGCCCACGCTGTTCGTGAAATTCGCTGGTTCTAAGGAAACAGTCTCCTCGCAGATAGCGTTCGTGATGAAAACATGCAAAGAAAATGGTGGACTAGCCTTCGAAGCGTCGAGCGACAAGCAGAGGATAGACGTCATCTGGGGTGCCCGAAAATGCCTCGGCAACGCCCTGGTCACGATGAAGAAAATTCCCACGGACCTATTCATCAGCACGGATGCGGCAGTGCCGATCAGCGCTATGGCTACGCTCATTGAGGAGACGAACGAGATCATTGCAAAGAGACCTTACGATACGTCGAAATGGTTTTGTGCGAATGTTGGACATGTTGGAGACGGCAATGTACATACGGCTATTGTATGCCCGGTTGAGGATAAAGAGAAAGCGGAGCAAGTGCTTGTGGAAGTGCAGAGGCTGGCGTTGACATTGGAGGGCACTATAACAGGAGAACATGGGGTGGGTCTGAAGCTGAGAGATATGCTGGTTGAGGAAGTGGGTGAGGCTGGTGTTGGAGTCATGCGAGCGGTGAAGAGAGCGTTGGATCCCAGGGGCATCTTGAACCCTGACAAAGTGTTCAGGCTGGAGGCGGAGAAGGGCACGATAGGGGGAAGGTTGGAGAAGTTGTAGGATATCGGTGCACCATTTGACCCCGGAGGGTCTGAAGATTACCGGGTTGAATTGAGAACAATTTCATGAAGTTTGGGTAAGTCTGAATAACGAAATCGCATTTAATGACCCAAACGATTCGCGAGGAAAGCCAGTGAAATGAGCTTCGTGTGTGCTCGGAGTGATGCTACAGGATTACGGTTGCTAGCGCGGAAATATAAGCGATCCTTCGAAGCCGCTGCGACCATCAATCCACCTCCAACTTTCCAAATGTCAGGCTGACTTTCATCGTGCCTATCTCATTCGTAAATATCGCAAGTGCTTCTTCTGTCCCTCCGACAGAATCGAAGATGCCGTCGCAACAGTTATTTGTGCGATTTGTGTTCATCACGTTACTGCTTTCGTGGACGTCGAGCACATCGTTCTTGCCTACTTCGCATCGGAGATCACTTCACGAGAAGCTCTTGGAAACACGACGCAATCCGAAGCTGCTCCAACGCGAGGTCTACCATAACCCGCATCATGATGCTGTGCAGGCACACCTTTCGGATCCTGGATTGACAAAGCTATTGACTACCAACGCTAAGAAGACTGCAGTCCTTGAAGTTGCACGCGTCGATGTCTTTGGCCTCCCTTTCTACATGGCAAACTTTGCCTTTGGCACTCCACCCCAGCCATTTGCGATGTTGATCGATCTGGGGTATGGCGGCGCGGTGGTGCGGTCCGTCGATTGTCCAACACACCACCACCTCAACGACTGCGGTCAACGTGTGTTCGCATACAATCATTCGGTTTCGTCCACGTCGAACGATATGGGCCTGAGGTTTAGCGTGGGTTTAGGTGGCCAGACAGCCCAAGGCAGCTTGTTCGGCGACACCATGCACATCGTGTCGCTTCAGGTGCAAAATGCGACTCTCGGAGCCATAGATGTCTTTTATGGTGAAAACTTGTTGCTAGAGATTCTGGCGGAGTTCTGCGATGGGTAAGTTGTTCCGAATGCTTGGCGCGCTGCGCTCTTGCCTAAATTACTTACTGAATATAATCTGTATCACACAGTGCTATTGGACTTGCTCGACCGAACCAGACATCTTCTTCGTATTACGATGTTCAATCACGCCCGAACGTTCTGTACGAATTAAGGGAAAGTGGAGTGCTAGCTCGCGATGTAATGACGTTGAGTCTGCCAAAACGCAACAATGATAGAGGAAGCCTCACACTCGGCGAAGAGCCACCGCCAGCGAAATATCGCATTGCACTGAGCGAAGCGTCTGAGATAGGCGAGGGCTGGATCGTTGACCTCGGTGGTATCTATTTCAATGGTACTACCATTCCTTTGAATATCTCTTATACCGCTTCCGCTGCCATCACTCTCGAACCGGCCTTCGCGATTGCTCTTCCCAATGAGATAGTCCATACGATCTTCGACTACCTCGGGGCGCACTCCTCGGAAGATGGGGAAGGTGGCATCATAGATTGCAAGTTGCGCGAAAGTTTGCCGGACTTGACACTCACTTTAGGCGGCCAGACGGTCACATTTCCATGGTGGCAGTACACTGGAGTGTGGTGGTACGATGGGAGGCCATATTGCCTGGTGGAGATACAGCCTACTTGGGGCGATGAAGGAGGCGCAGTTCTGGGATTGCCGCTGCTGAGGAACTTTGATCTATCGTTTGATATGGACCGCAATGAGATTGGATGTGAGTTTCTGCTATTGATTTTGACCAGCCATGAAACTAATATAGCGGCAGTGATTGAGTCTTGAGATTGCGGGCGCCTTGCCATTGACACCTCGGCAGCAAGTAGTCGGATTCAGCAGCGGATACAGACCGAGTCAAACCCCTTCTAAACTTCTGTATATGTATTTTTCAATGTAGAATACTGATAAAGGACATCACTAGATGACTCTATACTGTGCGGAGCTGCAATGCTCAACACTTTGCCGGTGATCATTCCTTCTTTAGTGCTTGATAGCCCCTTTACTCCTTCAGTTCAGCAGTCCATTTGCTCAGCATCTCAGCAGTGATATTACTGCCACCACAGACGACGAACACCACCTTGCTCTTTTCCGTCAGGTTAGGAAGATACTTCTTCAACCTACCGCCGTAGCACAGAGCCATGCTTACACCACAAGCAGCCTCGACCATAATCCGCTCATCGTCCGCGAACCTCACACAACCTTCCTTCGCGGCGTGATCTGGAAGCACAACGCTCGTGACGTTTGGCCGTTGACCGTATTCAAAAGCTTGTGGCGCAACCGTCCTCGCACCCAAAGTTGTCGCAATGCTCGTAATTCCCGGTAATGTCGACAGCTCGCCCTTATCGAGCGACAAAGCAAGAGAATGTGCACCTTCAGTCTCAACCGCCAACACAGGGACATTCTCGAGTCCAGCCCTCTCCAAGCCCTGCACGATACCGCAAAAAAGACCGCCCCCGCCAACACTACACACAATTGCATCCGGCGGGCCATCCTGATTCATCTGCGCAAGTGTTTCCCCCACCAGCGTAGCATGACCTTCCCAAATCTCCGAGGCATCGAACGGTGGAACATACACCGGAATCTCCCCCGCCTCTTTCGCCCGCGGGATGACTGTTTCTCGCAGGTACTGATCGCATTCATACCAGGATGCACCCTCCTGCAGGACCTCCGTAGCTCCCGCAGCGCGCATTTTGTCCATGGTGTACGCCGAGGTCGTCATCGGCACGACGATAGTCGCCGCGGCGCCCAACGTGACGGCGGCATGAACGCATGCCAGACCCGCATTGCCGCCACTCGAGCTGTAGAAGTGCGTGAGGTGTCGATCTTCTGCATTGGCAGATGCCAGGTGGCTACGCAGGAAGTTTCCTATGCCGCGCGACTTGAAGGAGCCAGATGGCTGGAGGTTTTCCAGTTTGAGGTACACTTGGCACCCTGCGTGCTTGGACAGCAGGGTCGAGCGGTTCAGGGGTGTCTCTCTCCACGGGCAGGGTAGCGCGGGGGATTGCTGTAATGAAGTCATGATATCGTGTGGTTTGAGTCCAAATGGTCCGAATGGGAAGATAAGAGAATTTGATGTGAAGGGCGCCCTTCTGTTATTGTGTCCTGCTAATGCGCGCTAAGCCAAGAAAATCATTTAAACATATCTCTGGGGAAACTTCCGCGCCCTTTGGTTATGTATGACCGCCTTCCATGCCGATTTCCACTGTTTGGTGGTTATTTGAGGGAGACACGTAAAAGCGAAGTCGGCAGTGGCGGCAGCGGCGGATGGTGCGGGTGTAGGCTGATTACACGTGGATTAGTAAGCCCACCGGAGCAGAGCAGACGTGCAAGGCGTCGACCATAGTTTATAGTAGTTTTCCCTGTTTTAAAGAACAAGTTCAGACGTCCAACATCTACATGGCGCAGAATACCATAGGTAAGACCGAAGTGCTCCAAAATCGCTGCGCGGAGAAATTGATAACAGGCCATTGACCTCAGGCGGCTACATGCTGACAATGTGAAGTCCAACGTCAACTAACTTACAGTGTCTCTTTAATGCTACTGGGCGATTTCGATATTCCACTACTCTACAGGGTCACACTTCGTAGTTCGTTTCCATATTCAATGCTCGTAGCTACCACCTTCTCCGAATCAAAAATCACCTTCTTGACTCGGAAGTAATTCTCCAAGATAAGCAGCTTGATTGCGCAATCCATATCTTACGATCCGGGAAACGTGTCTTTCTCGCTGCTTTTGATGGTTGTTACAAATTATCTGCAAGATCACAACTACAGCGTCCGAGGGTGGCGCAAGATAACTGGACTATCAATATCGGATATCAACGAACTCGAACGAATATTCCTCAAAGCCATCAACTGAAACTTATTTGTTCCTTAATTCCTGTGGGAGAGATGGACGGATGTGGTTTTGGGCTCTATTTATGCCCTAGACAGCAATTTTACTTTGGAAAATCCAATTTCCAGTAAATGGAAGGCAGCCGTTGGATCACTCACACCAGATCTGGCGATCACAAGTGCCGAAGTGAACGATCGGGAACAGAAGCAATCACCATGGACGCTGCAGCCTAGAATCACTTTTGACAGCGAATTGGGAAGGCTGAGCTCTCTATTCAGACCGCTAATAGGGCCTTCAAGCTCACCGCGATCCGATCTCTCTGAGCTTGCTACCCCTTTTTCCGGGCTCACAGTAGAGTCTGTTGAGGCCTTTGCTACCTACCAGACTGCTCATTATAGCTACACCTCGACCAGCGTCGCTACCTATGTCACGGCTCCTGTGATTTGCACAACTCGTTGGAACCCCGGAGTATAACAATCGTCTTTCCGCATTAGCATCCTTTCTAGCATACCTCTCCAGCGCTCTGGCCTTCATTCAGGATCACACTACGAAATATCCTGACGTCAAACTGGCAAATATTCTAAGCAATCGCAGAGAAATTGAAATCACCTCGAGCTATGCTTAAGATCTGTGGAGAGTATATATCGCGGATTTTAGTCTTCCTCGGAATTTCTTGTTGGAAAATAGTCAGATAGAAGGCCCTACCGCAAGAACACCGCGATACTGTGCTCCAGAGGTGTTCCATTACGAGCGACGAGGTCGTGCGGCGGACATCATTTCAATGGTCTGCGTCTTCACGGAAATCTTGACAGTCTACGCTGGCTATGGCCTAGAACATCTCAGATATCAATTTCGTGTTGACAGCGGTACCGATCACTACCATTTCAACATAGAATGCATGCGCAGTTGGATTAAGAGCAAATTATCCGACGCAGTCCCACTTGCATCAGAGAAAGAGGCCTCGTTAGGATGCTTTCACAAGATTATGGAAGAAACACCCCTGCAAAGGCCGACGGCTGCGTCATTGAAAACGTATTTCCAATTCCCGCTGCTTCCCCCCTCGTTCCGATCCAAGGTTGAATAATGCTGTAATATCGGCCCAGAGCCTTACATCGTTGGATAACCTCGTGAAACATTTGCAATCACTGTTGCGATAAAACAGTCGGCTCTCTTTTTAGCCAGCCCTGATTGATGAGCAGGGCCCGGACTACTTCCCACCGAAGCATACAGATTTCTATCGCGATTAAACCCGGCCGATACAGACGTTTCCCTGGGTGCATTCTGGTGTGCGCAGGTCTCGGGGGTGCTAGCGATCCGTTGATGTAACCGTGTTGGAACCATCGCGGTCCCGTGCGAAGCACGTGTGGTGGCGTAGAGATACCGGGATTGAAGAACGAGAGCCGGAAGACCTACGAGACGGTGCGGCTTAGATATGGCAGTGCGAAGAACTTCGCGACAGAATGAAGATCTAGTGTATTCATTTCCACCTTGCCCAGAACTTCGATGAGAGTTCTCTTGAGAGGTCTCAGCTTACCTGGGCGTGGCTTGCCTGAGACGACTGCGAGGTGGAATGCAGGAAAGTAAAGGAGACCAACTTCAAGTTCCAGGAGCTCTCCATCTTGTTTGTATCAAAATTGCGAAAAGTGAGTTTGGAAACTTATGATGAGGACGCCGCGAAATCATCGGAAAGTCGTGTCATATAAGCCCACCTTATTTCCAGGCCGAAGTCAGAAAAGTTAAAGGGGTTATTAGAAATAGAGAGAGTATCAACTAGCAGTGCCAATGCTAGTTACCTGGAGCGAGAAGTAGAACAAAGTGGACGCAGGAAAGAGCACATGAGTTGAAAAAGAATCAGCCGACGAGCTTTCAAGCCTGTTATTCTATTGTGCCGTACAACAAATTGCGCAAGAATGAAGAAGACTAACTCTTACTAGAAGCTTACATGAAAAAATAGACTTCAGTATAATGAAATGCAACTGACCTAGGTCCATTATGCGCTTCCACCTGAGGACGAATCCACACACAACCACGGTACAAACGCAAGATGCCAACCCACAGTAGATACCAGGCAAACCTAGCAAACCCATCCCTCCGGACCGACCCCCCACCAATCCTCTCCTGACCTGCTGTCACGATTGCTCGATCACCATTCCCGGCGCCAGCATCACGGCCAACGGCACGGTTGCCATACCCGAAAACCTTAAACCTACAGTACATAAGCAGACCAGCGCAGTGACATGACTCGTCCGTTCGAGCTCTGCGCGCGTCTGCGCGTGGAAGGTGGCGCGACTTGAACAGACTTCGACTTCCGCATCCGTGCCTAGCCGAGAGTTACTCGGGGGTACTCTTGAAAGTTAATCGGCTCCAGGCCCGTTCGCATCCAGATTGTCACAAGGAATCCGGGGTTGACGTGTAGCGAAGTGACTATGGCAGGGTTGACGGCGCGCTGTCACATGCACTGAGTTTGCAGCAATGCATGCGTTGCAATTGGGAAACCGAGTCGGAAAGTGGCGCTGGGGAAAATCGGCATCGTTTGTTGAAGAGAAGCGCCGAAGAAAAGTCGAGCGAAGACAAAGTGTCGGATGAGCACCCAAATCGGGTAGCAGATCTCGGTGCTGCGCGTTGAAACGGAAAATCAATTGCAAAAGCATGTGAGCTCGTCTGGACACCTGCTCGAGCGGTTGCACGTGACTTCATCGAATTCTGGCATACAGACAGAATAATGCCAAAGTCCATCCAGCCTCACGCACGCACTCCAAAAGAGTCGTTCTAGACCTTCCCGCTAGGTCATCAGATCTCCATAGAAACAATACTCGCACCTCAGTCGTTTGAAACCTAGCACAGTACAAGCAATGCCCTTGCACTTCTGCGGACAAGAGGATGTTCTGAGGATAGAGTATATGCGCAGCAGCGCACGCCCTGCAGGTTTGAAGCTGTCTAAATGCCATTCCAGGTGAACTGTGAGTTATGTTTGTTGGGAGGTTCCAGACCTGGACGTAAATGTGCAGTCACTGTTTGACGCTCGCCACGGTATCCCTGGCATATCGAGGAAACAGTAAAGCGGTGTGTTTACATTCATGCTTACGCGTCGCCGAGTTGATGCAGAAGCTGTGAGAGCGATGCGCAAAGTGCGTTGTTCTTTACCCTGCCTAATTCCTGATACCAAATCCTTAACTGGTGATAACCCTGTTCGTAGTCCAGTCTTCACAATCCGCAACAAGACATGTGCTGAACTATTCAATATTGATGGGTATTTCAAAGTTATGATATCCTGAGAAAGATTAACACTCTTCCTCTTACATGTGGCGTCCCCGCGCCTGCCTAATGCGTAGCTTTCTTCCTTGTGTTCAAATATACATTCCCCAAGATAGAGTGGAATCCAAGTCTCCCATCCGGTAATAAGCCCGTGTAGCCCGGAAGTGGCAGCATACATCTACGCCGGGTCTGTAGCCTCGGAGGCAATATGCAAGATGTCTGGGACAGACAAAATTCGTTCCAAAAACACAACGCCGGTACCACAAGCGGTACAGGTAGATGCAAAGAGTTTCATGCAAGATGAAATAGTCGAGGCTGAACGGCGGTAGTTACGCTGCTGAAAGACGTCGTCGGGCCCCAAAACACCAGGACTCCGTGCAGGTGTATGTGCGTCGACAACGGAATGTAATGAAAATCGTCATGGCGTCGAAACAAAGCGGATGGAAAGCTCAAGTGTTGCTGATAATGACGCGTGCGCCTTCTTTTCCAAGTACGCCCCTCTCTTTCGCCTTGGGGCTCCTATCACGGCCCTTCTTGCGACTGAGGAAGCCAAGCATGCCTGATGGCCTTTCAGCATTAGGGTTCTGTATGAGCAAAGAGCTCTGATTAGCCATATCGGACCACGAGCCGGTCTCGTTGAGAACTACCTGTACGCCGCCGCCCATGCTGGTACTACGCTGAGGTCCTCCACGGCGGTTGTTCATCGGACGCGAATAGGAGACTGGTTGTCCATCGGTCGGAAAGTAATCGGCATTTTCTCCGCGCTGGGAAGTCGGCGAACCGGAAGCTTGCTGTTGACTTAGGGCAGCTGCTGCGAGAGGTGGACTGCCATTAGGCGAGTGTGTTGTCGAGCGAGTGTTGATAGATCGAGTAGGTCGCAGATCCCTATCCCCTTCCTGCTGTTGGCGGTTCCATGGGTCTTGATGCGATGTTGATGAGGTGGGAGTGTTTTCGCTGTTGCTATTGTTGCTAACGCGAGATACATTGAGTGGATCCACGGGGTCTCCGACCCCAATGGCAGCGGGACGCTGATCTGGGACCGTTGTGTAGTTGAAGGGTTCAAAGAGAGTTTCAATCATCTTGTGCAATTCCTCCGCACGGATCTCGGCGTCTGTCGCGTCGTCTTTCAAAGCCTCGCGAGGCTTCTGTCTTCGAGCTCTGGCTTCCAGAGGCGCTTCCTCTAGTAGTAATTCTTCCAAATCGTAAGTGGCATCGAAGTTTGTCTTATCACTTGACGGACGGAAGACTGGCTCAATTTCCTTTCTCTCCAGAGCTCCGAAATCGAGCGGACGGAAGAATGGACTGTCCATGAATGTGTCAAATCCGATAGCGCCAATGCGCTTCGAGCGATCCTTTTCCAGTAGCGAGCTTATGGCATGCAGGCAAGGCATCGACACGGGAGGGTTCGTAACGGGATAGGTAGGCTCGCCCTTCGAAATTTTCGCAGCGAGCGAGTCATGACTGCTTGCTTCAAATGGTCGCTGTCATCGTCAGAGGTGCCTCAGAAAGGAGCTTGTTCACCCACCTTGTTGTAGATGCACTCGTAGAATAATACGCCCAGAGACCACCAATCCACTTCACACGAATAGCCCTTGCCTTCATAGACCTCCGGTGCCAGGTAGGCAAGAGTACCGGATTTACTTGTCAGGGGTTTGTGAGGCGTGAAATCGGACGCCACGTTCTATGAAGTGTCAGCTGTGTTGCGTCGTTCAGGGGATGAGCGGTGACCCACAAAGTCAGCGAGATGCACATGGCCTTCAGAGTCCAGCAGTACGTTGTCGGGCTTGATATCCCTGTGCACGATGCCTTGTGTGTGTATATATCGCACAGCGCAGCCGAGCTCGGATATCCAGAACCGCACGGCGTCTTCCGTGAACGTCTTCCGTGAGATGTGGAATCGAAGATCGCCGCCATTCATCAAATCAACGACGATGTACCTGCCGCGTTGTCAGCTAGGCGACCATGGATCCACGGGTGTGCCAACGTACAGGTATTCAATGTCCTGGAAACTGTATCGCAGGTTGCAGAGGAAGGGGTGGTTGAGGTGCTCGAGCATGCGTCGCTCGCGAATGATGTTGCGTACACTTTCGGAGCGTACAACTGTGACACAGCGTCAGCATCGAGTTCCCCGTCGGGTCGTGGTGCCGCGGTGCGCGGGGGTGGGAGCACTCACTCTCATCTTTCCTGATGTACTTGAGAGCAAAGGTGAGGCCGGTGTCCTTCCGCTCGACGATGCGGACCTTGCCAAAGGCTCCCTTGCCGACCACGCGCAGCAGGCGGAAATGGTTGAGGTTGACTGCTCCAGACAGTTAGCGGTGTTGTGCAGGGCGAGCATTGTCTGGCCGCGAGGGCAGGGCGACGAACCTTGGTCGGTGAAGACGACGGGCTTTCCATTGCTCTGACCCATCGCGAGCTACAAAGGCAGTGGCCTCCCGATTACCTGGACGGCAGCAAAGGCATCAGCGGGGGGTGGGCGAGGTGACAGGGCGCAGGCGGGCTAGCGAGCGGTGATGCGGGGACAAAGGTGCTCAAGAGGCAGCCTGGCGGGCAGTGGACCAGAATGGGCAGCGGGCAGCGAGGGCAAGTATATTGCGTGGTAGAGGCAGGCTCTTGGCCGGTGGAGTCGCACAGAGGGCCCTGAAAGGAGAGGCCCAGGAGTTTTGACGGCCGCACTGGTCGTGGCCGGGGCGCTGCAGGGAGAACGAGTTAGCTCGAACGACCGGCGCTGAGCGTCCGTTCGCTGGGCTGGCACGCCAGGAAAAATGCACGATAGGCGGCGCACCAAGGCTGCTAAAGCAAAGCCGGCAAGGATGGCCACGTTTTGCTCGACAGCGAGGCAAGCCCGTAGCGGCCGCGCGCTGCCAAATCCGCGAGCGCCTCCAACCTGCAACTTTTGGCGGGCCTACCTCCGCTCCCTGCGCGCCGCTCTCATGCGCGCTCCGGGCTGCCTCAGCGCGCTTGTGCTGCTCGCTGTCGTCTGCCCCAGCGCTGCGTCAGAGGTCGCTGCACGGCTGCGGCTGGCGCATCCTGCTGCTAGATGGTTGCCCACGAGCCGGGGCTGACTACTCCTGGCCATCCTTCACCACGCTAGGGAGGGTCCGCACGTGTGTGCGTCGCACACCGAAGACACAGTCAGCGGCCTCTGCATGCGATACGAGCCCTCGCCTGGCCTCCTAGCTGCTCTGGGTCTGGCCGCCCGGTGCCCTGTCGTCACGAGACGTCGGCCACACCACACGGATCAGGCCTCATTGCGCTCCCGTCTGATCTGCAGGCCTTGCTTGTTGCTTTCGAAACGCCAAAGCCGAGGGCAGGCCAGGGGGAGCCCAGGGCGTCGTCATGGACCAGGCCGCCAAAACCCACAGCATCTCCAGCGTGCCTTCTACAAAACCTGACGGTGATAGTTCTGCTGCCCCCGAAGCAGCTACCTGAATCCCTTCACCAGCAACTGGACGGATACACGCCGTGTCGTCTTGTCTCTGGCCTCGTCGTACCGAGTCTCCGGGGGTGCCACGTGAAATCCAGCCCAGCGATTGTCTGTGGCGCTCTAGAAGCTCGTGTGCTGCTTTCGCGTCTCATCCCGCTCCGTGGCTGCAGCGACAGATAATGGGGAACTTCAATGGGTCTTTCCGGAGGATTCGCTAAATAAAGGGGGCTCCTAAGGGAACTAGCCATGCAGATCGATCTTGAATTCGTCCTCCGGATTTCCCGTAAGCTGGAGAGAGCCAAGAACAAACGCCTTTGATTGCAAGTCGCAATATGTGTTATGTGAAGAAACCGATAAATACGAGATCGACTGCATCAAGAGCTGTGTAGCTTCGCAGCAGCAGCTGTTATTGAGAGGTGCGAAGACATGTTCGTTGGAACAAGGCGAGGACGAGGCAAGAGCGACATCTTGCCTGCACAGGGCATCATAGGCAGGCACGACCAGCGTACGTACCTCACAAGCACTACCCTCTGCAAGTGCTCTGCATACGCGCTCCAGTCTCCTTCGGGTCTCCTGTTGATGATGAACGAGATGGCTGTCTCGGATCTTTTTGTTATGCATACTTTCCACAATGCATTGATGTTTGCATCGATTTCACGATTCTGCCAGGACTTGCTACAGCATGGGTTGCTTCTTCGCCTGCCATTTCTTTTTGCAGCAGCCTACCAAGAAAATCTTCTTGGGGTGGGGACATCCATGGTTGTTTCTCCTTGATGCCATGTCAGTAGGTCCTCCACTGCCGCAATACATACGTGGCGGCGCCATTGGGGCGCGAACAGATCGTCGTGAATCCTCCTTCATCTTGACTCTGCAGTCGGTGGTGCGGCACGCTTTACCAACCCTGTCACCATTGACGTGGACAAAGCCCAAACCACCCAAAGATCCGTTCACCTTCCGCACTTCGTGAATGGTGCGAGTTGTCTGTTGGTGATGTACGTTCTTGTCGCCAACTACGCGCTGCCTCAGATAATTGAAGGATGCTTGCTTCCGCTCCGCGAACCTCACAGTCGGTGCTGTCTCATATCGCAAGTCAACGTCCGATGCATTTCGGGTTATTCCTCCAGTCCGCTCAGCTGGGTCAAATTTACGTTCCAGTCAGAACATACCAACGCCTCAAGTAGAGAGCTTTTCGTCCTTTGACCTCGTAAGTAAAAGCACGCCCCAGCTTTGAAACACTACCAAACACGCTGACGAGTGCCTCTTCTACCAACGGCACCTCCACAGTACCTAGCACAGAAGCGTAAACGTGCACCTCTCTCGGAGGCCCGCAGCAACACTGCACTTTTCGTATTATTTCTACAATGCTCATGCACTCTCCAGAGAGTTACAATGACGAGCTTTGACTTTTAGCCGTACATTCGCCCTGGCCTCTGGTGACGGACTCCGGAGCCTCGTCGTCACGATTCGTAGCCGCCCAAGACCTTCTTCAGCACCACTTTCTGTACGCTTGGACAATCGCTCAGGCTTCTGGGGCCTCATTGCAGCCCATACGCATGGTACAATACGCGCGTGCCTAAACTAGCTCATCACTTGGACCCATGCCAATGCTCTTAGACATGCACGAGGTACAACGAGAACGAGGTTGGGAGCACATGGGATGAAAGATCCAGCCGACGCCACAGTATGGAATATAGACAAGGCTGTACATATCAGTCCTGGTTGGATGGACAGCCTCGTGGTTCGGCGTTGGCATCGGTGACCAAAAACAGCAGCCACGAAGCGCACCAATCACCCCCGCCCACATCCTCGCTAAGCGCCTATGTTCGAACGCCCGTCAGCTTCCCATACGGACAGCCCTATTGTCGGTGCATAGCTTCCCAGTTGCACGACAGGGGCTGTCCGACTTTTCAGCGACCGCTCCGCAAGGCGGCGCAAGGTGGAGGTCCGGTGCGCTAAGAGGACTGTGGAAGCAAAGCGAAACCGAGAGCCCAGTAAGAATTGTGTAACACGACGGAGACGCTATGAAATCGCATTCTTACTTGCGTTGAACCCACCCTTGGTCCCGTACGGAAGTATGGCTTTGGTGTCGCGAATTGATCCTCAGGCATTGATGGAGACGTAGTGTAATACTCTCAGGCTTATACACCATGGAGTTTTCTGTGGGAACCTTGAAGCACAAGGTGGGCCCGTTTCTATCTTCCACGTGTTTATCCGGGCACAGTCAGAACCTTCCTGTACTATAACTCTGATTTAGGTTCGTAGCCCACTGACCTCGGGAACGTCAACGCCACTTATCTTGTGCATGCAGGAGAGAGACCTAATGTATCTTCACAGTATTCGGTAGTGTCCGATCTCTCCCCGTCGACCTAATGCATGGGTTGCACCAATGACACGTCGTCAGCTTGGATGCGCATGCATCGTCGGCCAGCCTGCATTCAACTCTGACAAAATTATCGTTTCGGGCGAAGGTTGAGGTATAGCACCATCCTTCGTGAAGTAGCAACCTACCAAGGCTTTGCGCAAGACACTCTAGGCGTCCGGACAAAGTAGGGAAGTAAGCGACCGTTGGGCCCTGTCTGCACCAGAGCACTGGCAACACCCAGCGATAGGGAGTCGGGCGGACTTCATACCCTTTTAGATCCGATCATGCATCTAACCATGGTCCCATACATGTCACTTGGCTCCTACTTCTTGCGTGACGCAACATCAAGGCGGAATCAAGCCAGTTCTCCCGACTGAGCAGCTTCCTAAACCAGCCAGACCTGCAGGTCGCATAGAGAGAGCGGCTCCTTAGCATATGCACGGAATCAGAACTCGCACAAGTGGAGAGGCGTCGCTGTGCTACCGCACGGAAGCCGGGATACGGTCGCACTGCATTCAGCGACGAAAAGGAGTATTGAGTGCTTCTAGAAGCTTTCCTTGTACTGTCAGATCCATCTGGGCCCTAAAGCCTTGTCGAGGCTGGAGCCCGCCGTCCTGTTCCACAGAGAGCCAGTCCGTGGGCTACGCCGCCCGTATGCATCGGCACATGTGACACTTGAATTCGAGGATCCAGCAGAGATGGATTGATCGAAGCACGATTCCATCACGACAGCATCTGTGACATCATGCCAAACCTAGAGAAGATGCAGCGCCGATATTGCTCAGTTGTGCCTACAGTCGCCACGGGATATTTACTCTATCACATAATTGACCTAACAGTTATAGGCAAGTCCAAGTTGCACGTTGACCCACCCCCAACATCACTGCCAATAATAGCTCATCCTAACCACTCCACCGGGTCCGCGATCGGCCTCGCTTCTGGACGGCAACAGAGATCATACATCCTTTTTGCGCAATCGCTCCTTGGATGCTATCTGTCTCAGGAGTCTATGACGAATATGGAAAAGAGTAGCGTTGGGGACATGTTGGGTAACAGTTGGTACATGACAAACTCAGGAGTATTCGAAGGAATGTACTGGGAACCATAATCGACGTGGGGTAGGACTGTCTATTTTCTAGAGCCGGTTGGGCTGTGACACAGAGGATCACGCAAGCATCGCAGTTGGACTAGGTGGCTTGACTTTACCACGACTGCTCTTGCCTGCATGTCCTTTGCATACTCTCGAATAGCATTCAGGACAGATCGATGAAGTCATCGTTGCTGGGAACTGAGGCATCCTCTACCAGATCGCTTTACCCATCCGGCTTGACAAACTTGGAGACCCAGAGGTCGGATGTGTGGTTGTCTCTCCTGATTTTGTCAGCCGAGGTAACACGGCAGCCGTCTTTCTGGCAAACATGACCACTGAAGCAATCGAGTCGTCGGCAGCTCGGTTCCTCAACGCACGGAACATTCTTCAAGAGGAACTTGAGAATGTGTAGAGCGTCTAGTCCTAGATGTCTGCGGTCAAAGCCACAAGGCGTTGTTTTGCATGGCTGGCCCATTTGATAAAAACCGCATACTTTCCGCTGGCTGTTCCGGGCGTTGTATGCAATCCACTCCTGTTGAGTGGGCTGGCGCGCATAGATATCGAGTCGTCCGTCACTGAAGTTGACAGGGATGAGACCAGCAAGACTGCAAGTCGGGAGGTGCACTGCTTTCACTAGGTCCGCGCCGAGCTTCTTTCGAAGCATGGTGTTATTGTCGATTCGGCCGGTTTCCTCCTTCAGTGTTAGATATTCAGAGAAATTCAGGGAGAGCCCTTGTGCAGTACATACATTCATATTCCCTTTCACGCGACTGAATCCTTGTGTAGATGCTCCACGACCGAATTCGGAGTTCCGCAACCTTTTAGGAAACGATGCACTGGGGAGTGCCAAATTCTGTTGACCTTGAATCATTCGGATAAGGGTAACCTGTCCGTCGTATTCAACGACATCCTCGAGGGATTCCGTGGACAGACGTGCATCTCGCAGCCGCGAGGAATACCTGTGCGCAGCTGGGGTCTTTAACGCACTCCTTAAGACGCTCTGCGAGTAATGATAAGTAGGCGTTACTTTCCAGTGATCGAATGCGACACATGTTTAGGATCTTGCGCTGCATGACCGACTTGACTTGGACAACAGTGAAGTCACAATCAACCCGACTGGAAAAACTCGATGTGAATGTTCCTAGGGACGGGGACAAGTTGTCCAGCAAGCCTCTCTCAGCAGCATCCATGGACAGTTGCTTGAGGTTTGCAAAGGTTTGGACCATGATACGGCAATTGCTTATGTCGGGTAAGTACCGTAGCAGGTACTCCTTAACGGCCTCACGGAGTAGTCTTGCTGCAAGTGGGCCCCCTTTGCTTCCGTCCGAGAGCATCTCGTCCTTGAACTATAATCCGGTGAGTCACCATTTATAACGCATTGATGTGTGCACTGTGGACACACCCTGTGGGTGTGCGCATCAACAAGCACCATCACATAGCTCTTTCTAGCCACGACATTTTCGTCGCTTGGCTGTTTGACCCTCAGAGCGTCGTATTTCTTCTGAAGTCTCATAAACCTCCCAAGAAGCTCGCTATGCTCTGTAGTATTCTCCTTCAAAGTCTGCGCGCACATTTCGACCGCTAACTGTCTGATGTCAACAAGTGCCTTACAAGAAGCAGGCAAGCTGCAAAAACGCACTCTCAGATGCTGTAATTCGTCCACTCCATTCAGTTGAAGCTTTCGGAGCTGCTCGCTTATCTCAGCAAGCTCGCCTTGGTCGCGTACCACCGCCGCAACTGTCTGGTCGTCCATAGTGCAGCAGAGACTTTGCGGAAAACGTTGATTGGGAGAAATAAACGCGGACGTGGTGTCGGTACTGCCTCTCCGTTCAGCGTTGTTTAACACTTTCGTTTTGGCGCGCTCAAGCCAGTGAGTAATGTTTCTTAATCATCACAACTTCACTTTGAGAGCCCCTCGATGACTGCTCTCTATCACATTACAGCAAAGAGGCCTCCACCATAATCACTTACTGGAGCCTCTTGCTGCCGGAGTCTATCGCTGCTGGACGTCTCTTACCTGCTTGTCTGGTTCTATCACTGATCGCAATCGCAATACGGCACACACAGAAATTGTCGTCTCCCGCACATGACCTCCTCAATTTATCTTTTCGAACCAAGCTCTTCTCAAACCTCCCTACTCCAACCTCAATCAGCAGTACCAGCAAATTGCATACGAGGACTCTGTAAGTGTGGAAATTCCCTTCAAGGCTGCAATCTAATGATCGCAGACAGGTGTGTGCTGCGAAATCCATATTTCACCATGGGGCTGCTAGATCTCCCTCCCGAGATCTTCCAGCGCATCATACAGAAGCATGTCGCAGCGACAGGGCTATGCAGCGCGTGGAAAGGCCGAGGAGTCTGCGGTAAGGGCTCCTATGGGATGTTGCAATGAAACCATCAGCTGACCCTTCTAGAAACTTTCAACACCTACATCACCGAGGAAGTTTTCGCACGCCAACCAGTGAAGGTGTATTCCAAGCGCCGTATCAACGGTCTGTACCGCAGAGGACTAGCCGTTTTTCTCGAGTATCGCCTTAATACGTTACATGGCGCACACGACCTCATCCCATCGGTGATTCGCAACGTTGTCGACAAACTGATGCAGATCACACGTCTAACATCCGCCGAGGCCAGATCAGAACTCAATAGAGACGTCATCGCTGCTATTGTCAGGCTTTGGAAGAAGGCAGATGTCGCGGCCGTCAAGCCGACCAAACGTATGGAGAAGGGATGCTCTAAAGATTCCGAAGAGGCGCGTCTACTCTGTCTTGTGGTCAGCATGGGCAACTTAGACCTCACTAAGGCTGTGCTTCAGCACTGTACAGATCCATGGAGTGAGACATATTGCCTGGGCTCTCCTATCGAAGTTGCCATTTCTGCGATGGATCTAGAGCATGTGGAACTCCTCCTTGCAGACACAAAGTCACGTAAATCAACGAGAGCTTCAATTTTCGCACGATTCCTCGATAAATTCTTCGACGCACCAGTGGGGGACTCACAGCTAGAATTTGTGGACCAGCTTCTTTCGTTGCATTACACCTTTCTCGGCCGACCCCTCTCCGATTATCGTGTTAGGTGGCTTGGGAACTTCCACATGCGGGGCCCTACAGGTGAAGGAGTCGTCACAAAGATTCTGGAAATGGGCTTCACCTCCAAACTAGCCGCCCTGTACCGCCAGCGGCTTTTCGAATGGTGGGGCGAGAGGTTCGATCGAACCACCATGAAGCTGTTCGTTACACATAAAGTATTCGACATGACACAAAAGTATGCGTTCGATGACAGATACGGCGATTCTGCATATTCGATGCAGGATGAGTCTGTACTAGCGTACGCTGTCCGCGTCGGCGACGTGGATCTGGTGGAAGTCGCTCTCAAAGCTGGTGCAAACGCAAATGGCGCAGTCAACCCCAATGGCTTTTGCGAGTACCCTATCAGCTCCGCGCTCCAAAATACTAGATGCAAGGCTAAGATACTAGAGCTACTCCTTGATCATGGCGCCGACCTTTACGGGGACCACTCTGTCTTCCACTATTGCGACATCAAAACTATGTACCTTGGAGGTGACTACGAGAAACGAAAGATTCTTGATGCGGCTATCGAGCGCGCGAACTACAGCTACAAGGGATATTCATAAACTCAAGCCGACAAGGGTGCAATCGACTCGGGTCAGGGGGGAGCTGCTACTATCGCCCATAGATCTCGATGCTGCGAGGGTGCTAGGCAATGCGAAAGAGGTCACTCCGATAACTAATACGTGGCCATTGCCGAAAGAGAGGCACATACGTCTTAACAAAACGCCCTGCCCGACGCCTGTAAGTCGATGCCGGACTTCCCTTGATTCGTCTGACTAAAAAAGATCTCTAGGCACTTGCGTTGATAAGGAAGTAATACCGGGTCATGCCTCGCCCCGATCTCCTCTTCCCAACACGACATCGACTTTCTGAAATACCTTCTTCAGTCCCAATCTACACAACGATCAAGACCTCGATTTTCTGACGCTGAGATGAGAAGCATGACTCTGGGCCGAGCCAGGCGATCCTGGGGTATATTCTTTCTTCCATAATTATTCGAGTTTCCGACCCGAATATCCATCTGCGATAGGTGTCCTAGTACAAGCTTAAACTTCGCTTTTGCTCCTTGATCCACAAGCTGATCCTCGATCGCTCTATGTCGTGATTATCGTCGTTGATGTAGCACGGCTTCGCTGCATTCGTCCACGCCCATCGTCAATCCTGCTCTGTCTAAGCTTGACACGCACATCATCGGTAGGAGAGTCCTTGGTATAAGCCAACTGTTGTACTCTCGCAGACTGCCATGCCCGAAGCTCCTTTCCGCTTCAGAATACCAAAGAACTGTGGGCGCAGAATTCAGTAGCAGATGGACGATTTAGGACCTGGGACGCCAGCTTGTGCTGCCCACTGCCGAAAGCTGCGACTACAGCCATCGCTCTGTCGGCGACGGACTAGCGCCATGTGAAAACCGGAAAGCTTCCTAACACGTCGACCATCGCAGCTTTACCAATTCAATGGAGCGTCTTATGCCAGCGAGAATTTCAATTGAGGCCTGTTTGTGACGCATGTACGTCAGTGCCAGAGCCGGAGGACGAGCCTGCACGTGATTCGTGAGCCAAAGGCGGTTAGTGCAGCGGCTCCACGCGTTATGCGGGGCAACGCAAACTTGACAGGGCAAACCCGGGACAAGAGCACAACTGCGTCTGGGATCATGAATTCAGGTCGTGACATCAGTAGGACTGCCTCTAGAGTGTGGCCAGCCTTTGCACATGCTTTGGCGGTGTCCAAGCCAATCTCACGATCGGCTTCCGGTGGAAACGGCAATGCGCGTGCTTTCTGGTGACACACGGGCAGCCGCTCAGCCGTGGGGTCGCACGCGAACGGCTGGGCGAGAGTACAAGAGCGGGCAGAGAAGAGGGGACGGCGGCGAGTCTCGCGCTGGCGCCCGCGTAGGGAACCAAACAATCCATGGCCCTCGTACAGTTGACGGCTGAATAGAGGCGTCCGCTCTCCACTCTCTGACGTGTTGACAGCGAATGGCGGTCTGCCGCGTCGGCGTGCATTGGCTGACTCGCAGGTGGTCGTGCTAGCGACGGCGGGGAGCGTGCGCGCGGGCGGGCAGAGCTGGAGTGGACGTGTGAAGCTGTGTGCTCGCTCGTGACTGCGAGGCAGCTCGCCGGGCATGGCGAATGGGAGATACTCGCACGCAAAAGCTGCATCTGTGAGGAGCCGGGGCGGCGGCAGGCTGCATGGACGGGTCGGTGGTAGGCCAACGGTTGTTCCCGCACTGCCATGCGCGGTGTGCTGCTAGCCCGTTGCGGTAGCGCCGCAGCGCCTTTGTTTACTGCAACCTGACCGCCAGCGCCAGGATCAACCCACTCCACAAAATCTTTACCCGCGCCGACCTCGCTGTCTTTCCGACCGGCAACCCGCAGAGAAGGTAGGGAAATGCCCTCCGAGGTCCTCCTGCAGAAGAGGAAATATTGACGCACCGCCAGCACTCGCTGCATTTACGCTCACCCCGACGCACCTCCGCTGATGCCATTCCCCGCCGCTCGACCGCTGCTGAGCCTGACGCCCCGTCCTGTCGACTCTAGCAGATAGCTCGTGCTCTGGCACCGAAACCTTGCCCACATCGCTTGTTCGCCCTCGATTCCCCGCCCTAAGGGGCGCAGCTCGCCATGGACGGCCCTCCGCCGCCGCCGCCTCCCCACGGCGAGAATCCGAAAACGACAGGCGGATCGCACGGCACTGCGGGGACAGGCGGCCTGCCACCGGGCAACTATGACATCTTCATCATACCCCCGCACTCGGCCGGTGGAGGCTTCGTGTACCTGCCCAGTCTGCAAGTCCAGCGAAACAGCTTCATGGCCGGCGTGGCGAGCACCATTGCCAGCATAGCCGTGTGGAAGATGATGGAGCCAACCGTGAAGCAATGGTTCTTCATCGTCACTCAGAATGTAAGCGCTGGCGCTGGCGGTAACAACGTCCTGCTCCTCGTCATCGCAATGGGCATTGCTGGCTGGGCCTTTGGCAAGTCGCAGACCCCTGGCGGCTTCTCGGGCGCTTTTGGTGGCGGTCCTGGTCCCGGAGGAGCTGGGGCATCTGGAGCATCTGGAGCAGGCTATGAACGTGCCCCACCACCGCCCCCGCGTGGTGGCTATCCCAATGGGAGTGCCCCGCCGCCTCGAGGCTCCGGTGCCGGCTGGTCTGGACAACACCAGCAACGTGGCGCTCAGTCGCCACCGCCTGAGGACGACGACTTCTGGGCCGATGATGCCGACGAGGAGAAGACCCGTGAAGAAGCACGCAAGAAGAAGAAGCAGGAGGAGGAGGAGCAGAACAAGAAAAAGGAAGAAGCGCGCAAAAAGGCCGAGGAGGAGCGGAAACGGGCCGAAGACGCGGAGAAGAAAAAGGAAGCAGAACGCAAAGAGGCAGAGCGCAAGGAGGCGGAACGGAAGAAAGAAGAGGAGCGGAAGGAAGCCGAGAAGCGACGAGAGGCTGAACGGGTGGAAGCTGAGCGGCGCAAAGAAGAGGAACGGAAGGCAAAGGAGGAGGCTGACCGACTCGCACGAGCCAAGGCGGAGAAGGAGAAGTGGGAGAAGATGCGCGCTCGAGAGAAAGAGCAGCGCGAGCGTGAAGCCCGCGTACGTTTGGCAAAGGAGCGTGAGCAGAAGGAGAAGGCCGCCAGAGAGAAAGCGGAGCAGGAGAAGCAGGCCAAGGAAGCCGCAGAACGCGCCAAGATCGAGCAGGAGATCCGCGAGAAGCTCGCGGCAGAGCAGAAGGCCAAAGCTGAGGAGGAGGCCCAGAAAAAGGCCGCCGAGGAAGCGGCTGCCCAGGAAGCCGCCAAAGCCAAAGCCAAAGCGGATGCAGAACGAAGCGAACGGTTGAAAGCTGCCCGAGAACGTGCCGTGCGCGACCGAGAAGCTCGTCTCAAAGCCGAGGCTGAAAAGATCAAAGCACAGGAAGCGGCCGCCACAGCTCAATCCTCAGCTGGTCGACGGTCCACCACATATGGTGGCATTGGCGGTGGTGAACGCCTCGACCCATATGCCGGCGCTAGGAGTCCACCGGCCCCGTCCGTCACCTCGACACACTCCTCGCCTATCAAGGCCACCGTCACACCGAAGAAGAACTACGAGAAGCCATCAGCGAAGTCTTACATCGGCGACGAAAGTGAGCATTCTTTCCGTCCTTACGACACTGCTAGGCCACCGAAGCCGCCTTCGCATGCATCTTCATACACTGCGTCCAGCTACGCCCCGTCGCAATCAACCGCAGCGTCTACGGCACCTCCGAGCCAACGCGGGCCGTACTCAACCAACGACCCCGACAAGATCCAGATCAAGGCTGTCTATCTCTTCAACGATCTCTTTCCGAAGCCGGTCGCGCAACTCGTGTCGAATGTGGGTAAAGTAACCGATGGCCTAATCCTGAAAATCCAGACCGAGGGCTTGTTCATCGACGACGATGTCCGCGGCATACCACAGCGCGAGTGGGATGTCAAGGCGTGGACGCTGAAGCTGGTCGAGGTAAGTCTTTCCCACCTTCTCGTGACACCCCATCTTCTGTAAGATTGCCATACTCATTGCTCAACAGACTGGCCAACAAGCCTCCAAACATCTCTACATCCTGCGCGCGTGCGTCCGCGACGGCGATGGAAAGAAGTACGTTTTCCTAATCGATGAATCCGAGAGCTGGAAGGTGTCGATTGGCTTGCAGCGACTGCGCAAGGGGTCGCAGGTGCGCTCGCTGGCAAACAATACGATGACGCCGAGTGAGGTAACCAGGGTGCTGAACTCGGTTCCGCCGCTCGCATAAAGCACGATGCAAAGTGGTGTTGTTGAAAATGAGTGTTGACGCGGATAGCCGAGGAATGTTGGCAGGACGTTGGTGGCATGTGTGGAGATTCCCCCTTTGAGCGCGCGCAGTTGATTGGTGTTGAGATATCCCCTTTTGATTCATATCGTTTCTAGCACGTTCTTTGCTTGCATCGCGAAGGCATCAGCGACGGAGTCTAGTCTGCGAGTTCTTTTGCGCGCTGGGTACTGTGTATATGGCATAGGGTCGCATCGTGGGCGGCTGTACATAGGGAGGGAAGGCTAGAGAGGGTGTGGATACAACTGGTACCGTCTTGCTGTCTGTCTTTATGGAGGAGATGTTGAAGTGTGATGAGACAGCGGGACTTGGAGCAAGTCCCTTGCTGGACTGAACTAACCCACGTGAGCTCTGCCTATCCCGATACCATAACCATATCCATCTTCAGATGTTCATGCCCGATCCGTTCCGTCCACCTCACCCGTCCCTCGTACTTCCCGCAACGACATCCTGCCCACGCATTAGCACATCTCCGGCCCTCTTCGTTCGCCAATTGAACTCACCACCGGATCAGACAGGTCTGCAGCAGCCTACCAAACCACCAACTGCACACTACCAAAGCCCACCACGCGGCTGCACGCACACCCCTTGCCGCCCGCACCCGCGCACGTAAGCGCAGGCTCCAGCGTCCATCCGCCGCTGCAGTCGTCGGTCTTGTAGATGCGCACTATCACCACCCATTAGCCGCCATCTCCGTGCCACCCGTGGCTCCAGCTCTCCCAAACATAGACGACTGACAAGAATTGTAGCGGAGCGAGTTGCCCTCGCTCACGCCCACGACGCGCAGGCTCTGCGCGCCCCCGGGGAACGCGACGCAGCCGGCGCCCGCGGTGACGTGCAGCTCGGGCGTGTTGTCGGGGGTGCACTGCGTGTTGCGGGCGAAGGTGATGGTTGCGGTGGCGGTTTGGGCGCCCTGGTTGGACGGCGAGGGAAGGGCGGCCGCGAGGACGGCGAGGAGGGCGGTGAAGATGATGAGGGGCGTCATTTTGATGGGAAGGTGAGTGGTTTTTGGTAGGTGTGAATTAGTGTGGCTCGAGGTGAGGTGGAGGTGAGATGGAGGTGAGATGGAGGTAAGGTTCGTCGAGGTAGCGACTGTGGTGTCTAGCGGTGGGAAGGGAACAGAGGGCGGGAGAGGGGTTGCATATATAGGCGATGGGAGACACGGCTCGCAGCGGAGGGGTTCGTTTGCACGTGTAAGGTCAGGTGCGAGCCTGTGGACAGCGTGGCTGCCTCGTGAGGGACTGAGGTGAAGGCGGCGGATTGACTCGGTTTTACGAGTGGCTTGTGGTACGTGAGAGTTGTGGACGTAAAAATTGAAAGAGCGTTCGTCATGAAAGGAAAGGGCCAATTGTGAGGAGTGGGGACGGGCGATGGTGCGCCGTGGAAATATAGTACTTGAATCAAAGTCCAAGTGGACTATACTATCCCGGGATATGTAATATGTAGGTCGATCGTACCCAGACCTCTGTCCTAGCAGTGCATCAGCAGAACCGCCGTTAAGATATGCATTGGGAAATGCATCCGATATGCGACAGTCTTATACGACCGTCTTTCGAGTATCAATCTGCAGGTATGACATGATGTCAAGTTATCAAGACGTCAAACAGAACGTTTCTGGAAGCAGGTACCGTACGACGTGCATGTCCGCCACGCAGCGACACGCGAACACAAGACCATTCAGCGATGAGATGTTCCATCAATCATATAATTCGTGACTAGCTCACCTACTGCCGCTCGTTGACGGGCGTAGCACCAAGCACCCACCCAAGCCCACTCGCCAATCCGCCAGTAACCGCATTAGCAACCATATCCCGCCGCCTTAGCCTCTCGTCACCAGCGCTATGCATGCTCTCCGAGTCGCTGCCCAAATCCACCGATGCACGGCCCGTGTCACCGTGGCTCTCTGACCCCGATGCAGCCCGGCTACCTCCACTACCGCGAAGCGGGAATGCGCTCTTGGAGAACGCAGCAGCAGCGCCCCTCGCCACATCGAACAAGCCCATAGGCGCTTCTTCCACTGCGCCTCTGCCGACTTCGCGGCGGGGCTGGATGGCGACTGCTTCCGCGAAGGCACCGGGAAGACGGCGGTCAGCAGCGTCATTGAAGCGCTCTTCTGCTTCAGTCTCTTCCGCGAGGAGATTCGTCATTTCTGTTTCGCATTCCTGCCATACGGCTAGCACCTCTTCCAGGTGTCGTGGCGGTGCGAGGAGAAGTGCTTGTGAGAGGAGCTCCATGCGCTGCTCTAGTCTGCGCAGGTCGGGGCGGGCGGCAGTGTTTGCAGAGCCCCACGTCTGGGACGATGATAGCGAGGAGCGGTGACGACCAGCTTGAACGGCGGCGCGCCAGGCTACGTCTTCGCCGTCGTCCTCTTTTGTGTCTGAATCGTAGGACCCGAACGAAAAGCGTTGTGATGACTTGGACAGCGCCGGGGAGACAGGTGGCGATGGTGTCTTCGGAGTGAGTCTGTTCACAACATACGAGTATGCTGTTTCAAAGTCGTCTTCTGCAAGCGCGGCTTCGACGGTCATGCCAATAACACGTCGTTCTGCTGCGAGTTTCCTCTTCTCGAATACAGCTGGATCGAGGTGGGTGTGACTGGCATCCTCGTCCATAATAGTAGCCGGCATGGCCACTATAAGGTTTTGCCCGATCGAGATGAGGTCATCTAGATGCGTGTAGCTCCGAAGATTTTGCTCGAGCAGCTTCTGAATCAACGACAGCGGGTCGGCGCTCACCCTAATGTTTACAGGTTGGAACGGAACGCCGTGCTGTAGGATAAGCGAGTAGAAAGACATTGCATGTGTTGCGGCCAAAAGAGCCTGCATCCGTCGGAAGCGACCCGAGCTTGGAAAGTGGGATTTGAAAGCTGCAACAATGTCGGAGGCGCGCTTCATGCCTCCCCTTGTCCGATTGCCGTTGCTTGCGTTGTCATAGTGCTGCAGTACAGCTGTGAGGATAGTCCGCTCTACGTCGGCAAGGGGCAACGCGCTACGATCCGATGCTGGCCGGATGTACAGTTGGACCACTAGAGGGAATTGGCTGCCTTCCAGGAGACCTTTTAGTGTCTCAGTTTCAATCGTTTTGCTGTCGATGTGGCCAAGTATTCCTTGAGCATGTCGATCATTGCCTGTCTGACTCGATCCCCAGTTCCAGAGCCAGAGGAGTCTGGCTCGGTTCGACCGCCATTGTTCGCCATCAAGCTTAGCGCTCGTGCTCAGTGTGTGAACGATTTTGTGGAGAAGAGTAATTTGCTCTGATCGATCGTTGCGGAGGAACATGCGCGCGACTTCTCTTAAACTAAAAGGCTGTTGCAAGCTTGAGAGTACGAAAGCGGAGAAGATGAGAAGTTCAACAAGATGCACAGCATCCTGCTTTGGTTCGGTCAGGGGGTTGTCTGTCCGTGTTATGTTTTCTTCCAGGAGAGTGGAAGCTTTCAGGTCTTGCAGTACAGGCATGTCCGCGGCGCAGGACGGCAATGCTTCGACGGTCACGGTCAGGTCTGGGGGAGGCTCTAGGCCAAGAAGATCGGAAATGCGTGACAGCAGGCCATGCGCCGTCTGTAGCGTGTCGGTGTGGTTACTGTCCAAGAGATATAAACATGCCAATGCCGTCTGTGCATAGCGTCGCTCCAGCTTCCGTTGGGTGTCATCATCGACGTAATCACGCCCCTCCTCGAAGCCGCCCAAGTCGAGATCCTCAGGGCCGTCCCACTCGGTGATGGCAGACGAAACCAGGGCGAAGTCAGCCTTGGAGGTATCCACAAGCCACCCGAACAAAGCCTCCCAGTCATCAGGCTCTTGAGCCGGTTTTTCGGTTATGGATGCACTTCGATCGTCTGGCGACAGCTTCCGTCTCTTTCGCTCCGTCGCGCCACATATCCAAGGGCCAACCACGCCCCTCAAGTCTCTCGCTGCATGTTCTCCCTCCCGTGTGCCTGCGTGTGACTGACGGAGGTTCGCTAGCTGCAGGTCAATTGCGCGCCTGCCCCTCAACCTGGCAAAGTCGTCGAGCGATGGAGCGGGGCTCTCGGGGTAGTATTCGTACATCAGCCGCAGAAGCGGTAGTGCGGTAGAGATTAGCCATGTCCGCAGGTACTCGGAGTGGCCAATGAAGGGCGCAACAAGCTCGGGTATCGCATTGGGAAGACCAGTCTGGGCGTCGATCTGGTGTGCGCGGTGGATGAGAAACTGGGTGAGCGGGTCCAGCTCCGTCTCCGCCTTGTACAGAGGATGCACTAGGGGCAGCAGTTCCAGTTTCCGGCGCTTCTTCCTGGCTTGTGCATTTGTGAGTCCCTCCACCGGCGCAATATCGAGCACAGCGGCGGGGTCGTCGCCCGGCGCGCGGGTGCCGCTTGCGAGCTCGTCCAGGTACTCGATGTATTCAGCGGGAGGAACGCTTTCGGGCAGGTGCGTCAGCAGGATCTGGAAGGCAAGCTCGACGTCGAAATCGGTGTTGCGGAGCGCTGTGAGCGCGCGCAGGGCCGCGAGATTCGATTCGTTTGCGTAGTGGACGGCGAGGAGGACGCAGTGCGGCGCAGACAGCTTCTCGAGCTTCTGAAGGCCCGCCATGGTATAAATCGTGACTCTGGGCGGCTATTGCGGCGGGGAAAGGCGCGCATTCATTCCCGTGGTAATTTGTGGCCGCATCCCAACTACGCAATCCGACAACACGTCGCGGTTCCCTGTCCCGCATTACGTAAGGCCGGCACCCACCTGCGGAGGTCCGCACGACACCTCGTCCACATCCTCGTCCTCAGCGGCCCAACTCACATCACGCTAATTCGTGGACAAGCAGGCTTTCGCGGACAACATCGTTCATGGGCTCCTCACAATCTCATATGTGTCCATTCTGTGTTCACTGTCAGCATCTTGTTCCGAATAACGCGATAGAATCGATTTTGCCTCTTGGGTCTCCAGTTCAATGCGCGCACATCGTCTTGTCGCCGTCGATCATATCTTTGTCTCGAACAGAGGGAAATGCGCGTTCGTATTACCGTAAGCCTCATGGAATTTAATGCGTGATATGGACAGGTGTTTTTGCGGCACATTCAGATCCACCAAGCTTGCCGGACCGCTGTTGAGCCAGGCGCCCTCGGCCACGAGCGTATGCATCCGATCATCCGTCCTTGATGCACAAGAGCCGGCTTGAAACCTTTACCCTCCGCCGGGCGGTGAGAGCTTTCAGACGACTGGCCATGCGGGATCACGCCAGTGTTGCTTCTTGATATTCCTGCGACTTTCCAACAGAGCGAAAACTATCCACGCCTATTACCGATCAGAGACGTCTTGGCCTATGATTTGACATGGGTTCCTGTGATGCTGCTAGATCGTGACCTCACACTCAGCACGTTTACAAGTGCCCCACGCGTCTTCCCTTTTCTCCAAGCGCTTTAGCGGGCTCTACGGGTGTAGACAGCGCGCCACTCTTACGGGCTCCTCATCTTCTTGCTGCATATTTGCCCTCGATTAGTTTGGCCTTCACGTCTATTCTTCCACTGTCGGTCGCCAAGCTGTGCAGTCATGCTGTCAACATAATTCATGTCACGCAAGCCAGTCCGTTATATTAAACACTATGTATTCTATCTACAATCGCAATCAAGGACACTAAAATTACACTTTTAGGACAAGAGAGTAAGCCAGTGAGTGCACGCTTCTGTAGAAAGCGCTAGAGAAGATGTACAGACACCCTCACCCCAAAACGCAAATACGCTAAACTAGCTTGTTGACAACGGTCAAGTGCCCTCCATTATCAATGGGCTGTAGATTAAATCATGGTCAACACTCTTGTAGAGTATCTGCTATGGAATTAAAAACTCGAGTCAGTAGAGAAAAGAAGTAGTATATTAGTCCATATGGAGCCAGTAGAACCCTTTAAATTGTAGATTACATCGCTACACATTGCCTAATTGAATGGATATATGCCCGCTAACCAGCCAATGCTGACAGGAACGACCAAAGTACAACCATATTCAGAACCAAGGAAAAATCAGCCCGGAATGTAGACGGACGTCCAGCGACCAACATATAGTCTCCAGACAGCGATCAACCCTTTCGGAGCCACACCTTGAGTAGATGATCCATGAACTCTTTAAATGTTGTCTCGTCATCGAAAACCTCGTTCCCCTTGAACTCATAGTCAAAACCATGCCCCCTTTTGATCGTCTTGAACACTACTGGCACTTTTCCTGCCAGGTTCTTACTCTTTAACATCCTCTCATACTCTCTTACGAAAGTGGTGGACACTTCGAGAGGTACGTTTCCGTCTTCCGTCCCGTGGTATATAAATAGCGCAGGTGGGTCACGCGGTCCAACCGACTCTCCTTTCGCATTCGCCTGTTCGAGTTCCGTCAGAATATCTAGCTTTGATCTTCCGAAGAAGCCAGACCACGTTCCAAACCAGGACGTGAGGAAGGCGCCGTTCATGCCGCGCGGTGGACTACGGCGGTCCAGAATATCGGCAAAAATGCCCTTGGCGGCGTCAATCAGCCCACGATCTTTCATCTTCTGACGTATCTCTTGAGTCTTGTCCCAAAGGGGCTGGACAAACTTTTGAACGTCATTCTTGATTTGCGGCCTTCCCATGTACGGGAGCTCCGATTCGTGGGCGTCAGAGCGCTTGTAATGACGAAGCATGGGGTAACGAAGTAGCAGTGCTCTGACTTCCAGTTGAGGATGTGCATGAATAATCGATTCTGCGGACACATAACCCCCAGCACTTTCACCAGATACCATCACCCTGGTGAGGTCGAATTTGAGTCCAGCGAACTCTCGCTGGCAATCGTTGGTGATATAATCGCTGTAAAAATAACTCCAGAAGTCCTTGACGGCACGTGTGATGTCTTCTTTGTCAGCAAGTGGCATGCGTGGGTAATTGACCGCGAGGATCACGGCACCATTCTCGTTCGCTTGTATCAGAGATTCTTTCAAGTACCAGAAGAAGGATTCCCAGTCGCCAGTCCACTTCGCTAGTGTCAGCTCACATTCGGATTACCTCTTCTTCAAAGCTACCTACAAAGCCGCCACCCATGAAGAATACGTGGACTGGAGTAGTGCAGTTCGGGTCAATGCGCTTGTTGGGCACGAGCAGTCCAACCTCGTTCCAGTACTCGTTCGGTTTGCGATAATACAATGTGCTGTGCTTGAAGTTGTCCTGAACATACTGCGTGATATCGTCTTTACGTAGCTCTTTGTCATCGGCATAATGTGCATCCTTGAGGGAAAAGCAGTTCACCGCCGAATCCAAGCCTTCTGCACCATAGGTATGCTCTGCCTTCATCTCGGCAAGGTCCTTGTTCTTTCTATCGTCCCATACTTCAGATTCGGTCGAGCTCGACATCTTCGCAATACTTTCTCTCTAGGTTTCGTAGTGCTAGTGTTGTACGAAGTCGTGGTACTGAGCTGGTGACGTAAGGTTAGCTGATTATCTCGCAGTGGGTGTATCCTAGAAGTGCAGGAAAGCGTTGTTATAAAGTGTGCCTGCACCTAGTTCTCAGCGCCGCCGGGCGGGTGCAGCCTCGCAAACGTTTCGACAATGTATGTGTACCGATGCTACAGCTGGATTGTCTTACAAGGGACCTCGAGAACGATAGATATATGTGCACTCCGACTCCATGTGCGCCACTTACACAAAGAAGACCAAGTCCTGGTCTTACGGATTCATGACATGGCTACGCGGCGCGACTCCAACATCCAACGATGACTGCGTGCTATCGTGATGAGTCGAAGATCCGTAACAAACGTTACTTAACGTACTTTCATAAGGTATATTCACCGTCCATAAGCCACATGTCTTGGAGTGAGTCGCTAAAGATGCAGTGGCGTTGATCGCACACGCAAGTTTGCGTTCGGAGCAGATCGCATAAACGCTGAAAGAGCCGGACTATAGGGCATCAGAAACGTGTGCAAATGGACGACCACCAGCTTCCCTTACATCTTTCATATCGGACGATCCCAAAGTCTCCTTCCTCGCTCCAATAGCATGGAAGGGTTGGCGAACCAAGAAGCGGCCCGCATCTCGAATAGGCAAATCGTCAGCCCAACGACTCACGTGTTAGCACCGAGGGCAGCCCAAGCGAAGATAGTCACGACATCAAGTCAGGCCTCACCAAGAAGAACGCCTGGGCCTCATATATAGCCTGACATACCCTTGGTTTTCTTGCACGCTCTTGCAGCCCGAACGAAATCCTTGATCAGCTATCCGGGTTCCTGACCCCTCTACCTTGAAGAATCCACTCTACATAATACCCAGCTATATAACTACATACAAGCGATTGTTATGAGAGATACAAGCGGAGAACCGTGTAACATTTGTTTTCCCGGGACCAGGGCACGGGTAGAGCTTTGTGACCAGATCCAGGTTCGGGCATCAACAAAGTGTCGCCCGTCGGGAGCCTGCGTCAAGCGTGGAAAGCCGCAGCTCCCAGCCCGACTGTGTCCTATGACAACGACATAAGCTTTTCGCATTGGTGGATTCCGGGATCGCTAATCTCAAGGTGCGACTCGTGTTCTTGCTACGCATGAACCACGTTGACAAATGCGGCTCGGTAACGGAAGATCTGCATACACTGCTGTCTCAGAGTCAATGCAATGTCAATCAGTTTGTTACAGTGTACGAAGTTGGTTGAGGGTGGGGGTAGGTGGATGTGGGGTAAAACAGCGATATAGGAAACTCCTGACTCCGCAGACATATGTACAGTCAGAGTAAATTCCCCACGAGCAGCTCTATGGCGGCTCCGTCGTCACCAGGATTCCCTTCATTCAGCAGCGCTGCCATGGTTTCTTGAGTACTAGAGCAAGGGAATATCTCGAATTTGACTTGACGACCTTCGCACAGCCAAGGTTCTCGCACCTCTCTCCATTCTTTGCATGGCTCCCGAAACCTATGTCTTCTTCGCCCGCTCTGGGTCCCCTACAGAGTCCTTCGACCTCGTCCAAGCTGTATGTCAGGCAACAACTAATTCCACATAATACACATTTTGTAGTTTGTATGGTTTGTGAAGATGTTGTATTCATCGCATTATACTAGGGTACCCACATGTTCTCATTTCTAGGCCCTCGCCGTTGCCCTGTGCAGATTTCAAAACCATCACGAAGCATATGTCGCAGGCACAGAAAATGAGACAACGCCGAGGATCTCTCTTCCCGAGCAAAGCCTTTCGTCGTTCTTGCTCTTCCTGCCGGGTCCATCAAAGAAAACTTCAGAGTCGGGAACTGCTGAAACACGATAACGTAACGCTGTGTGCATATTGGTAGCCAGCTAAGCTTGCCTTGCCCCTTTCCGATCCACAATCTCACTCACACGTGACAGTTTCCAAGAAAAGCACGCGATGTGGCGTGGCATGACATAGGATCTTAGCCTTAATTGAACAATGAGACGGGTCGTAGACACGAGGGTAGGATGTCAAGAGCCGAAAGCTTGACAAAGCTATCGCAGTGACGGGAAGACTTCACGATCAAGCCAATGCCTCAGACATAAGCAGGACCGGTCGCGCGCCAAGCTGCCTCCGGATCGATGTCTGCTTCTGCTGTGATAGTGGTTGTGGTGGCGCGAACCCTCTCAGCAGCCTTAGTCGGTTGTATCACCTTCTGCGATGTCAGCGTTGCGCAGAATCAGCACCCATCATTGCCATGTCTTTACCTTTTCTTTGGAGTGCGTCTTGCCCGAGGCAAAGTTCTTCTGAGCCCGCACGTCCTGCACTTTGCGAGCCAGCTTTGGGAGCCGGGCTAGCTCATCATCCCAGCTACCAATGTGTTCAGGCTTGATCATAGAGCGCTCCATAGCCATGCAATTGGCCAGACAATCGAAAATTGGATCATCCTCGGTGTATACCAATTCCTCGATCAAAGCAACAAGCTCTTTTGATGGACCATAGCGCACCTGCTCGCAGTAGCCGCGGGTGAATTGGCTAACATACATGGGGTGAAGGCCAAGTACGCGGGCACAACGCACTAGCTGGAGGTTCTGGCGATCGGAGTTCTCTGGTCTCAACTTGATGCTGAACACGGACTTGCAGTACGTGTGCATAGTCATCCAGTCGAGAACAACGTTCAGTGCATCCTTGCCCATGGAACCCCCCTCAAACCTGATTGCCGCTGCGTTCGGATTGTCCGTCCAATGCTTGAAAGCCTTGAAGGAGACCTGCATGAACACGTATTTGGGTACCGCAGCTACGGTTTCGTTGCCCATCGTGATCTGCACGGTCGGACCATATCCGAAAGGCTTTCGTTCTTCTTTGGACATGGCTCGGATGTCCTTGCTCACATCGATCTTTGGGGGAGCCTCAGTCGCATGGCGTGAGCCAAAGACAAACTTCTTGGATCCTCCCGCCGGCTGCTTCTGGTATTTCGACAAGTCGACAGCCATTTTGATAGTACGCGCTGGCGGCGGCGGCGGCATCTTCTTAATGTTTTCCGCCGTGACGAATGGAGACAGTCTTAAATCACGGACGGGTGTTGGCGTACCGAGTGCAGGAAACTCGACAGGGGAAAGGGCCGGGAAGTCAACGTCGGCGGTGGAGGAAGTAGCTTGAGACTTAGCTGGCTTCTCTAGTGTATTTTGCATGGCACCTGGAGCGGTGTCTGCAGGATCGACGAGCTCGTCAAGTTTCTTGGGTTCGAGTGCAATGGGAGATGTCTCGGGCCCGGGCTGAGACAGAGATGCCTCTACAGCACCTTCGTCGACTTCGACTTCAGTGGCCGAACCAGAGTCAGGTATGCTTGTGCTCTCGGCGATCTGTAGCTGCAACGTCTCGATAATTCTATTCTTCCTCTCAAGCTCGTCTTCGAGCTGCATGGCACGGTGTGTCTCTTCGTGTGCCTGGCGGATGAGATCCACGATATGCGCATCTTTCTCAGTCACATCGGCCTTTAGGTCGGCCACATGCACAGTCTTTTCATTGATTGTAGCCTGAAGCCGAACGATCCGAGAAGCCTGGTCCTTGATTTCGCCAGAGAGCTCGTCGATGCGTTGTGCTTGCCGCTCGACTGTGGCCTCTGTTTCATCCAAGCGTTTCGCCTGACGGGCTACGGCGTTGGTCACGATCCCAGATTCGTGAGCCTTCTGATGAGCATCGTTCGCCTCTGCCTCAGCTTCTGCCTTGACCTGGTGTTCATCCTCGTCTTCGGAATCGTAATCTGCCCATTTCATTGTAGTGCTTGGAGTCACGGGCAACTTCGATGGTGCCTTGAACGCAAGGCTGCCGCCGTTCTTCTTGGGCGCGCTTGCTTGGGCCGGCGTTGGTTCTTCCAGGTCCTTCTCAGGCTCGGACGATGGGGGCTGAACTCCGCGCAACTGGCCGATCTTACGCGCCCAGAAATCTTGGGGGCTCTCCATCTTAGGTGGACAAGCGACAGCCGGAGAACCTCGTCAGGAATGCAATTGGGGTAGGGTGCAGGTGCAGGGGCAGGAATGCACAACGTGGAGTACGGGCCGGGTGGGTTTACCTTGTGTTGTCGCGAGCGGGAGATGGATCCGCTCGTCAAGACTCCGGAGAGGTGGTGGTGGAGGAGAGGTGCTGCAGAGGCAAGGCGGGGCGGTTTATGAAGGCTTGGGCATTGCGCGAGCGATAGTGAGCAGTGCAAACGGTCCAGACGGGTTAGCTTGGCGGCTGCGCGTGCGTGAACCGAAATTTTCTGACCGTAGAGTTGAGGTGAAGGAGACATGCCGGGCACAGACCAATCAGGTGCTCCCTTGGTGTGCGAAGGGAGGCAGCCGCGACATGGCAACCGCGAAAGCACGTGGGAAACAGGAATGAGAGTGGTAATGGACATGTACCATATATAAATAACATGCAGCTGTTTCAAAGCGCATTGTAGTGATCTATGTCATGATGCGAGCTGAAGACACTAAACAGGCATGGTCTATGAGGGTGTAGCTCACGTGCAGTCACCGCATGGTAAGGTAAATCTGGAGGCATACCGATCTGAATCTATAAGCCTCAGCGCTTCGATTGTACTGCTCATGCGGGCATGGTACGTTGTCAAACACGAAAGGGCGCCTGGCTTGAAGAAAGCACGAGGACCGGACACAACAAGATCCGTGCTCGCATGCAAACGTCATGCGAAGCGTTCCGACTCAGCTGTGCGCCCGCAAGGTGCAAGCGTAACGTAACAAGAGGCTCGAAGGCTGGATGAGATGAAGGAAACATGGATTGGTGGTTGTTGGCAATACCTTCTTTAGTCCTGAGTAGTTTCCCTCTCAACGCGTCGCGCTTCTATTTGCTCTCGCCTTTTAGCAAGAGGTCCCCGACTCCGGTACCGCTATTATCGATGCCCATCTCTGCTCCGGATACCATTCGCCCCGCCCTCGGTTGTACCACCAACGCTCTGATCCCAGCAGGCAATCTGCAATGGTACAGCAAGTGCTGCTTCTTAGAGAAGTTGCAGATTGCTGTGGCAGCGTGATTCACAGTAAAGCTCTTACCCCTCGTAGAAGCGTTGTCCCTAGATTGCAACGAGGCACGCGCGTAGACAAAGCCCCCGAAAGTAAGAGCGTACAGCTTCAACATCTGTGCTCACTGCTCCAATCTTACTCGATGGTGCCATGTATACTTTGGTCTTGCCGTTAACAGGCCCTGCGTAGCTGCTTTCTTCCCACGCACAACGGCAGTCACTATGAGACCTGCAAAACAAGCCCCTCCTGAAGCACTCTGCTGTATTCTCGCACCCTGTCCACCAGCCCCATCGGAACACACACTACTTACCACTGACAGGCGTGCTTCCACCCCACCATCTTGTCTCTTGTTCTGACCTTTGCAGCGAATACACCGATTGATCAGAGTGGCTATTCACCTCTTTGCTCTCCTCTAACCCCCTGTACTCTACTGCCGGCTGTCATCGACTGAGGTAAGATCAATTCAGTAATGTTGTTCCCCGACGCCCGAGCTCTGACAATGTCTAGATCTGTGACCATGCTTGTCACGGCTCTTGTTGTCGCCGGCTTGGGCCTGCTACCTGTCCGCGCTTGGGACAAGCCTGTGTGGCAGATCGACTCTCTTGGACTCTGCGGTCCTGCGCTGAATGCCCACAAGAAGTGCGTCCCTGACAAGATCACAACCCAACCCATCCTATGGATCTGTAAGGCCGCACAAGGTACATGGGAACCGACCGACGAGCTATGCGAGATGAAAATACGCCAGGACGATGAACACCAAACGGCCGACGGTGACTGGCACATTGGCTGCGATGAACCCGGCCACTGCGGCTACTACCAGGATCACCCGAACAAACGCTCTATTAATCGCGGCCCCAACTCTTCAGCCCGTCTCATTCCGGCACGCATGTCCTCTCAGGAGTCTCTAGATCCAGACTGGCTGAACATACCGGACCGGGACGGTATCGATACGCGCTGCAGCCTTACCAGCATCGAACTCGTCGAGAAGTTCAACGGCGAGCATTGGGTTCACCACTACAAATGTCCACCGGGTACCTCATGCACTGATATCCTTGGTAGCGGTGCCTGCAGGGCTGGCCCGCACGAGTTCACCATCCCTGGTCGAAGCTATCTATGGACTTTTGACTGTCCAGATGCTCTAGAAGACCCGAGTTCTTGTCACTTTTCCGATTCGATGCACTCATACGGTGCCCCGAAGCCATACAAACCGTATCTTACTGGGACAACACGCTGCAACCCAAATGGACGAGCTGTTCAGTATTTTGACGGTGATGAATGGAAGGATGTCTACTCATGCAAAGCAGAAGCCTCGTGCGTTGAACGCGAAGGCCGCGGTGGCTGCTTGGCTGGCCAAAGTCTGTCCTATCCACTGAACACCCGTGAGTCGGTCTTGTATCAAACTGCTGATGACGCATGCTGACCACAAAGGCTCCATCCCCTACAAATACCAACACACCATAGGGAAGTCTATCCCATCGCCGCCCGTGAAGCGCGACGACATCACGTCCGCCGAAGCCAATCGCGATACTACCGTGTGCGACCCCGACAGTGACGGCATATGTTTCATTGCGCTTGGCACGACATACCACAAATATGTGAACGTGGTTTCAGAAGATAATCAGCCACCGACCCGCTGTCATCCCAAGGAAGATGGCCGTGTCCAATTCTTCAGCGAATGGTACCACAAATGGGTCGCCTTTCACACGTGCGAATACCCGAACGGCTGCCATAATTGGATGGGAAAGGCTCAATGCGAAGACGAAGACCAGATCATTGTCCCATTCGTGGAGCTCCCCAACGGCGTAGAGGGCTGGCATCCAAATAAGGCCTCCGATTGCGTGCCCAAGCCTGACGATGTATTGCCGCCAATTCAACAGAAGATTGCCCGGGCGGAGGGTACTGTACACACCCGGTGCGAGCCTCTAGATGATACCTCTAAATTGGTCGAATATCTCCACCCCACAGCGCAACAGTGGCTTCGCTTCTACGAATGCGGTGGGCGTTGCGTCCAATTCCCTGAGTTTGCAGCTTGCGAAGAGTATACCGACAAGTTTGTGATCCCGAACCCACCAACGGAGAGCATTACAAAGCGTGACGCTCTCCAAAATCTGGATTCTCGGTGAGTTCGCCCGGTGGAGATCAGCTTAATGACTGGCCGGCTTTTTGCTTTATAGGAGGAGGCATGCATGTTATCTGTTCTCGCGTTGTTGCACCAACGAGTGAGATGCATTGACTGACTCATTATAGTCTTCTACGTCGCCAGGTACTCCAAAATGCGAAAGCACCCGATTTCCACACAATCGATACTCGCTGCAACCCTTTTGATCTCAATGAAGTGCAGCGTTATAATGGAACACATTGGATCCACCATTACCAATGTACCTTCCTGGGATCTTGTATTGATGTTGACGGCCATGGAGCGTGTCGCCTGCAGGACAACGTCTACGAATTGCCTTCAGCCAACCGCACCTCGGTCAAACATGGTGAAGGTGAAAACCCGCTTAGGGTCAAGACACGTTGCAATAAGTCGAATGCGACCGAAGTTCTCGAATGGCAAGGTCATTCTTGGGAGCCGCAAAGTGTTTGTCTTCCGCCGTTCGAATGTTTTGACTTCGACGGCAGAACGGACTTCGCTCTTTGTGTGCACAATGATGCGCAGTACCGGAGGATGTGGCTTCCCTGGCCTGCCTTGAGCCGCAGTATAAATAGCGGACAGGTTACGCGCTGCAAAGACCAGGAAAGAATGGAGCAGTTCAAAGACAACGCTTGGGTTCCATACAGGAGGTGAGAGAATCCCATGAAGTCATAAGATGGACCAAATGAACATCAACACGACAATCCCAGCATCCTTTTTTTTTTTTTTTTTTTTTTTTTTTCTACAAAAGCTTCGCTGACAGTGCGCAGGTGCAACGGAATGTTCAAGTGTCAAGATGTTGAAGGTGGTCCGAATGGTGGTTGTGCAGCACCCAGTCTCTACGACATCTTGACCCAGCCTCGCATTGATATCTTTAGAGACCCTGCCAGCCGAGTAGCAGCTCCTCAGCTTCCCAAGCGTGGAGGGATCGATGATAGCTTGCTGAAGTACAGCGAGATGCCGACAGAACAAGGCAAAGTGAGCTCTACTAGAATCTGCACTAACGTTTTCCACCTACAGGACAAGTGCTTATAGCCACCTGCTGACATTCCTTTCAGATCTTAATCAGCGAAGGCGAGGACCTTACGGAACAGAGCAATCCTGTTCTTGAGACTTTCTTCGGCCCCCGAGACAAAGCCGCTTCTATCGAAGATTTCGCTGCGATGGATAACCACAACTCTGACATCCACTCCTCCTCTTTGAACGCAAAGAAGCCTCGAGCAACCGTTGTGTCCGACGCTGCTGGAAACCGCGCAATCCGTCGTCGAAATACTGGCGGATTGATTGATGAGAGTGTTGGCATGCACAAACAAGGCGCACACCTTATTGAAAAAGGCAATAAACTCGTCAACCAGGGAGGCGGCTTTTGAAGACGATATTCGGCTCCTGAACAGACGAATATATCAAGAATATGACACAAGCACGCCCAGCGGTGGTGAGAGCTGATGATCCGATCAACGTCGAGGGGCCCCTGCCGAACCCTGAGGTGGATATTGATCTAATAAAGCCCGGGGTGAAGGTTGACATTCAAGATTCCGATGCTCGCGATGAGGACACCGACTTTGACACGGAGTAGGATGTTTCAACACGAGAAGTATCGCTGCTTGGGCGCGCAGATACCGGTTGGCCTGATCAGCAGAGTGTGCTGTAACCTCATTCTCGTTGGGGTAGCTTTTTCATCTGCTTTTAGGGAGGATAGTGCTTTTGTATTATATAGAATTTGTAGCGTTTTATGTTGTAGTTTTCTCAATCCCGTGGTCAGTCGCATTTGAGGCAGACTCTTGTCCCGTCTAAACACTTCTCTGACCGTTTCGTGCCCTTACGCAACTGGGTGTTCATTTAACCTTTGTCTCCTAGTACTTCGCCCAACCAACCGTGAAAACCAGCCCACAGTGTCGTTTGTAGCCTATCTCCGCCTTCACAGAAGCTTTTCAACGCACTGTAACGGTCGCGTACCCAGCGCTTTTTGTCTTCCTCCGTGCCTCCTTGTAGTTCTACAGCTACGGTATGAGATACTTTCGAATCGCACACAGGGCACAAGAAGGGGGACTGGCGGATGTCCTCTAACAGAGAAGCAGTGCTTTGCATGATGCATGCATAGTAAAAGCAGTGAGCTAGACAAATACAATGACCGAGTTCATGTGACACCGTACGGACGACGCGGGAAGACCACAGCGCTTCAAGATCAGCATTCGAATCCGACACCACAAGCTTTGACACAGCGTTCACGGCAGCCCGCATCGGCCCACTCTTGCTGAGGCGAGTCTGCGTCGCTGTCGCGGGCTTCGCCTCCATCTCTTCGACGGCGCAGAGCGAATCGATGTAGCTCTTGCAATGCGACGCTGGCCACGCGTGGTCTTGCGTTATCCCCACCGTGGCATCGAGAAGCGGATTGTACCGCGCGCTCTGCACGACGCTCACGCGACTTCCGCCGTAAGCGCGTCCGGCGCAGAAGTCGTCGTCCGGTGACTCGTAGATGTCGTGGTCGACGAGCAGGACAATGGCGTATGCGTCGGCTGGTAGCATTGCGATGGCCGCGTCCAGGATGTCATCGAGGTTTAGTTGCGCGGCGAATGCGCCGTCAGGCGCGCGTCGGGCACGGATGCGCGTGGCGACTCCGTTGTAAGAAAGGGCGATGTACGTTGGGATTCCACGGACAGTATCTACGGGGCGATATTTGGCGCCTTTGCCGTGGTTTTCCCAGGATGTCCAGCGGAGGTCGATGGGGAGGGGTGCGACGTCGAAGCCGTGGTAGAAGGCGCGGAGGTAGGCGATTGTTTCTTCGACGCCTGGGCTTTGCAAGGCATTAGTCGTCGTGGATTGTGGCTCTCTTTCCGTGCGTGGTTTCTTGCTAGGCGTTTTTGAAGGTGCAGCGTCTGGTGCTGGATTTGGTGTTGTCCAGCCCTTCATGAAAGACACGTTCTCATCGATCGTCGGTGGCGCGCCCACGTACAGCGTTCGCCGTTCAGGCGTGACTTTGTTACGCGCCTTCTCATGTAGCCAGCTGCGAAACGATTGCGCAGGTTCATCGCCGTCTGGATCGTAGTTGAGCGCATCGTGAGGGAGGACCAGCGGTCCAGGATATGTTTGGCTTTCTTTTTGCGCTTCCTTGCTGAGCGAGGCGGTTGTTTGCGAATTGTTCCTTACTGCTGGAGGCGCACGGCCAGACTTCGACGTCGCTGCAATCCTAGTGCGTTGATCAGGTCGCTCGAAGCCGGCTAGCTCGGCGAAAGGGGAGGGTTCGAAGAGGAGTGTGGAATGCGAGCAGGAAGGGCGCTTGGTCATCATGAGGGATTTGAGACACCCCCGTGGAAGGTTAGTGCTGTTGAGGTGGTCGTTGCGGTTCGGAAATGGTTTCGATCTAAAAATTATTGCAATGCCCCGAACGCTCGATAGAAACCTATGACACAATCACTTGTGATGTTTTTGTAGCATGAGTAGGACGAGGCGTAGGTGCTGCCTTACTGCTGCCTTACACTGCTGCCTTACAAGCCCCTGCTTCGCCCCATCCGCTAATGAATTAGATGCACGCCTGATTGGATCATGACTCGCAGAGCACTGCATGCTTAATCGTACCTTCGCTCTACATATTTTAGGCGCATGGAATGCTTCGAGATTTATAGCTTCTTTATGAGGCCTTGCTTCGAGGATTTATTCCCAAACTTGACTTCTGTGAGGCATCTCAGCCTTGCCGGATCGATGACCGGACCACTGGCTGGTGGCGTCATTGATGTGCTACTCTCCAAGGGGTATGGCCTAGTTACTCCCTCTCCTAGAAGCCTCAATCCGTCGTCGAATTCGAAGGCAAAATTTCTTTGTCTATCTTGATTCGATCGATTTCGATGACCCAGAGATTGCCTGAAAATATGCTACCGATGACGAAAAAATACTTTGCATGCCGGACATCGAGACTCGTATGCTTGATAAAATTTCTATCCGTAAACATCTGGTATAATTGCTACAAATGCACGCTTCTAGGATACGAGAGGTGTCTTTGAAGCATAGCTACGCGTGGAGATATGGAGACGAGATCTACTGGCGCGACTTTTACCAAAAGTTGCTCGCTATGGAGCTACCCTTTCCTGTCCTGGAAAGGTTCTATGTGGACATGAAAGATCAGAATGAGAACTTTGGTGTTGAGATCAATGATTTCGTGGATGGTTTCGACGAAGATGAGGCTTTCACAGAGGTTCAGCTTGTGAACGCGAGTAAAGATGACAAGACCGGGGAAATCAAGATAGCGGGGGCATCGGTGGTAGCGCTGGCGGCGATGAAGAGTATAAGGGTTGGCAAGGGGGTCACAAGTTTTTTGATGAATTCATGGCTTTGGTGGAGAGCAACAAGAAGAGACTGGCTAGTTGAGACGACTCTGACAGGGCACCTAAACAGCAGACCTTAGACGGAAGTTTCAGAGGAGCGGTGTCCTTTGAAACCCGGATATATGTCATTCATACCATTGAATGATTAATCTGATTGTGGCTCGGACAGGATACAGTGACGAGCGACCGTTGCACATGCATCTGTCGACGCGTAGAAGAGGGCAGACAGCTCGTGAACCTCCGCATGCAACCAAGCCGTCTAGTCTAAGAGGACTTTCAATCACCTCATGAAAAGCTCCGTCCGCGTCCTACTCTCCTTCAGCCAAAACTTCGAAAATGCCGTTAGTGCTTCACGACCTGCTCAGTCTCCTTTGTATCTTTGTCTTTCATGGCGGTCTCAGCACCCTCGATCTTCTCCTCCTTGACCACCAAATCTTCCTTGCTGTGCTTCTCTTTCTTGACCTTGTTCCGCTCCTTGCGTTCCTTAACCTTGTCCAAAGACCGGGCCTCTGTAAGCTTCATGGCTTGCGCGAGCATGAGATTCCTGAAGTCTCCGATGAATGCGTTCCACTCGGGGCCCAGCATCTGTTTCTTGTTCAAGAGCACCAGATGGTTGGCAAGGGCATATACGACCTCATCGAGACCGTCTTGTGCTGGCACGACGACGTGGTCGATGACACTGCGCGCTTCTTCTGTTGATGGGATCCGAAGGACAGTGCTCTTGCCAGGCACTACAGGGTCTCAAGTGTTTCGGTATTTCGCGGGGAAGTCGTCTATATACTGCCCCATCCCAAGGATCAGCATGGCGACGCGTACGTTGAGGGAGTCTTTGAGATCGGCGACGCTCATTTTGGGGTCTAGCTTAGGAAGGCGAATGTTGTCCAGTTCGGGTACTGTGATTAAGATCCGAAGCCAATGTGCGACCGATTCTATAGCTTTAGCTTTGAACTGAGGGTTGATGGCGGGGAAGTCGGTTGACTCTGGGTTCTGAATGAAGTAATCACGGATGACCGGAGATGTGACTATCATCGCAAGCTTCGGAGCGTCGTAGCTCCAGGGCTGTTCGTCCCTGCCATGCCCTGTTTGACGTGGCGGTTAGAATGCTGATTTACAGGTTTGACCGTGGTAACTTCACCTTTAAGTACAAGAATTGCGGCGCTACAGCCTCCTTTCAGCACCTTGCGGGCGCTTAGCGACCAGTTCTTTAGGTCGTGTCCACCGTTCATGTTCTTCTGCCCTTCCAAGACTTTCGCGATTTGGATTTCGGGCGCGTCTTTGGAATAGTAGCTGTTTGCCAGCTTGATGTGTTTGCGAGTGCCGGAAGTTCCCAACAATTTGCGCATAGTTGGTATCGAGTGCTCCGTATTCGTGTGCGATCATGGAGACAAAACGTGGTCGAGCCTACCAGGATAGATGAACTAAGGTGTTTTATACAGCAGGTGACAGCACAAGAAGTACACTTATTTCTCACCAAAGGCCATTGCTCCAGAGCTACCACTGTTCGGGCGAGTTCTCGGGTTAATGACGTAGTCCCTCGCTCGAGTGAAATATTTGACGCTGACACGGTTCTTCTTCCGGCCCGATTGAACCATTTCGCGAATATCTATCACCTTCAACGTGACATTGGTGATAGACTGGACTGTTCTGATGTTTGAGCGGTGGTAAATTGGATTTGACACGACTTATCAAAGTGTAGAATTAGAACAATGCAAAGCCTAGTAAACACCATGTATATTCCTGCGTAAATATTCCTTTCTGATTATATTCCATATAGGCAGTGACAGCGGCGAGGATCTGGTGACCTTGAGGATGACACTCAAGTTGTCGTTGTTGATTGAATAAGAAATTTGGCTTAAGGAGCGTTGTCGCGTTTGTTCACTATCTGATCCCGCTACAGCTCCGTTTGCGTTTGATGACCCGTGGCACGTCAAACTTTTGATGCCGCACGCAAATCAAACACTCTCTACCCTGTCAACATACAATTACCTAAGCATCCAGACACTATATCAATAGCCAAAGTATAACCAGGTATGTATCGCTGTGCTCGCAAGCGGTATCGCAGTCAAAATTTTCCTTAAAGACTCAAAGGCAGAATCATCTCGCTGCAATGTCGCTCGAGTTCACAGCTGCTCAGAAGCAAGTTCTGGAGAGCTACGGCAAGCCCTTTCCCGTCAACGCCGATATTCGCACGTGGCCCATTCAGCATCGCACAGACCTTCTGTTCAGCTGCAACCTGATCACAATTTTTATAGAGGCGGTGACATCTTGTGATTCAGTATGCAGCGAAGTTTATGTCCTGCCGAAATACGCCCTCGCGGCTGTGTCGCCAACCTTCGCCGAGCATCTCCTGCAGAAGCCAAATCTCGAGTCTCTCGTCTTCGATATCGGTCGCATGGATAATAATCTGCAAAAGGAACATCGGAAAGCTGTCGACACACTGTGTATATGGCTGATGAGCCTCGCCACTCCTCTGATATTCGACTTGAAAGCACCCACTTTCTACTCGCAAATCTCTCTGCGTCACTTGGCTCGTCAGTTGGGTAACGTACATCCATCCGTAGCGAAACAACCATCGTAACGGAACAAGATCCTCTAACAAAGCGGTTTGTGAACACTTTCATACACTTCTAAACCTGCAAATTGTGTCCAAGTATTAGATAGCCCACACTTTCTACTCTACACTAGTTAGCCTAGGAGGAGAAGATGTTTCAAGTATACTATTAATCATCTTTTTCACAGCGACTTTCGGTGTCTTAACTTTCAACTCCTGCCTAGGCATCTAATGGAAGAAATACTACAATCTAGAGGAATAGGGTTGTTAGATATGAGGGCGTGTACTGAGTATCTCACTATTGTCAGATAAGGGCCTACGAAGTTGCCTTGGTACGGACAGTACTCCGGGCAGGAGGTGGCAGGGATAGCTGGCCATCCGCCCTTGCTGGACACCCAGCCCCGAAGCAAGGGATAGTTGATAGGAACCCGATAAAAGCTGGCAGAACAC